AAGGAGGCTAGGTATTGATTCCTCGACTACACAGCCGACACTGCTAACTTCATCAGTGTGCTTTTACGAACGATCATCCTCAAAGCTCCTGTAGGTGACGGTGACAACGACCTTGTGACTCCAGAACTCTTCGAAAAGCTTGGCAGACTCTGCTTCACTCAGCTACTGGAGCTTCGTCATCGCGGTGCGTTTTCGACAGTCTCTCAGACATTTGCAGTCTTCTGTCGCCGCTGTGTCTTGTCGAACATATCCACATTACGTGCTTTACCAGAGATGTGGTATCAGGTTTGTACAGCCACCGTCGGCGTGATCTGGAAACTAAAAGTCTCTAGGAAACGCTACGATCCATCCAAGCAAAGTCAGACGCCATCACTCGGAGGTCGGCGGGCATACCAGCAGCCATGTCCGCTCTACTGGCAGCTGAGCCACAAACAGGAGGCAAACTCTTCCCTCGAGCTGTCAAAGATCTTGTCGCCGAAACTCTCGTGGAGGCGCAAAGCACAAATATAGAAGAAAGCCGTCTTCCTCAGGTGCATGCTCTGAACTGCATCAAGGAAATATTCACGACCTCGAAGCTGAGTATTGCATCGGAGACGTACATCGGGCAGGGTCTCGAGCTTGCTGCTAAAACTCTAAGCTCGTCCATGTTAGTGACACTTACACAGACATTACAGTTTTTAAGCTAACGCGCACTCAGATGGCCCCTTCGCAATTGCAGCTTGATGCTGTTCAAAGCTCTGATCGAACGACTACTCGGCAGCGACGAAGCTCAAGACTGGAAAGAACGAGAGCGAGCCAAAACGTCTCGGTTCTCCTACGACAACTATCCCAGTCTCGTGAAGATCCTGGTTGAACTGCTCGAGCCAAGCGGCGATCTCAAAATCATGGAGACACCCGAGAGTGGCAGTTCGCCAATGGATCTCCATGGTGCTGAAGGCGTGTTTCCCGCTCTCCAGATCTTGCGTCAGGCCCGGCCGCCGGGAGATCTTACCAAGATCCGCGGCTTGGTAAGGGACTTACTACCGAGCCCGCATTGGCATATGCGAGATATGGCGGCCAGAACATATGTATCACTGGGCACTACTAACGAGAGCTACCCTGAACTCTCTCCAATTCTAGATACGGTTACCAGCGATCACAATGAACAGCATGGAAGGCTATTGGTAGTCAAGTATCTGCTGAGGAAGCTGTTGCGAGACGAAGTCCAATGCAGTGAGTGGTGTCGGAAGCAGAAACTAAATGTTCAGCTGTTGACCTCTGACAGATTTTAAACACTTCTCATCGTTGATGCAGCAGCTCGGCCAACACGCAACGAGTTGGTACATTTCGAGTGATTGCCCTTTTGTACGAGCCGCCTTCCTCGATGTTGTGAGCCTATGCGGCATGGCCATGCTGCAAAGAGCGACCGCTGTCACAATACTTAGTGCGTGGATTGACCTCACTACGTCCATAGCCATTGGACCGGAGTACAATATCGGACCAAGTGATCACCACGGTGATGATCTACTCAGGACATCCCTCGCACAGGTATACTTCGTTGACCGGATCATTCTGCGTGAAAATTCGCTTCACAGCATGGTCTCGGACGATTATCAAAACATTGGCGATGCGCTCATGCTTCTCGCAAACGAGGATCCGGATACCTGCATGGAAGCTCTGGAAACGATGGACTCCATATTACAGATGAAGACATCCAACGGCCTAACCATTCCATTGTCGCTGGTCCTAGCGCATATCCATCGTGTAGTCCTGGAGGCCTGTGACCCAGAAGTCATCTCGAAAGCGCAAGCCGTTCTCGCCGACGCTCTTACCAAGGACCATTTGAAAAGCGACTTCTTCAGCCTGACGATGCAAGATCAAGTCATGCTCACCTTGACAAGGTTGGAAACACAGTGCGTTCATGGCCCACCATCAAATATGCAAAGCGCTCTGCATCTTCTAGGCTCATTCCTCGACCATGCTTACACCAGCTACTCACTCCACCGTGACGAGGTTCTCGCCCGTATCGCACGCTACATTCGCCTGCTACGCATGACAACCATCGATACCAACCCCTTCGACACTCGCTACGCAGCCATAGAATCCCTGTCCGCGCTCAACTCCATCTTCTCCCTGGCCCCCAAAGGAAAAACAGGACCTCTGATCCTTGGGCTAGCCATCGTTCTCTACGACCTCCTCAACGACGATGACGACGAAATACGCGATCTAGCTGCCTCCACAGCAGGCATTCTCCTACGCTCACAGGGCGACCGACTGTTCAAGAACACGGTACCGATACTGACTACGCACCGGCTGGGGGCGTACCTGGTATCTGCATTTTCCACGTCACGATTCCTCGCCAAGGAAGCAATACGCCGTCTAACCAACACGCCCTCACCCCATCGTCTCTTCTCCACGCCATTCGCCAACACTTTTGCACGGGAGAGGAAGGAAGATACGTCGCTTTTTGCGCAGGAGAAGCAGAATTTGTACAAAGACGACACATTGGACACTATGCTGTGGTCGCGCATTCTCCTCTCCCTGTCTGCCTCTGCTGTGCCGCTGAGCCTGCGCACCGGGCTGACCAACTGGGTACTCGACGGTCTCACCGCACTCACACAAACAGCCGAGGGAGAAGGTGACGGCGCGCTGGGCTGGAGTACCAAAGCTGAGGTGTTTACGCTCGGTATGCGCATCTTCTGTGCGAGTGAAGTGGTGATGAGGTGGGGTGGTCAGGAAAGGGTAGAGGTAGTGAAGAGGGCGAGAGGGTTTGCTGATGTGGGTATTGAGAGAGGCGTTCATGGCCTGTGGATTGAGAGGGTCGAGAGGGTCTTGAACAAGGAAGTGGTGCGCATGCTACGCAGGGTCAAGGGAGGACTGTTGGAGATTGCAGGGTGAGCTAGGCAACGCATAATTGGTGATTCAACACGCCAATCCGACAATGAAAAGTATCTTTTGCGACTGGATGGGATAGAGTTGTATTGGACGTCCACAAGAATGACAACAACAAGCTCACTACGCGGAAGCTGGAAAAATTCGTACACTACCGCCGATAGAATACATTCACAGCACTCTCCCCCACACTCTTACTTACACTGCCATATTTTGCCTGCCAGGCAAAGAAATAAAGCAGCGCCGCGAGTGGCTGTCCCACGAGACAAAAGCTCATCCAGAAAATCATGTTACCTGCAACCCTCCCCTGGATCCATTTGACCTTTTGGATGACATCTGTGAGCGCAATGAGCGGGATCTGGAACATCATGCCAGCAAAAGCTACGCCAATAATGTTGTGTGTGGGGACGCCGACGAGCAGTTCGTGCAGGACGCCAGAAAAGAGGAAGACGAGGATCTGGGCCAGCGCGGGAGGCACACCGCGGCCGACAAGAGGTGAGTAGATGTGGCGGCGCATAAAGTTGGTCACGGGCTTGTTCCAGGTAGTCCAGTAGGTGCGGATGGACGAGACGTTCCACCAGTCGCCGTAGAACTCTCGGTCGCCGAACCGCATGACTTCGGCAAGCGCATTGAGAGCGGACTGGAAGAGGGCGAAGAAGCCGCACAGCCAGCAGAAGACGCTGATGGTGGATAGCTTCATGACGCGCTCAGCAATGGACGTAAAGTTCAACGTGAGGATCTTGTCGAGCGAGTTCTGCAACAGCGGCGCGGCGTATTGGGCGGAGGCGATCCAGATGACGATGCTGAGACCAGCGAGTTCGGCCAGACGTTTGAGGACAAAGTCCCAGCGGATCGTGTCGGTTCGGGGGTAGACGGGCTGGTAGACGAGGGTGGGTGCCCACCAGAAATAGCACAGGTTCTTCATGTTGATGTTCTGCGGATATGGGCATGCTTTGTAGAGCTCGGGCAGCGGATCGGCCTGCTTGGGGTGCAGGTAGGCATGGCGGAGGTCGCGGTTTGTGAGTGCGTAGGAAGCGCACTTGAGGAAGACGATGACGGCGTGCAGTTCGCAGAGGGTGCCAATGCCCGGGTGGTAGATGTCGTAGTAGACGTACTTGGTCGCGATGTAGAGGTTGGCGACTGCGTTGACGCTGTGGAAAAAGGCGACAATGTACCACGTCGAGTTGAAGCTGCGCAGGGCGGCGGCGTAGCTGGCGGGCGTGTCTTGGTCGCGTTGGTGGGAGATGCGGGCGTAGGCTCGGTTGGCCTGCCAGGCGGCGGCGAGCTCGATCAGGTAGGTGACGAAGAGGTGGGCGGGGACGAGCAGGTAGAGCAGCAGGCCGGTGATGACGTCAGAGCGGCGGTAGTCGTGGCAGGACAGACAGATGAGGACGCCGTACTTCTGCAGGTTCACGATCATCAAGCGCAGGTTGGAGACGACTGCAGTGGTCAGCGATGTGCGGCTACTGCCGGGAGTGGCGGCGTCGTACTCAGGACCAAGATCATGAGGTTCCTGAAGCCGACGAAGCTCGGGATCTTGTCTGCGCTCTCCTGGCTGAGGCACGAGGTGCGCGACGCCGAGTGCGTCGCAAAGACATGGCGGTATTTGGTGTCGCGCGCACGCTTGGTGGTGCCATTGGTGGTGCGAGCGGGGCTGGCTTGGGGGGCTGTCTTTCCGCGGTACACCGGGGAGCTGGCGTGCTGCATGTCGAGGGCAGAAGAGGCGGCCAGTTGGGTGAGGGTGGCCATGGCGGAGGGTTGGGCGCAATGGCTCGGGCGGAAGCAACTAAACCAGCCAGCGAGGGACGACAGAGAGAGGGCGGCGGGGGATTTGTAGTCGGGATAAGCGCGCCATGGCCGAGGGTTCTGGCACAATGGCGATAGAGTTATCAGGGCGTCTCGGGATTCTGTTGGGAGTCTGGTGAGCGGGGATCTGCACGGTGATGCAGCGCGCCCAGGTGTCGAGTGTGGCGCTGTGGCTGGGCTGTGGCCGACGTTCCCACGTCCAACGCGACGAGGCACGCGCTTCCACTGCACACAACACCTGCGCAGCACCCCGACTCACCACCTCGCACCCGACGCGCCCCCCATGGTGATCGAGTAAACGGCGTCTTCGGCAGCAGCACGCCATGGAGCGCGAATACCATCGTCCGGACTTTGAGGGAGGCTTGCGGCCCCGACCAAAACGTCAGTATGCCTGTTCATCATGCGCAGGATTCAAAGACTGACTACAACCACAGGCGCCGTGACCGACTATGGCTCAACGACCGTCCAGTGGATGCGCAACCGCCGCCCGCGCTACAAGAATGCGCCCGCGCCAGAGATGGAGCGGCCGAGCGCCAGCTACATCGTCGACATGCAGCCGCCCGCAGCACGTGTCGCCAGCGCCGCCGAGTCGATACCTGCCAAAGCCGTGCATTCGTCTCTGAACAAGGTCAAGCACCCCATCAACGTCGTCAAGTGGACGCCAGAGGGCCGCCGCCTGCTCACAGGCTCGACCAGCGGCGAGTTCACGCTGTGGAACGGCATGGGCTTCAACTTCGAGACCATTATGCAGGCCCACGAGGCTGCCATCCGCGCCGTCGAATACACATCCACCGACGACTGGCTCCTGTCAGCTGATCAGACTGGTGTCGTCAAGTACTGGCAGACCAATTTCAACAACGTCAAAGAGATTCAGGCCCACACCGAAGCTGTGCGGGGGCTGTCCATAGCCCCGACCGACACCAAGTTCGTCACATGCGCCGACGACACCACGCTCAAGATCTGGGACTTTGCGTCGAGTACAGAAGAGTCGACGTTGACAGGACACGGGTGGGAGGTCAAGTCGGTCGACTGGCATCCGCACAAGGGACTGCTAGTATCAGGGTCCAAGGACCACCAGGTCAAGTTCTGGGACCCGCGCACAGGGCGCTGTCTGACGACGCTTCATGGACATAAAAACCCAATATCAAAAACCATGTTCGAGCCCGTCCAAGGAAACATGCTAGCAACATGCGCCCGTGACCACACAGCCCGCATCTTTGATCTCCGAATGATGCGCGACGTCTTACTGCTCAAGGGACATGAGAAGGACATCATCACCATGGCATGGCATCCCATGCACAAGAACCTGTTGTCTACCGGCGGCGTCGATGGTAGCATACACCACTATCTCCTCGACGAGCAGAACCCTCCCGCCGGCGTCGCACCCTCGATATCGCCCTACGACGCCGCCGACTCGCAAAACGCCCCCTCACAAACCATATACCCTGCGCACAGCCTGCAATATGCTCACGACTTCACTGTCTGGACCATGGACTGGCATCCGTTAGGCCACATCCTCGCCTCCGGCTCCAACGATAGGGTCACGCGCTTCTGGACGCGTCCACGGCCAGGCGACACCAACTACGTCAACGACCGTTACCACATTGGCCAAGCAGCAGCAGAGGCGCAAGGCACGTTCGACCGCGGTCAGGGCAGGCGGCAAAAGATGGAAGAAGAAGAGCAGGAGGCAGAAGACGAGGCCGAAGGCTTGGTCGACCAGAAGATGCCTTCAAAGAACCCAGGCGGTGGCTTCCTCCCACCTGGTCTTTCGCTGCCAGGACTCAACACAGCACCAGATGGCACTTCGAGTTCTCTACCGGGTATTGGAGGCACAAACCATCCACCAATCCCACCCCCACCAGGCGGTATGCCCTTTCCACCCCCACCAAATGCGGGCGGGGCGCCTATTCCTCCTTTCAACGGCATGGACCCCTCCCGCCTTGCACAACTCATCGCATCTGGCTCCCTACCACCCCCTCCTATACCCCATGGCCACGGACCTCCTCCACCAAACGCCAACGGAGCCCCTCCTTTTCCACCACCAAACTTTCCTGGCTTTCCACAAGGCATGCCCCCTGGTATGCCACCACTTCCTCCAGGCATGCCGCCTCCCGGATTCCCGGGCTTCCCTCCACCACCTGGCGGTATGGGTGCGCCGCCACCGGGATGGCCTGGTCCGCCCCCGCCGCCACAACATCAGCAAGGGTTTGCGGGTGGGCAGGGTGGACCTGCGGGTGTAGGTGCAGATGGTATCAGGAGAAGAGCGCCGTTACCGGATCAGCAGGATGCTTTGAAGGCAGAAATGAATCAGGGACGGTACAGAAAAGCAAGGTAGACGTATTTGGCGTTAGCGTTGACACAGGAATGTACGATCAAATCAAGTTGGAAGTCAGTGAGCGTTTGTGTTACGATAAAGGACAGGGAGTGACAAGTAAAAGGTGCAGTACTAGTCCCTTTTCTTCTCCAGGAATACCCAGATTGGCCATCTACATTTGCGCTTTCGTACTGCTTGTGTGCTTCAAGACTCTTCATGTACACCTTCGTGGCCTCTACGCTCTCTACATATCCTCCACCAACCCAGGATCCTCCATGTCCTTGACGAACTCCACCTTGGCCACATCCTTCAACTCCACATCTCCCTTCACCACCCTTTCCCCATGATTCCACAACTCATCCAGAAAAGCCGGAACAAAAGTCCCCGGGCCTCTGACATCCTCCCTCTGCGCCGCAACCTCCGCCGCAATCTCATAATGCAGCAAACCCGCGACAGCAGCCAACAGCTTGTCCTCATGGCACGCAGCCAGATACGCAGATAGCGTGGTACCCAACGTGCACCCACTCCCCGTGATCCTCCCCAAATACTCATGTCCATTCGCCACCGCATACGTGCGCGCGCCATCCGAAACAAGATCCGTAGCCCCCGTCATAAGCACAACCGTGCGTTCGCGAGCCGCAAGCCGGGAAACGATATGCGCCCTTTGGGGCAGCGAGAAGAGTGAAGCACCAGAGTCCACACCTCGCTGTTGCTGACTCGAACTATCAAGCGTATACCCACTCGCACGTGCAACGGCAAGAATCTCGCTCTCGTTTCCTTTGATCAAGTCGAAATACCCGGCGCCGAGGAGCTGGGCTAGAGCGTCTCGTCGTACACTTGTTGCGCCGGCGCCCACGGGATCGAGGATGATGGGTCCGCCGGCGGCGTTGTACGCGTTGATGGCTTGTTGGTAGTTTGCTAGTCCATCGGGTGTCACGGTGCCCATGTTTACTACCAGCGCGCCACCTAGTTTAGACAGGTCGGAGGCTTCGGCGCCGTAGTTTGCCATTATGGGGCTTGCGCCTACGCAGAGGGCGACGTTTGCGGCAAAGTTTTGGACAACGAGGTTCGTCATGTTGTGGGAGAGGGGGTTCATTCCTTTTACCTTTTTGGTTGCTGAGATGGCGGCTTTGAGGACAGAGGTTGTTTCGTCGCGGAGGTTTTGGTGGTAGAAGTGTGGGAGTGGGGATTGGGGGGCAAAGGGCGGAGCTGTCTTGAGGAGATGGGTGAGGTGCGAAGACGCGGCTTTGGGGTCTTGAGCCCCGATTATGGCAGATACGATGGCAACGCCGTTGATGGTCTTGGGGTTTGCGTTGGCGGGAGTTGGAGCAAAGAGTTGGTATATTATGCGTTGGGTGTTTGACGCGTTGATGCCGCCGATGCATACTGTTTTGACTTTGCTCTCTGCTTCGGTGCCTTGGTCGAGATAGTGCAGTATCTTCCTTGTTCCGGTGATGCCGATGATGTCTTTGGTGTTCTTTTTGGTATTCGTGGCATACATCGTGCCGATGCCTAGGTAATCTGCTCCTTGCTCGACGGCTGTGCGCGCTTCCTGGATGGACGAGACAGTGACGCCGATGATTTTGTCTTCGCCTAGGATACGGCGGGCCTCGTGGGCGTTCATGTCATCTTGGCCAATGTGGACGCCCTCACAGCCCACTGCGAGGGCGACGTCTACGCGGTCGTTGATGAGGAGAGGGACGTTGTGTGCCTTGCATTTTTCGTGGAGCTTCTTTGCTGTCGCGATGAGGATGCCGGTGTCGGAGGTTTTGTCTCTGTATTGGACGATGGTGACACCTGCACATGTCGATCAACATCGTGGTATGTTGTATTACGGCTGACTAACCTCCTAGTAACGCCTGCTCAACCACGTCGACCAGGTCTCGGTTCCCGAGGATGGCCTCTGTAGAGTCTGTCACGAGATACAGCGAGTAGTCTACTTCCTGCCTAGTCATCTTGGCAAGTCGGCGTGCAGCTGGGGCGGAATGCTCGAGCTCGTCGTCGTTGAATGGGGGATGTTCGAAAAGCAACTAGCAGGTGTGACGCAATCTAGGCGCGGCTCGCCAAAGTTTGCGGCTGGTTTTGCAGGACCTGGTAGCGAATGTCGACGTACTAAGCCACACAGGCTGCTGCGAGCCTTGGACCTGTTCAACGACGACTGCTGGGCGACCAACACGCTGGCCCACGTTGCTAGATGCGACATGGCTGGTGGTGTTTGCCGCGAGATGCGGGGCGTTCAGGGTGGATACAGGCCACATAGCAACTGTCAAACGCTTCCCCGGTTGCCTGCATGTATCGATGAAAGCACCGCAGAGCTGTTTGATGTCCCGCCGATTGTGTAGACGCCCAGACGCTTTGTCCGTCGCCATGTCCAAGTGACAAAGCCAGGCAGCGCACGACGGCCTGAGTCAGGGCGGGGCTGATGGGGGCGTTTGGTATGCACGGTAGAACGCTCTGCTAGCGTGGCTCGGCAAGTTCGAAAAACTAAAGGCCGCGACCCCATATAACTTCCCTCGACCACCCGCAGCCCGCACACACTCCCCTTGGAACCAGCCAAAATCCATCCGTCGACCTCGCCCACACCAGTGACTGCCACTGGCAACAGCACCCGCCCACTCTGCCCTATCCGCCCAACCGCCTGCTCGTCGCCCGCCCGCGACCTGCCTGAACCGCCACCTCGACGTCCGCCTCCAGGCCCCAAGCACCAACCGCACCTCAGAGTCGCCCACGACAACAGGAGTATATGTATTCGCGCCAACGCTACGCCTTCCGAGTCGAACCTCCCCCCAAACTGCAAAAATTTCGCTGTATGCGGATACCAAGCAGCATCATCCACCAAACCAACGGCTAATCCACTGCCCCTCCTGACCCCGAGTCGCACACACACACCCAACCCACACGTACTAGAGACTGCTTCTGCGCATGTCTCTTTCGGCCCTCGTCAACATAGCTGATCCGACCCCGTTCGCCCGCCCGCCGCACCACCATTAACCACCCCCTCGCCCAGTCCCCGCACCACCGTCGCCATGGCTACCGTCAACATCCGCCGCGATGTCACCGACCCCTTCTACCGCTACAAGATGGAGCGCATCCAGTCCAAGATTGAAGGCAAGGGCAACGGCATCAAGACCGTCATCGTCAACCTGAGCAGCGTCGCTCAGTCCCTCGCCCGCCCGCCCGCTCACGTCATCAAGTACTTTGGCTTCGAGCTGGGCGCCCAGACCAACACGAGCCCCAACGACGACCGTTGGATCATCAACGGCGCCCACGACGCCAGCAAGCTCCAGGACTACCTCGACGGTTTCATCTCCAAGTTCGTCCTCTGCAAGAAGTGCAAGAACCCCGAGACCGACGTGCACATCAAAGATGGCAACATCACGCTCGACTGCAAGGCTTGCGGAAAGATTTCCGACGTAGACCCCCGCCTCAAGCTCAGCTCCTTCATCCTGAAGAACGAACCCAAGAAGGGCAAGAAGGACAAGTCCAGCAAGAAGGCTGAGCGCCGTGCCCGCAAGGAGGCTGAAGCCCGCGGCGAGGCTACCTCCCCCGACGGCGGCAGTCCCGGTGACAGCGCTGAGGAGAACGGTGACGATGGTGACATGGCACTCGAGGCCGGCAGCGACGACGAGCTGACCCGCCAGATCAACGAGGGCGCCAAGGAGATTGAGGAGGAGGATGCCAAGGAAGTTGAGTGGTCCATCGACACCTCGGAGGCCGCCATCAGGGCTCGTGCCCAGGACCTTCCCGACGACCTCAAGCGTGCCCTTGTCATTGAGGATGACGACGAGGGCGGCTCCAGCTACGACACTTTCGGCAAGTGGATCATCGACACTGGCGCGGAGAAGGGCGGTGTTGAGAAGCTTGACAACGTCGACATCTACGTCAAGGCCAAGGAGCTCGGCATCGAAACCAAGCACCGCACACTTACCGTCATTCCCCAGACCCTCTTCACCGAGAAGATCGTCAAGCAGATGGATGGCCGTGCTCCCATGCTCAAGAAGATGATCACCTCGGACAAGCATGAGAAGGCTTTCCTTGGTGGCATTGAGCGCTTCGTCGGCAACGACAAGCCCGAGCTCATCCCTCAGGTCTCGGCCATCCTGTTGAAGGTGTACGAGAACGACCTCGTCTCGGAAGACCAGCTCAAGGGCTGGTGCTCCAAGGCCAGCAAAAAGTATGTCGACCTCAAGGTCAGCAAGTCTGTCCGCAAGTCGGCCGAGCAGTTCAAGGAGTGGCTGGAGAATGCGGACAGCGACGACGAGGATTCCGAGTAGAACCTCGACTGAAGCGACACGTGCATGGTAATAGTACGCGGAATGTCCAACTGTTGTCAGTCATTACCTTTGGTCTTGCTTGTCTTGTTTTGATTTGTTTTAGACGGCGTGTAGGTAACTCTACTTCTGTTTCCGACACACGTTTGGGCCAGTCGCGATGACAGCCTCGTATTCTTCTCCCCTCTAGATAGCCTACTAAAGAAACTTTGCTCTCGCACCACCTCGCTTCAGTGACCTGCATTGCTCTACACGAGCCCCACTTGCCGTTCGCCGTTATTATTTCCATCCACCAGGTGCTCGGGCCCATCACTATCATGCCCGAAGTTTCTGCATGCACTGTGTGGCGAGCGCATTGGATTTGTGACAGTAGTTCCATCCGGGCTTGTGGATGCAGCTGCATGCCCCACCCCAATGATCGATCTTCGCTAAAGCCATGCAATCTCACCACGTAGTCTTGCCTCCGGTCCATTCACGATCAAATCCCTCAGCCTTTTTCACATTCAGCATGCACGATAACGCACGAAAAAGCAACATCGGGATTCGCCTAGTCTCAGCACGCGTGCATCGACATGCTCTCGCACCGGCCATCTCCACAAGGGTACATTAGTCTCCGAGGCTTAACCCCACCCAGGCAAGAACAAGCGGAGCTCCCATGCTCTGGACAGCAGGCCATGCACACTTTTTTCACCACCGCGCATGGTGGCCAGAGCGAGGGACGCGACTGGCGAGAACGAACGAGGGCAGCCCTCGTTGTTTAAAATGTGGCGGACCCCCACTTGGGGGATGAGTTGCAACCTCTCGCAGCCGCCAAATCGTACGCAACTGTACACCACCGTGAGCGACTTCTGGAGTTTTGCGCTCACGTCAATTGCGAAAAGCTCCACTTCACCACGCCGAGTCTCACGATCTTGCCGACAGGCTTTCGATAGCAGTGTCAAGCCTGTGCGCTCAGTTCCCGCGCTTTCGAACCCTCCAGGATCAAGAGAACGGTCATGAATCCGATTCAAGCTTACCCTGCTGAGGGCGTGGTCGTTCAAGATGCTCATCACGGCCACTACGCGCCCGAGGCAGCTCATGACAAAACCGGTGCTGGCACATATGTGACATCTGAGAATGAGTCGCATAACGGTGCGGCCGGGAATGAGGTTCTAGAACGCGATGCGCAGACCAAGGGACGGTGGTTCCAATACCTCAAGACGAAACAATTCTGGATCACATTGGTCCTTGGGCAGGGTACGCACCAAACACACTATTACTGGATGTTCGAAATGTAGACTAACAAGGTATTACTTCCAGTCCTCGCTCTCTGCATCACCGGTACAAATACATTATCGTCTCTGCTCGCGGAAGAGGGTACATCGATACCCGCCTTCCAGTCCTTCTTCAACTACGTCCTCCTCAACATAATCTACACATCGTATACCCTCTACAAGTACGGCTTCAAGAAATGGGGGCGAGTCGTCATAAAAGACGGCTGGCGGTTCTTTATCCTCGCCTTCATGGATGTCGAGGGCAACTATTTCATCGTTCTGGCGTATCGTTACGTAGGTTCTTGTCCATTCTCTCGTGTAGACTTGCATGCTGACACACGACTAGACCACCATCCTCAGCGCCCAATTGATCAACTTCTGGGCCATCGCCGTTGTCGTAATAATTTCCTTCTTCTTCCTCAAGGTCCGCTACCACTACACGCAAATTTTCGGCATCCTTCTGTGCATCGGCGGTCTAGGCGTAATCTTCGGCTCTGATCACATCACCGGTACCAACAACTTTGGCGCTACGGACCAAGTCAAGGGCGATCTTTTTGCGCTTCTAGGCGCCACATTCTACGGTCTGTCCAACGTATTTGAAGAGTGGCTGGTTTCCGAACGGCCGCTGTATGAGGTTGTTGGCCAACTTGCTTTCTGGGGCATGTTCATCAACGGTACGCAAGCGGGTATCTTCGACCGCGCCGCCTTCCGCAGTGCGACTTGGAACGCCAAGGTTGGAGGCTACCTCACCGGATACACACTCATCCTTTCCCTCTTCTACTCCCTTGCACCGGTCCTGTTCCGTCTCAGCTCCGCTGCATTTTTCAACATCTCCCTTCTCACAGGAAGCTTCTGGGGTGTGGCGATTGGCGTCAAGGTCTTCGGATTGAACATTCACTGGATGTACCCCATCGCCTTTGTCCTCATTATTATTGGACAGGTGATCTACTTTTTGCGACAGAGTATGGTTGGTGAGGCGCTGAAGCCATGGTTGGGCAAGGATCAGGAAAGAGGCCATGCAGGTGTGGGTACGGCGAAGAAGAGGGTCGAGAGGCCTGAGGCTATTGTCTAGGAGTGGACGTTATGACGGCAATGCCAGAGGGATGATTTCGATTTTACTTATAAGATCATTTAAACCTACGAACCCTAATAAAAGACTCTGAATTTACATGTCTTCTTCGCCGATAGAGACGACTAAAAAGGCCAGTTTTTGCTATCAATGTCTCAACCGATCTAGCAGCTACGAGATGAGCATCCTCCGTCCATACCACCCTCGTCTATCAGCCCACCCTATCGACCAGTCGCGATACGCAGTGAATAATTCCATTGTGATGATGATGTAGCCGTGGTTTAGTTGCGCCGCACACTTGACCCTGAGGTTCTGCTCATGATCCCTTGATGTCGTAGCTCCAATCGGGTATAATCGGTGAAAAGAGCCTATTCGGAATACGAAATGAAGCCCGCCATTGCTTGAGGTTGACTGGCAAGGCATATAGGCCACGCGAAAATGCGTATGAGTTGTCCATCAAACTCGCTCTTCTACAGTAAGATTAGAAGCTCGTGCGTGAGGGAGATGCTAAGCCACCGCGCTTCTCACACAACGGCCAGTTTTCCTTTCTCACAAGTCCAAGAACTCGCCGATTTTTCTTTCTGCCGATTGGAAAAGCCGGAACCTGATTTCAAGAATGAGGGAAAGGAAGACGCCAGCCTCGACCCAGAATGCAAAAGTCGCAAAGTTCTTCCATGCAGTCCAACAAATGACATACGCGGTTGTTATGCCGAAGCCAGCAATGGCTGCGCTTGCAATCGGGGTTGTTGATAACCAACCCTTTTCCGAAGCTGTCAAGATGAGATAACTGACTGCGAATGCTTCTAGCGGCAAAAACGCCATGACGAGGCACGTGAAGTCGTCGTTGGCTGGTAACGAGGGTGACACGTAGGCAATGGCGCCTGTTATGATCCAGCAGGCTAGATTACCCGTAAATGCAAGAAGCATGGTACCAGCAGTCGGTATGTGTGGAGACTCGTGTATGCGATGTGTTTGAGATCCGGCTGCGCCGTCTGCCTTGGCTGTAGTTGGAGGGCCTGCAACTTTTATATTGCTCATGGTGACGGAAAATGGTGAACTGTTTCTTTGAGAGATTACGCTCAATTCTTCTTTATAGCGATTCGTTTTACGGTCTTTAGGACTTTCTTGATTTGAACTTGCGGGTAAGATGACGGACGCCAGGCCGTCACGTTCGTCTGGGTCGGATCGCACGGCATATCAGCAAATCAAAGGCAAGGTTCTTCAACCTAAGGTTCTTGAATTCGGCCTTTTGAGTAATGTCACATGCGCACGAACACATTCAGTGACTGTACTCGTTTGCGTGGAGCAGAGGCAGTTGAAGCTCGTGCCTAGGTACCTAGGTAGTATTCGTTACTAGCCTGTCTTGGCTGACGCCACTTATCACCTGCACCAGCCACTTTCCAACCTTACTTCATCTATACTCTTCCTCAGCAAGCATTAAACCATCCTGCTCTATCCGTGGCAGCTCTCAACCTAAATACATACAAATCTCGCAGATCATGTCTTCGCGCGGTCTTCCCGACGTCTTGATGCAAAAGGTCGACGATTATGTCGATTCGCTGGCGCCCCAGATCCAGCCCCGTATCGCCTCCGAACTTGAAGTCTTCCAACAAAAGACTATCGACAGCCTGGAAACCCAGGTCGTAGACGCTTTTCGTTCATTGTTCGGTAAAGACAGGCCGTCTTCGTCGGATGGCAGCCGATCGGGCCCTTGGAATCTCAATGACGCAGCACCCGACGCCTATGGTGGACAGTCATTGCCTTTTGCGGATGAAATCGCCAAGTTGACGCGTAGCTTCGGTCAGATTTCTGATGAAGCGGGCGGGGATTTGCGCGATATATTCGATCTTACGGAGGGGAACCGAGGAGGCCCAGAGCAGTCTCGATCTGTAGACGGGGATTTCTCGTCTGGAGCTCGAGGTTTCCTTTCATCGGCTCTGAATGTCGTGCAAGATCATTTCGACGAAAGAGGGTCAAAGGGTGGTCAGTCCTTTGAGATTGGGGGTCTTCTCGGTATGATCAGTAGCACAATCAAGGACGCATCTCAGAACCCCGAGGAGAAGGCGAGACTTATCAGCCCAGAGATCAAGCAGACAGTTGGTGACAAGTTACGTCAACAGCACGCGCCTCTCGCTGAGCAGTTCACCCGCATAGCTCTGGAACACATCAAGCGCTGGCTTCGTGGAAACACAAGCACGCGCGACTTGGGTGATGGTGCGAAAGCCGAAATTGCCGAACAGGTGGGCGACCTGGTAAAGGGCCTTGGAAATTTGTTCGGGAGCAAAAAGAGCAGCAATGAGGAGACTTCGAGAGGCTTTGATGACTCTAGTCGTGATGGCGAGAGCAGTAGTGGTGGAGGCTTCTCCCGCGTCATCAGTGACAAGCTCAGCACTGGTCTCGCCAAAGTCCACCGAGAAGTGAGTAATATCACTGTACGAAATTTGTGTGGGAAAGATACTGACATGACACACTCATCTTTAGGTTCGCTTGGAGTTCCGTAAGATCCTCGGAGCAATCGAGAAACAACTATTCGAATTGTTACCTGATCAATTCCAACGTCCACTCGAGAAGATACTAGGAGGAAATCCTTTCGATTCACAGCTCGACCGCGACGCGTCCGGTCCAGCAGATCGCGGGTTTGGAGATGACATCAAGTCCAAATTGCTCTCCAAGATCCGTGCTTTGGTACAAAAGGTACAAGAGACACTTCGAGAAAGCATACTGGGTGTAGTCAATGGTGGTCATCGCAAGTTTGAGCGTCAGAGCTGGGTCTTCGTGCAGGGCATGGTAGAACAGAAAGTACAAAGGTACCTGCCAGACGTCAAGATCAACGTCCCAGACGATATCGGAAACGAGAACGTAAGCGTCGGATCCCCGACTGCGAACACAAGCATGGGGGGAGGTTACCAACCTCCGTCACAACCGCCACACGGTGACCATCGTCCACCCCCCACGTCTGGCAGTTACAGTGGACAGGAACATGTGCCGCAGGGATACAACAACCCCCCACAGTACCAGAGCCGTGATCAATACCGAGAGGACCCTAGACGCGAGTACCAAGATCATCAGGCGTCACAATACCCACCGCCTCAAGACTATCGACCCGAGCATCACGGGCCACGTCATGAAGGCTATGCTCCTCAGCAATATCAACCACCTCAACATCACCGCCCTGAATCATATCCATCTCAGGACTACCGATCTGAGCACCATGCCCCACCTACACAGGGTTACCATCAAGGACCTCCAGACTATCGTTCGGAGCAGTACCCACCATCCCAACAAGGCTACCCTCAACAAGAGTATTCTCAGCGTGACTACCGCGGTGACGGGTATCGAAGGCAGGACTATTAAAAGAGTCGCGTAGGGGCACTAACCATGTCAAGCGTGCAAGGTACAGGTGTCAGCTTGCGCGACTTCTTCCACAACCATACCTACGATGAAATAGCAATCAATTATAAAGCCATCGATGACTTCCCGTCTGTAGTTCCCGGGCAGATGTATGTAAGCGTAAGATGTATGACTAGGACTGCAATATCTTTTCGGTAATCGTAAAAGCCGAATTCCGGCTGAAGATTCCTGGATTACGTCGCAGATACGATTACTATAATAACTAAGCGCTACCGACAACTCCATAAATGCAGGCCCAAAGAGATCCGTGGTATCATATATCTGTTCCTCCCAACAATCCGTACGCCTGAATGATCCGTCCCTTGTAGTCCCCTTATGAGGACGATGACGCAGAATCTTCAGCAGAGGGCGAAAGCGAGGCTCCACCGACCCGAAGAGCTTTCAGCGCAACGTCAACTTCAGTGGTCGCCATCTTCTGCCATTTCTCCCGCGTGTCTTGATCCGCCAACGCATCAGCACCAGCTTCACCAACCTTTTCGTATAGCAAACGTGATACGTCGCGATTGACGTCGGTATACTCCTGTTTCGTGACTTCTTTCTTCAGGTAAATGGGTTTTAACACAGCTGTAACCATGCGCTGCAGTTCAGCTTTGGTAGAATACGAGAGGGTCGGCCGGCTAGGCGACGAGTCCTTCGAGCGAGGGGGGCTGCTGAGGCCGACAGAGCGATGCGCGAGTGTGCGACGTCCGGGGCGGTCGTCGTCTGCAGGGGAATACGGCGAGTAGGTTGGCGACAATTGCTGGTCCTGTTGTACAGGTGATGTGGTGCGAGTAAGATTAAGAGGCGGCGGTGTGGACATGCCGGGAGGTTTCTGGTAGACCGGCGACAGACCTGGGGAGGAATGTTGGGGAGAACAAGCGCGCTCCACGATGATGCGCCGGGGCTGTGGGGCGGCGATCTCCTTGTCGCGCTCGGCAAACCGGTCGACCTCGACCTCCTGAAGCAACGATTGCAGAAAACCAGGCGCGGGAGTTGAACTCTCACCGGTTGGAACTGCAGGGGGCGATGATGCAGCAGCAGGAGCGTGAGTGCTAGCCACCGTGTTGCGGCGTGCGGCTGCCGACGATGACTCTCCGTTGTCCAGGTGCATACGGGTTCGAGGGCGCTTGAGCTTGCGTTCTGGCTTCTGCTCGCGAGGCTCAGAATCGGCAGGAGAGGAGTCGATGGACTTGCGTTTGCGGCCTCTTCGGCTACTGGTGCTCGCTACGCTGGGGGCAGGACGTGCGTCACCTTGGGCTAGCTGCTCGCGCGCCTTCTCGAATTGGTTCCACGCCCGCAGTTCTTCCTGTGACTCTGGATCTTTTGGTGTCTTTGGTGGCTCGCGATGAAGCGTTCGATTCGTCGGTCGTGTAGCGCCGTTGGAGTTGCGGCGTCGACCGGTTACAACATTGTCAGTGGCGATTTGGAAGCGAGTGCCGGCTCCGGCCTGTCGTGCGACTCGCATGCGCTGCTCCCATCTACGGTCATCGCGTCGCGTGGCATCTGACTGGTTCTCAGACTGTTCTTCCTCGTCAAAGGGGAACTCGATGTCAAACTGCAATCGGTCCCAGACGCTCTGCCAGACGCCCACCCATTCGTCAGGGGCATGATTGTGACGCGGCACACGGCTCCGGCCGTTGATCCAGGCAGCGGGACCTCGTACTGCAGGTCGTCGTCGGGACGCGGCTTCCAGCAGACTAGGATTCTCAACACAGCCCTGGCAATACCAGGGCCCGCGAGATGGCATCCGGTCGAGTCCAGCACAGAAGACATGGCAGAGTTGTTCGCAGCTATGGCAGTACATGAGCTGCGATGCGTCGCCAAATTCATCACAGACCATGCATGCATCGTAGCTTCCGTCATCCTCCAGTATGTAGTCGTCGTCGATGATCATGGACGGATCGATATCGGCGACTTGCTGCTTGTCTTGCACGGCGTACTCGGATAGTTTGGGTCCTGGTGAGTTGTTAGTCGAAATTCCATGTTGACAGAGCCACCTTGTGCGGCAAGACATTATAGGTTTGGGTAGAGGTCATGCTGAGCTTGACTGACCATTTAGCCAGTAGCTAGGCTACTATCAGCCAACAATAGCAGCGTCACAACCGCAGGGCTCCGTAGCATCCAGGACTGACATACCTCCAACGCGCGCGCTGAGCTCGACCATGTTGAAACTGGCTCGACATATAGGGCAACTGTTCGCTCGTTCGACCCAGGGCTTGAGGCACTCGTTGTGCAGATCGTGGCCGCATGGCAGTAAATGTGCGACCAAATCGTCCTCCTTGGTAGACTCTACGGCCGCCATCTTATCCTTGGCATGTGATTGGAGGTCGACATCAGCGCCATCCTCAAGCGGCTTGGTCGCCAGCGATGATGCGGTGGCGGTAGGGCCGTCGTCGAGGGGGACGAGATCGCCGAGGCAGACTATACACGTCTCGGCCATTGGTGTGATGCTTGGAAGTGAAAGAGCGGAAGTACTCGTCGACGCGATTCATAAGTTGGGAAGATGATCAAGTCGAGAGAGCGGGGACTGTGGTTTAAGTAGCGGACGCTAGTGGCTTGGCCTGCAGCCACACTCCTAGGCAGTCGCAACCAACCCCGGAAACCCGTGATGTTTGCCAGCCCTGAAGAGGATGCCCAAGTGAAGACTAGTGGCGCCTTTGGTAGTGTAGAATGCGTGACGAGATCCAAAGCTGCTGCGGGCGGGCAGATGCTAGATGATCAGTCATTCTTCGCGCTTACCTTACCACGTGTTCGGGACCCGAAGGAGCAGTCCGGATGACTTGCGATGTCACCGAGTGGTTACCTATGGTGTAAATATGTTTCAGTTCAACCGCTTCGCTATCTCTTCAACTCTTGATTGTGTCAGATGCGCTTGTGGTATGCATACGGAAGGCGCGCTTAGCCTCAAGGTACTCGCATCGGTTTCCGTCTCGCGTCTATGGGGCATTCTGAAGTGGGAAGTCCGCGCATACAAGGCCGGACGGACTGGAGATCTGGACAATCTTATCTTCGCGAGAAGACGTCACTATGGAATACACTGATAAGATAACGACAGCTGCTGAATCTGGTGTTGATGGGCCGAACAATGTGTCTGCAGCGCAAGCTCCCTCGGCGTATGGTGACGTGCAGCGCTACCAATGCCAGCCCTTGTATATTCGATACTGCGTTGGAAGACGACTCGAAAGTTCCGCCTTTGTATGGACAAAGTAAAGCAATGTAACGGGTCTTGTATTTCTACGTGTAGCGCCTCGGGCGACCTTGTAGGCGCCGGACGAGGATACCGCGCGACGTGGGCGATGTGAGTTCGCGGTATGTTTGCGGCGGCTTCTTGCATGTAGCTACCATCATCTTGAATCCTGCTGTCAGGTCTTCCTGTGAGATTTGCATATTAGCGACACTGCGAGAAACGTGGGTGTCGCAGAAAGCAGACCGCTTCATCTGCACTGTCGCGCTCCTCCACCAGGCTTCTCTGCCTTCATTGCCCGATCCAGAGAGATGACTCAGTCGTGCGATTGGAGTACAACAACTTGTGTGGAGGCCGAAAAGCCATTCAAGGATAGCGGTGAGGAATACAATTCATCGGCGTGGAGGGGCATTGCTCAAATTCAGCGTCTGTTGCCAAGGCGCTTAGAATATTTCGAGAATAGTGCATGTCCACATCGTGATCTATCTATGTAAAGGCTTACTCTGTACGTGGTATCGTTAGCTGGCGATCATTTTTTATCTTGAGCTGTGTTGTAGTGCAGCACTCGCGATGCGGCCTTCCTTCTTATGAGGCGTACTGCGAGCGGTGCAGATATTGTATCTACCGCGCACGCCGGCGCCTGCCTCGGCATGACCGCAGGCATCCAAAAGAAGGGTCTTGTCCGAGTCGCGTAGTATTCAATGATTAGGAATTTCCCCTAGCTGCACCCCGATTGACGTTTTCCTGTCTCCTCGTCTCTTCTTTGCTCAATCACACACCCTCATCAGGATGGCTCAAGAATCGCGACAATATGAGCTGATCTTGCTGGGAGCAACCGGATATACCGGAAAACTCGTTGCGGAATGGGTGACTACCCATCTGCCGGATGATCTCAAGTGGGCTGTTGCTGGACGCAATGCGAAGAAACTGCAAGCTGTAGTCGACGAATTGACGAAGCTAAAGCCAGATCGCAAGCAGCCAGGTATGTGGCGACAGAATCTGCGTTACAAATATGTGACGGACAAAATCTGACGGGTCAGCTAACGAGACCTAGCTATCGAGACATGCGAGCTTGAGCGCCAACAGCTAGAAACGCTTGTTAAGAAGACAAAGCTCATCATCACGACGGTGGGCCCCTTCATGCACTATGGCGAGCCTGTCCTTGCCGCCTGTGTGAACAACGGCACACACTATCTAGACTCCACTGGTGAGGTGCCATGGATCTACGACATGGTTGCCAAATACGATGAGCTTGCGAAGAAGAACAAGACCATCGTCATCCCCGAATGTGGTCTCGACTCTGTTCCTGCAGACATCATGGCGTACGTCCTCGCACGCGAGGTGCGCAAGCGCTACGACGCACCCTGCGAGCGCGCCATCATGACACTCTACGACTTCAAATCTGGAATCAGTGGTGGAACATCCCTTACTATGCTGGAACTCTTCAAGAAATACTCACTCAGTCATCTCGGAAAGTCGATGCACCCATACTCGCTGTCGCCGGTTAGCGCAGACAACGTCGTCGCAGCACCGTCGGGACGCTTTCCATACAGTCTTTTCGGTCTACAAAGTATTCCTGAGCTTGGAGGCATCCAGACAACTGGACTCATGGCAAGCGTCGATGTATGCATTGCACATCGCTCGTGGGGTCTGTACCAGTCTTCGGGTGATGACACCCTGCAATATGGTCCCAAATTCCGGTTCAACGAGTACGCGCGTGCTCCCAGCTTCTTTGTTGGGCTAGCACAGAAGGTCGTTCTTACTTCAGTCGCCGTTCTGCTTGCCATACCAGTAACACGCTGGTTGTTGGAACCCGTCTTCAAGATGGTCATCCCAAGCCCAGGCCAAGGACCGTCGAAAGAGAGCATGAAGGATGACTTCATGCACTACCGTGGTGTTGGCACCACTGGGGACGGAAAGAAGGTGATTGCTAACCTCGAGGTCGCACATGGTGGGTATGTTGCCACAGCGATGACACTCAGTGCCGCCGCCTTAGTCGTTCTCCGAGGCAGGCTAGAGGACAGCGAGGCGGGTAAGCTAGGAGGTGGCATTCTTACACCCGCAACACTGGGAGATGAGTACGTGAAGACACTGAATGACTTTGGCATGAAGATCAGAGTGGACAAGTAAGATATTGAGCGGGAAGGCCTTTGGCCAACAATTGATCTCCAATATCCAATCTACGAAAAGTTCATTTGAACACAGCATGTACGAAACGAGCAGATCACATGCTTTGATCGTAACCTTACCGCACGTGGCTTCATCATACATCATCCCTGGTCTTCTCATCAAAGTGTCACGAGAGCGATGATGTCAATGAAAAATACGTTTAGCTAGTCTTGACGATGTACTCAGCTTGCTAATCAAGATCGATTATGCAAAATGACTAGACCTATTCCTCTCACTTTCAATGCACCTACTCTCTCGACTATTGTCGTTTCCGTCTTCAGGTGACTGCCTCAGCAAATATACAGTAGAGACGTGATAGCTAAGCTATAGTCCCCTATTGCTGGGTTGTCGTTGATCGCTGCTTCGATTCCCCAACCCCTCTATAGTGGATATTGGAACGACAATGCATTAAACGGTACGATGGAATCTCCCCTTCTCGAAGAGCTCAAAGCAGTCGCCCGATTGTGTTCTGCCAGCCCCTACAGAAAGTCTCCAACACTAGTGCAGCGGCTACTTGGGCAAAAGCGTTTGGTTGAGGGTCAAATGGTAATTCCTGGTGCTGATGTAAGAAAGTGCTCGGGTATTAAACGCAAGTATCGCTCGTCCTCGTCCGCTACGCCTCCTCTCTGATCCACCGTCCGCATCCAACAGAGTAGACTCCAATAGCCCAGTGTGCTCATGACCCGCTGTGTGTCTCTTCCTTCTTGGTTGTACCATCTTCCTTCTGCCTCGCACCACCGGGTCCCTGCTTAGCCAAGGCTTCAATCATCTCCGCAACCGCAAGGGCCTTTGTCCGGTTCGCTTCTTCATCTGCGGGGTCTGAGAGGGTGTCGAGGCCGCCGAAGAGCCAGAGTTCTTGTAAATCGCGGATGAGGGTGGAGATGCCTTGTGCCGTTCGGATCTACGCACTGTTAGCCCAGCCCCGCTGCGTTGGGAAAGCTGGCGTGCGGTATGGAAGCTTGCGACGCACCAAGGCAGCACTTTGTTCTCTAATGACCAGCTCCCTTTGTGCAGACGTTGCATAGTCCAATGCCGGCGGAAACTCGGTTCGTGTGTCGTCTTCCGAGTAGTCGGTCGCATCCTGCATCTTCACGGCGCGAAGAATGGTGGAGAGGTAGCCGTCGCCGCCCCATGGGTCATCTTTCCGGTTGTCGACAATGGAAGTGCATAGTGCCTCGGTCTTTGCTGCAAGAGGGTTAGCATGCGCTTGACGGGCTCTCGTGTGTCTGCATCTCCATAGCGTATATGGCACATACCGAGAAGTGCCTCTTTCGTCCGCTCTGAAGGGTTCATAGCGGGCTGCAGGTGTGTCTGGCGCTCTGAGTTGCGGAGTTTCGGGAGTGACCTCCAGCCCGATCAAAGGGCTTATCGATAGCTAGCTCGCACAACTTGTGCTATGCAAACTTGGCTGCCGGCCCTGCATTCGACTTGATCCAAGCATGCGATCGCCACGGTGATCAACACGGGGGGCTTCAAGTCCCACAGTCCGAGGGTGAAGATCACAGTCTCGCGACCCAAAACCTCGGCGTCGCGTCACGCTATTGATCAACCCGGGGCATGACGTCCTTCAAAGGGGCCCCGTGTGTCGCCAATCTGGGACCGAAGCATTTAACCATTTATCCCCGATGATACGATGGACCCGGTACCTGGTAGTATCGCGCCATGTCAAATCGAGTCCCAGGTGTCTGTTCACCCAAGGCATACACCTGGCCATGACGGCGACGTCGAAAGCTTCAGCGGCTCGTCACAAATTGGCTGACAATTTGTCAACGAGTCGTGCATGGGCATTTTGACGAGTTGGAAGCCCGCGGACAAAGTTGGGTTTAGACGTTCCGTGGACGTTCGGCCGTTCGCGTAATCGAAACCATCGTTACCAGCACGGATGATCGTCAGGAACGGCCGCCATACCCGTCTCCACCTGACGCCCGCTTGTGCTACAGGTCTTGTGTATCGTGCCGTCTTCGTCGTCGTGTCTTCGGGCAAAGCAGACATCTCACACATGGTCTGCTATCACGCAAGCTGAGAGTCTGAGACGGTCCGTCTCATTCATGGCCCGTGAACTGGGCCGCAGATAGCGACCCTGCATCCGAAAGCCACGTTCCTGGTTCAATGGCTGGCTGCCTAGGCGGTAGACCCGGGAACGCCGCACCTTATCGCGCAGCGACCACCTTCCACTAGCCTGTTTGACACGGACAATGTCCGATTTCTTGTTAGAGGGCCAACGGAGCGCCGACTACTGCAATACACTGTATTGCTGACCAGGGTTCGGAACTTGTCCCGTCTGTGGCTTGCGCCTTGCATGCGTCGCGCATGTATCACTTCCAGCCATGTGGGTCTGCATCGATAACATGCTTGGGATGCATCGAAGAATCCGAGCGAGGCCTATGTTTGCCGAAACAGAGACGGGTCGACGCAGCGTGCGAAAGAAGCCATGTCATAAAATCGTCGTGATTGCTACTGGGCACTATCTACGTAGATGTGTAAAATTTGCGGTGGACCATGCTCACTAACGTCGTGTGCTGAAACACTTGCAAAAACGCCAGGACTCCTGCGTCATTTGTGCTCCTTTAAACGCTCAAATCCTTCCCAGTCGTGATATAAGAATAAAATAGTTTAGAGGAGTAAAATATCGGCCCCAAGCGCTGTATTGCCAAAACGCCTTGGCCGATGTAAAATCACGCTAAAATGCAAGGTGCAGAGGTTCTCCAATAGGTCGAAAAATGGTGCCTTAGTGGTCAAGGCAATCAAACTTGCAGCACTCATACAGAGCACAGTATGCTGCGTCGGGAAAGGGTGTGCCATGAGCTGCGGCTCTTGGCACGCTGTGACGTAGGCCGCGAGTTGGGAGCAGAAGGTTGAGGCAAAGTCTGGGGTTCAGATATGTGTTTTCGCTTGACCAAAGTGGCTTTTGCAGGTTGTGGGTTGATGACGCGGACGATCTCGTCGTCGTCTTTGGATTCTTCAGACTTGGATGTGCCTGTCGCGAACATGAGCAGTTGAGCGTTGAATCAATTAGGGCTGCTTACGAGAAGAGGCTGAAGTACGTCTGGAAGTGTGAGAAGACGTCTCCACCGAGTCTGCACCTAGGATTAGCGGGTTTGTTAACCATCAATGCCGTATTGCTTACCGTCTGGAGAAGAAACATTGGATAAAGGACTCCGTCGTTTGGTCATGGAAGACCTACTGCTCGCAGTCTGGCGCGGTCGTGGACGATAAGTCGCAGCAGGTGGGAATGCTGGTAGAGTGGGTACTGGCGGTATGTTGTCTGAAAGATGCAAAGGCTGGCCTGACACGGGTGGACCGCGTCCTCTAACACGGTTTTGCTCATCAATTTCCATGGACAGTCGCCGAATCACCGCGTCTATGGAAAGGCCCTCACGGCTCTTGGGTCTGTGGTTGACGGTACGAGTAGGGTTCGGTGTTACGCCGCTCCTGGCGCGCAAGGCTGGGTGTATGAGGTCGGACGAGTGGTCGAGTTTCCGTCGTACTGCTTCGGGCAGCGGTTGAGAGGCGGTTCTACTCCTTCTTGCGGCTTTGATCCGAGCCTGCAATTCTTCAGCGGCGACCAATTTGGGGTTCGCAGCAGGCGCATCCTCGTGTGCCAAAGGCTTGGAAAAATTGGTAAAGGGCGCGGACGTGGGTCTCGGAGGCTTTATCGTAGCAATGGGGTCTTTTTGGTTGAATGCTGCTGGTATACTCCTGTGTTTCAGGGACGTGGACATTATTGGTAGTTGGTGATGAACGGGGTGCAAACGTGTTAGGATCCAAGTCGAAGGGGTTTGCGGAAGGTGTTTGGCTTCTGGGGTAGCGTAATCTATAATGGATAATTATGATTTCCCAACAGTCGGGGCGGGAGAGGCACTTGCGTAGCGTGGGAACTGGGTTTCTGTCAATGCGCCGTTGCTTCTAGCGCTTCAGATGCAGATCCCTCTGTGAGGCGCAGCTGGTGAAACTCGAAAAGGCTAGCAGGCGTTGATAAACAATCCCAAGTTGCTTTAGCGACCGCCGACACAGCTCAGCTTCGTATAGGAGCACTTGAGCCTGGCCTCTCAGTATGCCACGGACTAACGAATGCGGCAATGGTCGCGGAACATGGCGCAACGTGTGCCATTGGTGATTGGTCTCCCGCGCTATCATCCCCAAACCCTGGAAGACTATGGCTAGACCATTGCCGATGCATCTACGTGTGCCGTGTCTATAGTTAGTAGTGTCGAGGCTCGTAGGATATATGACGAGGCGTCTGCCTAGGCAATGGTTCATCGAGTTGTCCGCAACGGTGACGGCTCGCGCAGTGCCATGGGCTCCCACGACGCACTGTGGCATTGGGATGGGCGCCGGGGGACGTTTGAAGGTGGGCGGGCGGCCAGCTATGGAGAAGCGCGTCCCGCAGCATGCATACTTGTGGCTGTCAGCTCTGCAGCTCGTGCACCACTTTCGCTATGGAAGGACGTATGTACAGCAAGTCGAGACTCTCGGATGCCAGCCCAGATAAGTCCAGGTAGACACGCTGTGCATCTACCGGGAGTGGATCGTACGAGCCTTGCTTGTGAGGTAGTGGCGTGCGCGGCGAAGAGCCCCCGCCTCGTGGCATCGCAGGCCAAATGGCAATGGACAGCCCGGTCGCAGTGAGAGACAGCGATGGTTGTCTGACCATGGTGCCTTCCTCTATAGTCATCCCCTCGCTTATCCACCCAGTGCACCGCCAACGGCACGTGACGAATGGGTAGCCCCAGGGCTGCCTGCCTGCCTGTCTGCCTACGTATTCAGGTAGGTAGCCCTGGAGACGAGGGCACAGAGCCAGTCGGGCAGGTGCGTGTGAAGGGCCATGGGCGTAGGTTGCGATGGGTGGTGCGGCGTCTGGTGGAGCTGTGGGTGCCAAGCTGATTGCGTCAGTGAAGCCGGCGTGGGCAAGCGCGCATCTCAGCGGGCGCCGTCATACGAGGCGAAAGCTGCACTCCTTCACACCAAGGCTGGCAACGGGTCGGGCGACTGCATACCGGATTACTACCCCGCAACACACACCTCGCAGACCGCGCCCACACATCGCCGCGCTCGCCAGGGTTCCGCGTGGTGGTTACCTGCCCAGGCACGCACTGGCATTGCGCTCCAAGCAGCTAGTGGCCAAGGCCCTGTGCGCTCTCCCGCCTTCGTTTTGCGACCCACGACGCGACAAAGTGTTCCGAGGCTGATCTCCATCACCCTGCCCCGTCACCGCGCCATCGCGTTGTACCATCGACTGCTGCGCGCGCCGGGCCTGCCCCATCCACGCCCTTCTTGTCGCGTTCCCGAGCTCTGCGATAGCCCGCAAGCGCCGCCGCGCCTCCTAATCGTCATCCGCCAGCACAACACGCAGCCGCCCCAATCGCCCACCCCCGACCTCCGCCCCATCCACCGCCAATTGTCCGCTGCACATTGCGCAAACGATCGCGACCGCCCGCCTGCCTCCGGAGGGTACACGCCCTAGCCGGAGAGTGTCGACACGCCGCCGCCGGTTATGGCAAACGTCGCTCCGCCGCCTGCGAGCGAACGAAAGCGCGTCAAGGTCTACGAACTCAAGAACAACGACTGGTTCGACAGAGGCACCGGCTTCTGCAAGGGCGTTGTCGCCAGCGTACGTTCCCCCACATGACCCGCGAGCCACCCTCACAGTTGGCGCACTTGTCGCGGTATCTGGCCCAACAGGCGTTCCAGGCTAACTTGTGCGACCGCAGCAGGAGGAAGCGAGGATCGTGGTCCTCTCCGAGGACGACCAGTCGCGACAACTCCTCGAGACGCGCATCTCCAAAGACGACGGCTACCAGAAACAGCAGGGTATGCGCCTGTCCGCGCCCATGGCATCGCAGCAGCTAAACATGTGCAGACACGCTCATTGTATGGACCGAGCAAAATGGCACCGACATGGCCCTCAGCTTCCAGGAACCCGAGGGCTGCGCTAGCATATGGTGAGCCGCGTGTGCCTTTCCGAGTCCACGTCGTATGCTGACGCAGAACAGGGACTTTGTCAATGAAGTTCAATCGCGGCTGCAAGCCCTCGCTCAGGGTACGTGACATCAATCGTCCCCAGCTTCCAGCAAGCTAATGCTGACACAGACGATGGTCTTTCAGACGACATCGATCACATCAGTCCCATCCTACTTCCCAGTCCCGACCTCGGCAACCTCCACGAAATCGAGAACCACATGCGCGCTGCAAATTCGACGCCCGGCGGCCGCGAAGCCTTGGCCAAGTTCATACTCGCCCAAGATTACATACCAAAACTCATCCCCTTGGTGGACATGGCCGAAGACCTCGAAAGCGTGTCAGACCTCCACCGACTGTGCAGCATCGTAAAGATGCTTATCTTGCTCAACGACACCGCCATCATTGAATACGTCGTAACAGACCCGGTGGTTCTGGGTGTCGTTGGGGCTCTGGAATGTGAGTTTCGGCCCCCGCGACCTCTCACATGGCTTGCTGACATTGCGCAGACGACCCGGATTTTCCTCTACACAAAGCCAACCATCGACAATATCTCGCTGATGAATCCAAGTTCAAGGAAGTCGTACGGATAGAAGACGAAAACATCAAACGGAAAATACATTACACGTACCGACTCCAATACCTCAAAGACGTGGTTCTTGCGCGCATCCTCGACGATCCTACTTTCAGCGTTCTGAACTCCCTCATCTTCTTTCACCAGGTCGACATCGTCCAGCATCTCCAAGCGAACGGCCCATTCTTGAAAGAGCTTTTCAGCATTTTCTCCCCCAAAGAGCAGAACTTGTCGAGGAAGAAGGACGCCGTCTTGTTCATCCAGCAATGCTGCGCAATTGCGAAGAGCTTGCAAGCCAACGTTAGGGCACAGCTATATCAGAACTTCATCAGCAGTGGCTTGCTGGAAGTGATACAATTTGCGCTCAAGCACCAGGACGCTTCAGTGCGCGTAGCAGGAACCGACATACTGGTGTCTCTGATCGACCATGATGCCTTGATGGTGCGAAGTTACATCTTCAAAGCCATTCAGGAAAAGTCAAAACCGCTCACCGATACCTTGATCGAGTTACTTCTCATTGAGGTAGACCTTGGGGTCAAAGCGCAGATGGCTGATGCGATCAAGATCCTCCTTGACCCCAATGCCAACTCAGCTTCCATAGAAGCCCTCGGGCGGACGAACAGCGACTTCCTGGCCAAAATGAGGGGGCAACTGCCATCTATACCCCAAACAGACTCCTTCATACAGAACTTCTATGACGAGTCTGCGAGGAAGTTGTTCCAGCCTCTCAAGGATCTTGAGGGCCGAGAGTCGAGTAAGTGTGATTGTTCGTCCCCTTGTGATTCAAACTAACATGCTGCAGTGGATGACTTATCCATGCAAGAAGTATCGCTTTACGCCCATTTAGTCGAGGTTCTGTGCTTCTTCATTCGTCAACATTCCTTCCGTAGCAAATACTTCATTCTATCAGAAGGTCTGGCAGTGCGGGTTGCCCAGCTCATGGGTTGCCCAGAGAAGCATCTGAAGCTTAGTGAGTCCCCCTACATCGATATGATGGCTTCCACTAACGGGTTCTAGCCGCTCTCAAGTACTTCCGCACTGTTCTCGGCTTTCACGATGAGACGCACAACCGCCAGATCATCCAGCACGAGCTGTTTGAACCAATCTTGAAGATACTATACGAGACCATGCCGCGCGATAATCTCCTCAACTCGGCGTGCTTGGAGTTGTTTGAATTCATCAGGCGCGAGAACATCAAGATGATTGTTCAGCATCTTGTCGAGACATATAGAGAAAGATTACAGGAGATTACGTACGTGGATACGTTCCAAAACTTGATACTCAAGTATGATCAGAACCATGAGCCGGTAACGACCCAAGAGATGGAAAATTCCTTTACGAGTGTGGATAGCGACACACCTGCACGACATGCCGCGGCTGTCAATGGTGGCAAGTGGGGCCAAGGCCTGAAAGATGCAGACCCAGATGAGGAGGCATATTTCAACACATCAGACGATGAGGATGATCATTTGTCTGGGGCCGGAAAGTTGGCCATGAATGGCGCATCGCCAGTGCGACCCCTCGTCAACTATCCAGATGATGATGCCGACGATGCCGATATGGACGACCTCGCCACCGATATGCCCGCCTCCGCTCACAAAATGTCGACAACCCAGTTGCCAGAAGGAAGTACATCCCCCAACTCGACCTCCGCAGGATCGCCACCAGAACGGATATCGGAGAAGCGCCGTAGAGAGGAGGACGAAGAGGACGAACTCCTCGCAAGCATATCCACCTCTGCTGGGCCAAAGCGACGCGCTTCCACATCTAGTAACGCCAGTTCTGGAAGTTTGCGGAGTTTGCGTCGGAAGTCGCCTAATGTCAACTCTGGCAAAGATGGTGGCACGCCAAAGAAGATATCGTTATCGATACCACTCAAGAGCAGTGGTGAAGGTGGCGAAAGCGGATAGTATGGCATGCCTCCTCCGCGATAGAGTAACCAGTATTCGAGTATGTGGAGGAAGTCTGGATTTTTGCTCTACAGCAAGCCTTAAAATAACCCAAAAGATACCCATTGGAAACTCGATAAACAAGAACGACGTTGCATGAAAGGGGTTGTACGAGGTTTTGCTTCTTCATGCAAATGGTTCCGATCTGGTAGCGGCATTGCGAAGGTGTAATTATTAGGCGTTCAATGTCTTGACCATTCCGGCGTGGGGGTTTGGAACGGCCACGATGGAATGATGCAGCGCAGCGTGTCGTATTGTCAGCGTGCGTTCAGGTGTTGGATTTTCTTGTGCATGATCGAAGGTATCCGGCCTGTGTATTATAACTCGTTTTCGTGCGGGAATGTCAACTCGTATGCAAGTCATCAATCATCCGTGCTGAACGTGAAGAGATGGGATTTTCACAACAATGCGCAAACGTGTCACAAGCATAAAATAGCATGGCGTGACACATGCAAGCGTCCGTACCTCTGTGGCTGAATCACGTTCTGTTGTTTCCGCTAGCGCCGCTCACAAGCCCGCGTGCAACTAATGCAACATCCCACGTCTAACCTTCATACAGCTTGCATTTCGGCTTCACGATCAAGCTCTCAGTGCCCGAAGCTTATCCAATACCCAGACACGTCGTGCGATGCCGGACCAGCGCTCTTCTACCAAGCCGAACAACACGACATCGATGGAAAACTCAGCTACGCACAACATCAACGTCTCCGAAATGCCACCTAAACCACCAACTCTGACCCTCATTCTTGCAGCCACACCGAGTCTCGGAATTGGAAACGGTGGAGGCTTGCCATGGCCGCAGCTGAAAAAAGAGATGGGATTCTTTGCGCGAGTCACGAAGCGTACATCGCCTTCAGCGTCCACGGCGAGCATCAAGAAAGTAAACGCTGTGCTCATGGGTCGCAAGACGTGGGAGAGCATACCCCCCAAGTTTCGACCTCTGAAAGATCGCCTAAATATCGTCGTTACTTCGAAGCCAGAAGAGTTCAAAAGTAAATTAGACAAGAATACGGAGGTCGAAGGACCAATGGTCTGCTCCAGTGTGTTGGATGCGATAGCACAGCTCGAGAAGCAGGATGATAGCAGACTCCAAGGCTCAGCGATAGAGCTGGATAAGATTTTTGTTATTGGCGGAGCAACTATATACGAAACGGCGCTTCAACTTCCGCAGACAAAACGAGTTCTCCTCACAAAGATAAAGAAGGAATTCGAGTGCGACACATTTTTCCCCGTCAATCTGGGAGAGACAACAATTTGGAGGAACGCAAGCAGAGAGGAAGTGCAGGCATTCACTGGAGAGGAGATCCAAGAGGGTGGGATTGAGGAGCAGGGTGTCGAATTTGAGTTCTGCATGTACGAGCGGGAGTGAGTCAATTAGAGTGAAAGAGCAGCAAACAAATATGATTCGAACGAATGATTCACAGTTGATGGTCGTGCCCAATGTGAGGAAGGCGCGACGGAGGAGGCGCTCTCACCTCCACCCTGCCACGTCATAGCAATCGATTGTTCGCCTTATGCCCTTCCACCCATCAATCTCTCCTGTTCCTCGGATCAAACTCTACCCGCAACCAGCATGTCAAGGCAAGATCCACCCATGCAGTCCGTATGGCAAGAGCTATGGCGGGGAAGTACGTTATTCAAAGCGACAGGCACAACACCCACTGACTCTGAACCCCAGATCTCCCTCTCTACCTAGCCATGAATCTCTCGACGACAGCCAACATCGCACTCGTTACTCTGCTCCTCGTCGCCATCTTCTCCATCACTTTTGAGATCGCCCGCATCTGGCTATCCCGTCGCACCCGTCAGACGCATAGCTACGTTCTCGTCGACGACACCGTCGGGATCTCACCGCCGAATTCAGGACCAGTATCCTTGTTGGCACGCACCAACCGTGGTCCCCGCTCGATTGTGTATGCCAAGGCAGTCCTGCATACTATCCTCTTTCTCGGCGTACAGGCAGTTCTCACTCTCCTCGTTGTCCAGATTGCGCGCCTCATAGCATCTACTTTCGCCACCGACCGCCGTCTTCGCAAGCAATGCGACCGTTTGGCGCAGAGGGGGCTCGAGTGCCCGGCTGCAACACGCTATCACAATGTCCTGAACGTTACGGTTGCCCTTGGTCTGTTTTGCTTGATCCGAGGTCTTCAATTGCACGCAGAACTGCCGACCCGCCCATCTCAGAACAGCAACTACAGCAACGGCTTCCTGACCCTCCAAGACACATGCCGACGGACGATGCATAAGGTGCTTGCAGCGCCCATTGCCGTGGTCGTCCTACACTCCCGTGTGCCGGCGGATGAGCTGTGGAAGCACGCCAGACTGATTCTTGTTCAGATTGCTGTGTCTGTCTGCATCTTCCTTTGTGGCAACATTCTCTGTCTACTTGCCGCGTTCCCAGTGAGTTTTTTCCGTCAGTTGACATGCAACTATCAAAGCGGCTAACCAGGTCTAGGATATACATGGTACTATAATCGCATTGGAGAAGTCAGGGCTCACTGGAAAGACGGAGGTGTAAAGACGACCTCTAAATAGGAGCTCTGAGGCATATCGATTGCTGCAGTACGGCATGGTGTGTGAACTACACGTATAAAAGTTTACATTGTAGATACGAAACCAAGTCAGGCTTAGCTCGTGTTCTGCTAGATCCTGAAGCAGTGGATTGATACGGAACGTCGGAGATTTCCATAACACAAGAGAGTTCGAAGCCGTAGAGATAGGAACGGGACACATGCCATCTTCGTATTAAGCGGATCATTCTCATCGCATATCACACCAAGTCAAAATCTGACGAGGTGCAGGTAGCGCCTGACCGTGAAGTACCAAGACATGTTTTTCAACATCCTCAAGTACATTCCAGTACATCTCCAATCCAGCGTTCTGCCCCGTCTTCCATGCAACCTGCGTGTACCCACATACCCAGCCCACTCAAGCCATGACAAGATCGTAAGCCGCCTTGCCGCTCATAAGCACCATGGCATAGTGCGCAATCATCCACAGCGCGCCATAGTACCTCCCCTTGCCACCATCCTCGCCACTCCTGGTGTAACCCACCGCGTAAACCACGCGATTCACACTCCACACCGCGCCCAATACCGCCGCCGCAACAGGATATCTCAGTCCGCTGATGAGCATGGCGCCGAGGGCGGTGACGTGGTTCTCGTTGAAGTTCTGGTGCGCGCGCTGCGCCGAGTTGAAGGCCAGCATTGCGGCTTTGGATTGCGGCGACGCGGTTTGCACTTGTTCGTACGAGGCGTATTCGTAGGGGTAGGGGATCTTGGCTGCTTTGCGGAAGCCGCCGACGCGGCCGCCGTGCCAGGCGCCGACGAAGAAGGTGGAGACGCAGGCGGCGAGGACGTAGCTGTGCGTGTGTGGATTAGTTTGTGGGTGGGCTTTGGTGAGGGGTCGTGGAAGGGAATGCATTGAGGTTTCTGCCGTTGGATTTGAACGTACCCGTACTCGCTGGGAATCTGGATAATCGCCATTTTGATTGTTGATGTAGTAATCGAGCCGAGGGAAGTCGTGTTGTTGTGTCGTCTTCAGTTGCGAGATGCGTGGAAGATATTCCGTAGAAGCGCCGTCCGCCTATGTTTTATACTTTTGTCGACGTCTTCCTGTATGTTGTCTAGCGTGATACTGTGTTCTCTTGACTTGGGCAGACGCAATGTGTCTCCAGTTGTTTGCGACGCGGACGAGTTTCAGCGGAAGATAATCCGCAATCGGCGCAATTTCTCGCCGACGGCGTCCCGCAGGTGCTACCAGTATGCGACAACATGGCTGCCTGCATTGCTGAGTCGTACCGCTGATATTTTGTCGAGGGTACAGTCGTGGTCAGAGAGCGGGAAGAAGGATGTGATCAGCCATGGACGAACATGCACGGATGTGCTGCCTGGATGAGGTAGAAGGTGAAGGCTGATTTGGCGGGTGAGCATGTGTAGTTTATTAGCACGCCTGACCTCGTCAACTGATCCTCGCCATGCGCATGAGTTGTTGCCCACCGGCCGCATGTGGGTATACGAGGACTTGTGGACGTCAGAAATTGGGCGCGTAGAGGACTTGACATTAGTAGAATACCATTGATTGATACACTGGGGAGCTGGCGGATATATGTCGTGGGGTGGAGATTACTAAACTACAAAGTGCTCCCTTCCGTCATCCCGCCCCGGAATGGCGACTTTACATTGATTGCAATCGTCAAAGGGAGATCGCGCAAGGGATACCTGGCTTGCTAGTACCTAGTCTGGGCTTGCTCCGTCAAATCATGGTGGTAGATTATGTTGCCCACGCATTCTCCTCCGCAACCCAGTGTATGCACGTCGCCAGAACGTTTAGATCTTTGCTTGACGGGATATGTATATATAACACCATGTTGGATAATTGAGCGCTGAACTACACACATTGACACACATAATGAAGAAGCAAGGTATCTTATGTATGTATGTTTGGCGTTCGGCTAGTCTATAATGCCGAGCCGTAGGCGGAGATCTCTCACTGAGCCTAAAGAAAGTTTTCAAATACCGAATTGCCCTCTGTATGTAGTGCAGAGGCCATCGAGACGCGAACGGGCTGGTGTATTTCGAATCATCAACATGCACTCTAGCGTCCGTCTTAATCGTCGTGTACAGTCCAGTGGTCGTCATGCAACCCTGCAGATGAGACTTGTGTGAACCAAAGTTTTGGTGTATAAAGACTGTACCAATCATCATGCAAATGAACCCGTCTGCTTATCTCCAAACATCTTCTCTCTTGGGCCTGGGAAATTCACAATAGCATGACCCCAAATCTGGGGCGCATGTGCTTGGAAGACGTGAAAACAGGCAGTATAAGGACAGCAGATCAAGAAACTGGGTATATAGATTCATCGCTCATTCATTTCTGTGTGCGGTCATCAATTTCGTGTACAGCCATTCCGGCCACTCAGCACCCATTCGCGGTGACAGCCCTAACAGCCACGCTATCAATCCTTTTTTTGTAGACGGTCATCTGGTGTTTCAGCAAATCACCGTATACAACCTTCCTCAACATCTCGTCGTCCACCGTTACTGCCTCGATATCTTCCTCACTTCTGCTTCCGACTCGTTGTCTCAACACTACCAATCGCCCCGCAGGTGACAATGTACACTGAGGTATTGGCCATGCAGGCAAGGAAGAAGAAGTCGAGTTTGTAGTGTTCGTTTGTAGTGAAGACTTGGAAGGCCTGCTAAGGCGCGGGGCAAAACCATACTTCGATTTCGGTTTCGGCGGGGAAGACCGCGAAGGGTCTAGAAGGCTGGGTTTAGACATCGATGCAACGGTCGAAGCAAGGTTAGAAGCCGCGACAGGTGCTGGACTGGCATAGAGCTTCAGCAAGCTTTTCAGCACGCTCTTGTCCGCTCGCGGTATCGGGTCGCCTTCGTTGATGAAGGCATAGAAGAGACTTTTACGATGTCGCTTGTCATCAGGCTTCTTCAAAGGATGCAGACTGACTGGTGGTGCACCGAACGTGACACAGTGCACGCGCTTGAAGAAGCTGGTCAGGTAATTAAGCTCAGAATTGATCTTTGTGCTCATCATGTGTCCGTAAAGCAGTGCCGCGACTGCTCCGCCCGCGGAGTGTCCGGTGATGAGTAGACTGCAGTTTGAACGCGCGGGGTTTTCTTGGAGCAAGACCTTCAACCGTTCTGCCACGGGCTTGATCATCTTCTTGGCCACGTAGAGAAAGCCAGCGTGGCACAGGTTTGACGGGTCGTCAAGAAACTTCTCCGGGCTGTGGGGTGCCGAGTTGTAGTTGACAGCCCAGTCCATAAAGGTCTGGCTTCCGCGAATAGCGAAGACGATAGTATTCAGTTCTTCCACAGGGATGGACTTGAGTACCATGGCTTTTGTGCCGCTACGCCAATCAGCAGGAATGAAAGTCTCCATTTCGGGATTCTTCTTCGTGCCTGGCGGCGTGTACGCCTTCTCCGAGTAGGTTGCGGCCAAGCAAAGTAGAGGATACGTTGGTAGATATACCTTGAAAGGCGGCAGATGTGGTGGTAATCGGGAGTTGGAGTATAGCCACACTTTGGAGAAATGATTCGACCCTTTATCGCTACTAGAGTGGGATTGCACTTCGTGTTGGCGTCGGCGTCTTGGTTCACCAAGAGGAGGGCTCGTTCTCTGAGCCTCTTCTTGCTGCTGCTCGCTGAACTCCATCATGAGGTCTTGTTCTTTGCCGCTGAAGTGATCGTCATCAATGCTGGTGATGACTGCGTCGAACTTCGAACTAATCATATCGTATAGCGCAGCTCCGCGACACAACGTTTGCATGCTCTTTGTAGCGACAGCTGCGGTGGGCCGCTCAATGCAGTTGGTCGTCAGTTTCGTGACACTCTTTCCAGCCGTATCGCGAAGATTCAGGTAGGATTTGGCGGCCATTCGGTCGAGACTATTCCATTGTTGTTCGAAAGGGCCTTGACCGCGGGGTTCTTGGGGTGGCGGAGAAGCAAAGCGGATCGTTGATTGACTAGCGTATGGCTGAACAGGCTGCGGTGGCGGAGAGCCATATCGGTAACTGTCTTCTGGAAAGGACCCAGGCATCTGGCGATAAATGGAGTGCTGAGGCGGACTCGCGGCATAGCCATAGAGGGTCGGGGGAGGCCTCGTTGCTGCTGCACGCTGAGGAGAGGTCGCCTGGACCGGAGGCGCGTAATCTTGCAAGTACATGTCTGCCACTGAAGCCGAAACGCGTGGTTTCCTAGAAGAGGAGCGCGGCTTCGCAGTCTTGGACGAAGAGTGCGAGGACTTCTTCCTGCTCTTCCTCTCGACTTCGGTCGCCGCCATGTCGTCGCCCTAGTCTGTATACGGCTCTGCAAGAAAGTGAAAGAAAAAGTATAGGCAGTGTCGTAATGGCGGGGAAGTCGTGGGATCTGTTCAACGCGGTAATCGTCGTCGATGTCCTGTCCGCGACGTATGCCAAGTTTCAGTCATAGCCGCTGCGTGCTCCTGCGTTACGCTAATGAGGGTTGCATGACGGGCGTAGATCTTTGAAGCTCGATTCCAGATTGTGTTGCTTTTGTTGGGGAGCTCAAAGACGTCTGACAAACGAGGGGACACGTCAAAGGCCGAAGGAGTGAAAGGCTCTGAAGTCAGAATGGGCGCGGCCGGCTGTTAAGGGCGGGTCGATGCAGGCGCAAGGAAGCCGCGGTATAGCCACCGCGCTAGGCCCATCACTGGCTGGATACACAACGCTAGATGACAAGCAGGTGCGATTGGCTGCGTAGGATCTTGGCGCGTATTGGAGCGGTGGACATGTAGCCCTTCGCTGTCGGTGCATGTAGACCTCGTGACCATCTGTAAACGTCGCGAAAGCCGAAATTGCGACCCTGTAGCGGTCTGCAGGAACAGAAGACGGGATTGCTATTTCTGATGTTCCAGCGCACATCCATCCCCACACCCTCGATCAACGGCTAACTTGCCACCACAGCGATCGGACGCCATCCTTGCCATTCGCCGGGGCTTTGGAGTCCCGTTGCATCACCCGCAACTCGTCACACAATTAGAGTTTAGACTTTGTTCTGACAGGAACTACACCGTCCATGTGCGCGTGTGGAACATGGTGCTACAGCTTCTACACTCAGCTATCTATCGTGCGCGCCAATGAAGTCGTCGTGTTCCTCTTCTGGCGTACCGAGTAACCCTCTTTCTTCGCTCTCTTCGTCGTCATCACTCTCCTGCCTAAGACCTCCTCTCCCCCCCACCCCTGCACCACCTTCTTCGCGCTCTTCGTCAACACCGTTCATTACGTACCACACGTCTTTTTTGGTAAGCAAGCCTTTCAGCATACCTCGGTCCGTAAACAAAACATAGCGTAGCCCAAGCTTTTGGAACATGGACACTGTAAGCTGAAAGCTGGCTCTAGCGTTGAGTGTGATGGGTGTTTGATCCATCCAAGGCCGAAGGTCCAGTGATGTTGCAGGATCAGAGAGCGGTTGGTGAGAAAAGTACGCTTCTGTTTCGGCGGCCAAGGTACGGGGAGGCGTCAAGGCAAGTTGGAGTGCGTACTGCAATTCGGTCCTGGAGATGTAACCGAGGAGAAGTGCATCGCGGCTATTGTCTATGATAGGAAAGCCACGAAATCCGTGTTGAGATAGAAGCTGGCGCAGCGATCCGATAGTATGGCCAGTCGCAGTAATCGCAGTCAAGTCTTCGATGCGCGTCATTACATAACCTGCGCCAACATCTGGGATGCTGGAACCGTTGTCTTCGCGGTTGTCAAGAAAAGGATAGCCTTTGAAGTGTATCCAGGACTCATAGATACCACGTGGGGAGATTGCGTCGCCAATCCATTTACTTATCATGACCGCAATCATGATAGGCAGGACATAGGTGAGCGCTCCGGTAAGTTCGAACATGATGACCACAATTGAAACTGTCATACGTGTCGTTCCGGCAAGTGCGGATGCGGCACCGACGATAGCGTACGTGCCTGGGGTTACACAGGGTACGTCTGGTTCGCACGATTTGAAAACGAAAAGCGTTGGCCAGGCCGCCTGAACAACTTCGACAGAAAGTCCCACAGCACGGCCAAAGAGTCCTCCGATGGCCATAGAAGGGAGGATAATTCCAGCAGGTATCTGCAGGCCGAAAGTGAAGCCCGAAAGTATTATGCCCAGTCCTGAGGAGATGAGTAAGAGTGCAATGACTCCTGTGTTTGCTTTGCCAGATTTACATAGGCCCAGCGTATCCTCGGCGAGGTCGGCGCATTCGGCAAATAAGATGTGTACGAGTTCGGACGCTTGAGCGCGCATGAATTTGATGGGGAAGTTGATGAGTGCTGTGACGAAAGATACGATGACAACCTCTGTCACGGGACCTTTGAGATACTGTCGGTTCTTGCGCCACTCAGCAACGCCCATGTTGAGCTTGATGAAGAAGCCCCCAAAGAGCCCGCCCAAGATTCCAAGGAATGCGAAAGGGACCAACTCGAAGTCATGCCATCCACTATGATACGTGACTTGGTACAACACGAGTTTTCCGGTGTGGAATGGATTGCAAGCCTGCAGGGTGACAGCAGCGACCATGGCGCAGACAAAGCTGCTCCACATGGTTTTATCCGGGAAGTAATATGAGAGTTGCTCAAGACTGAATAACACGCCCCCAATGGGCGCACCGAAAGCGACCGAGATACCCGCTGCAGCCGCTGCGGAGAACACTTCTCGTTTCCGTGCTATTCTCCTGTCAGTACTTGGAGACCAGAGAATGGGGAACCACGCTGACCTTCATTGCCGTTCACATTACCAAAGAGTTTCATGAAAAGGTTCGCAGAGCAGCATGCGACGTGTACCAGCGGACCCTCTTTGCCTAGCCACAAGCCTGACGCGACTGCGAGGCACAAGCCAACCGTTTTTGTGACCAGTGTCCATCCGCCCAGAAAGTGTCGGATAACGAAGCCGCCCAGGACCGTCTTGATCTCGGGTATGCCACTATGCTTCGCGTACGGCGAGAACTCGCGCACCAGAAGACTGGCGCATGCTGCAAAGAGCACAGAGAAGAGCACGAAGAAGACGTACTCGACAACATAGCGCCCTCCCACACTCCCAATACCCATGGCAGCGCCCCAGGAGTTCCAGTCATGACAGGCCTGCTCTTCCTCGATCCCCCAACAGCAGAAGCTCTTGTTCAGGTAGAAGCGACCGTCTCCATCAACATTGTGGCAGTATCCCGTCTTGAGGTCCGCAAGCCAGTCACTAGCCACATCGATGAAGGCTGCGATGCCGCCGCTCAGTATACCAGCAGCGACCAGGATGATCCAGACCTGGCTTGCGTCTGCCAACTGCTTGAGGTGGCCAAGTACGCCGCTGGCGCCGGTGTAGAGATAGCGTAGCCTCTGTCGTTCTTTGGCGTATTCGAAGATCCAGTCGATTGCGGTAAGGTCGTCGTAGCCGACTCGTCGCCCGGGCCCTTCGACATACCAGTCCAGGCCGTTTGCATCTTTGGTGTCTTGGAGGTGTTCGCCTGCGTTGCCAGGCGTGTCGAGATAGTTGAGTATAAGCTCGGTGGAGCCGTTCGGGCGGTGCGATCGTGGCTGGGGCGAAGCGCGGTTGCTAGCTGATCCGAGAGGTGAGGCGAGGTATCGCGAGAAGCCGAAGGAGGATGCAGGCGGCTTGGGCCTGCGCTTGAAAGACAGCCTGGAGATGCGCGTTAGTATGGAGGTATACCAAGGGCGCTGTGTGCGCATACTGCTCAGGTAGGTCGCGTTCTAGTGGATCGTCCGCCAGCAGCGCCTCTTCATCGCTGTCGTCGTCCTCCACGACCGGCTGCTTCCCGTTGAATGTGCGCCTCGACGATGCTTCAGCCTGTCCATGGGACGACGGATTTGACGACGAGCTGGACATGCCCTCGACATATGCTCTTGTGTAGGCTGGGGCGCATTGCTCAAGCAACCATTACGTGCAGTGGAGGGATGTCGTCCCATTGCGGTATTTGGTGAGGCGTGGCTGGCGCTTGATCGCACACATGCCAAGGCCATTCAATCACATGCCAAACGAGCCCAGGCATCACCACCCGGCCACGTTCTCCACATCATGTCGTCGTAGAAATGCAACAACTTTACGTGTATCATTTCATTTACAGGTGAGCTTTGCATTCCCTCTACTCCTGGTTGAAATCGACAACTGCCCGGCCAGCAATCTCTCCCCGCTTCAGCTTCTGCACCGCTTCGTTGAACTTGCTCAGCGGATACACAGTGTAGATGGGCTTCAACAGTCCTCGCTTCGCAAAATCGAGCGTCTTGTCGACGTCCGCCATGCTGCTCACGAGCGTACCCTGTACACTCTGTTTCCTGAAGCACATCTGGTTCGGGTCCACGTCGATGTGCTGAGTACCAGCCGGCGGCAACCCAATGCACATGACCTTTCCGCCTACACGGTTGCCCAGATAGGATATCGAGGACGGGTAGGTCTGCACGGCGGTGACGAAGACGCCATGGGCACCGATGCCGTCACACAACCTGACCACTTCCTCGCCTACGTTGTCGGTCTTCTTGAAATCGATAAAGTGCTCTGCGCCTCCAGTTTCCATACAGAGCTTTTGCTTATCATCGCCAGTATCAATGGCTATGGCGCGCAGACCCATAGCTTTCGCGAGCTGCACGCCTTGTAGACCGACGCCACCGCCTGCACCAGGGAACACGGCCCAGTCTCCGGGCCGCAGCTGTGACTCCTTGATTGATGTGTAGATTGTCGAAGCAGAGCACATGATAGGTCCAGCTATGTAGTCGTTTACACCATCTGGGACGAGGGTTGTGTAACGTTCGGGCGAAACGATGTACTGCTTGTATGAGCCGTCGATCATCAGTCCAGTCAAGACTGCCTTTGCACAGTAGCATTCGTTGCCGTTGCGACAAAGCTCGCATGTGCCGCAAGTGTCTTGGATTGGCTGGAAACGTCAGCGTATGTTCTTCTGGAAAGGCTCTCCCTTCGCATCACTTCCTCCTCGATGCATGGGGGCATGATGTTCGGCCTGCTCACCTTATATCCAGCTCGCATTCCCGGCTTCAAGTTCTTGACCTGGTCTCCGACTTTGACGATGACACCGCTGCCTTCGTGGCCCGCGCATCGGACTCCTAAATCTGACATCTTGGGGAGAGCCCAGTCGTTGAGCATGAAGTGAAGATCGCTGTGGCAGATACCGGTCGCATTGAGCTTGATGAGTACGTCCGTCGGCCCTGGGAGCGTTGTCAACACCCGTCGATTCTCTGAACAGTGCTCGACACATACCACATTCTGGGACTGGAACATCCTGCACCTCAACGTGGAAATCTGGACCCTCGTTGACCACGACGCCAGCTTTGCATGTTTTCGGTATGTCAAAGGTTTGGATTTTTTCTTCTGTCATGTTGAGAGATTGGTAGTTGAGGAGGTTGGTACAAAGTCGATTAGTATGAAGGTGAACAGATCAAAACGGTAACAGCCCAACGACTAGAGAATGGTCTATACATGAACCCCTCAACATCATCCTACCCCTCATTTCATGAAATCGCACAGACTGTCCGCGCCGCAAGCTTCTCCAATGACGGAGTAGCGATTCACCTTGCGATTCCGCACAAGCCAATGGAATGCTAGCTAGACAACCTCGGTCTTGAACCTATGCCCAGTAAAATATGGATCATCATCAACGCGACTCAGTAGGCTCGAATCGTCTCTCACATGAGGGAAGGCGGGGGTTTCCGCGTTGAAGGAGCGAAGTGGGCGGTTGTCGGAGCCGTGTACGTGTAGGCGCTTGGCCTTCCCCATACATGAGGCGCGTGTGGTGCGGGGTGATGTACGTGGGGTTGTCAGGCAAGTTAAGGTGGCGTGAGACCCATGTACATCGACTTCAGACTCGACTTCGGGCAAGCTTGCAACAACTGAGTTGTCTGACACGCAAGTCAATATGTATTGTCACGATGCAGCCTTTTCCACGCCAATGATACGAGGAGTTGCAAATCCGACGTTCTCAAGTGGCAAGAGATGGACGCATCAAACCATGTGCTGCTAGACGATGTTTCGGGATCGAAGGTCGTTAGCAGATTAGAATTCCACATAGTTCTATTTGCTGTCAGGCCCATGGATGATAGCATACCCGGTCGATCAGACGAGTTGGCGCGTCTAGCAGATTCCATGCATTACGCGATCTAGTATGGCGTGGCATCAGATGGCCTCGTCGGTGATGCGGTTGCTGCTCGACGGCTTACTCAAGGTCGGTGTCTGGCCTCGCCCAGCGCACCAAGCCGCCGATTTCCGCCATAGCTTCTTCTCGTCGTGACTTCGCGTCCACGAATGACAAGGCGAGTATTACCGTCATGGTAGCGGTTCCGAAAGCGGGGTCTAGAGGGCCCACATGCCGATCGAGGTCGTCATGCCATTGCGCGTGGCGGCGACAGAGATGCTGGCCTTTGACGAGAGCGTCTGATGGAGCGCGCCGAGGAGCACCAATGAGACGTGGTGCGACGAGCAGCACCGAGAAGTGCGGCTGCGTGCTTGGGTGAAGTCACGATAGTGGGGCGGAGCTTCTCGTGATGCTAGGCAGGATGGAGCTAACAGATGCGGGGGGCAAGCCAGGAAGGTGCTGGCCAGATTGGTCGTGCTTATGAATGCCCCGCTACTTATACACCCAGAGCAACCCAGCAGCGGCGAGCGCAGTTTGTTTCCCTCAAACAGTCTCTTCCACCACACCCGACACCACACTCCATCATGTCCCAAAGCGAGTGTCCCGTCAAGAAGACGCCCAACGTCGCTGGCGCCGGCACCCGGAACGCAGACTGGTGGCCCAACGAGCTCAGGACCAACATCCTCCGCCAGCACGACCCCAGACAGAACCCTCTCGGCGCCGACTTCAACTACGCCGACGAGTTCAAGAAGCTCGACTACGATGCGCTCAAGAAGGACCTCAATGCCCTCATGACCGACTCGCAGGACTGGTGGCCCGCCGACTTTGGCCACTATGGCGGTCTTTTGTACGTGCACCCCCAATTGGCCCTAGCTACTTCCTCTAACATGCCCGTAGCATCCGTATGGCGTGGCACTCGGCTGGTACCTACCGCGTCACCGACGGCCGTGGTGGCGGCGGTGAGGGACAGCAGCGCTTTGCTCCCCTCAACGCATGGCCCGACAACGTCTCCCTCGACAAGGCCCGCCGCCTGCTCTGGCCCATCAAGCAGAAGTACGGCAACAGGATCTCCTGGGCCGACTTGATGCTGCTGACTGGCAACGTCGCGCTCGAGTCCATGGGCTGCCCAACCTTTGGTTTCGCCGGTGGCCGCGCCGACACGTTCCAGTCCGACGAGTCCGTCTACTGGGGTGGCGAGACCGAGTGGCTCGGCAGCGACGTCCGCTACGCTGATGGTGCCAAGGGTGTCAAGGGCCAGGGCATCATGGACGGCGACCAGCACAAGGTCGACAAGGACGAGACCCACACATCGAGGGATCTCGAGAAGCCTTTGGCCGCCGCACACATGGGTCTCATCTACGTGAACCCAGAAGGTAAGCACACCCAGCCGACATTCTGCTCCTACCAACCTAACGCGCTCAGGCCCCGAGGGTGTTCCCGACCCCGTTGCCGCCGCTCACGACATCCGCACGACTTTCGGCCGCATGGCCATGAACGACGAGGAGACCGCCGCCCTCATCATCGGAGGCCACTCCTTCGGAAAGACACACGGTGCTGCTCCCACCGAGAACACCGGCCCAGACCCGAACTCTGAGGATCTTTCTACACAAGGATTTGGGTGGATGAACAAGCACGGCCGCGGTAACGGTCCCGACACCATCACGAGTGGTCTGGAGGTTACCTGGACCGGCACACCCACCAAGTGGAGCAACAAGTACCTCGAGTACCTCTACAAGTACGAGTGGGAGCTGGAGAAGAGCCCTGCTGGCGCGAACCAGTGGGTCGCTAAGACCGAGGACAAGATCATTCCCGACGCCTACGACCAAGGCAAGAAGCACAAGCCGAGGATGTTGACTACCGATTTGTCCATGCGCATGGACCCTGCCTACGAGAAGATCACGCGTCGCTGGCTGGACCATCCCGAGGAGCTACACGACGCCTTTGTTCGCGCCTGGTTCAAGCTCCTCCACCGTGACATGGGTCCCCGCTCCAGGTGGTTGGGCCCGGAGATTCCTAAAGAGGTGCTCATCTGGGAGGACCCCGTTCCCCAGCCAGAGGGCGAGATCATCGGCGAGTCCGAAATCTCAACGCTGAAGAAGCAAATCCTTGACGCTGGCATTGAGCCTGCTAAGCTCATCCGCACTGCTTGGGCTTCAGCAGCTTCTTTCCGTGGCAGCGACAAGCGTGGAGGTGCCAACGGTGCCCGTATCCGCCTTGCTCCCCAGAAGGATTGGGAGGTCAACAACCCCAAGGAGCTTGCCGAGGTTCTCAAGGCCCTTGAAGGCATCCAATCCAAGTTCAACGGTGGCAGCAAGAAGGTTTCTCTGGCTGACTTGATCGTCTTGGCTGGTACCGCTGCCGTCGAGAAGGCTGCCGGTGTATCCGTTCCCTTTACCCCCGGCCGCACCGACGCTTCGCAGGAGCAGACTGACGTTCAGTCTTTCGAGCACCTTGAGCCCGTCACTGACGGTTTCCGTAACTTTGGCAAGGGTACCGAGCGTGTCCGCACCGAACAACTCGACGTCGACAAGGCTCATCTTCTCCGCCTTACTGCCCCTGAGATGGTTGTCCTCACTGGTGGTATGCGCGCGCTGAACGCCAACTGGGACGGCTCATCCCACGGCGTCTTCACCAAGCGTCCTGGCCAACTCACCAACGACTTCTTCGTCAACCTCCTCGACAACAACACCGAGTGGAAGGCAACTGATGCAAGCAAGGAGCTATATGAGGGCGTTGACCGCAAGTCCGGCCAGAAGAAGTGGACCGCCACTCGCCACGACCTTGTCTTCGGTGCGCATCCCGAGCTTCGCGCCGTCGCCGAGACATACGCCTCACCCGACAACGCGGACAAGTTTGTCAAGGAGTTTGTTGCCGGATGGGAGAAGATTATGAACAACGACCGATACGATGTCAAGAACAAGTCGGTGAGTGCACAATCGAGTGGAGCAAACAGGCCGCGTCTGTGAGAAGAATCACATGCAGTCACGGTCGCGTTTTCGCTCCCCTGTTTCCGCGCGTGTAACCTACCTTCTACTTTTCCTGAGTGGGTAGCATGGTGGTTGGGTTGTGTTACACTCGCTGACGTTTTCTTCACTAGACTTGAGTCTTGTCCTTGTTTTACATGAAGAAACCTTTGCCATGAGATATGAGATACCTAGGTAGTACCGCTGTGTCGCAACACACAGAAGGAATAAGACTATGATACAATGCACATTTACATCAAGAATGGATTTACGTGCTAATTGGAAGTGATTTTGCCGCCTTGATATTGGCTCTGGGTTGTGGTCTCACTGTCAAACACAAGATATTCATCGGAACAAACACGTACAGCAAACAAACACATTGATTTATTTGTCGACGCAAGATGAGGTTGTCGAGGTGGAAAGAGGAGAGAGAATGCTACATAAAACGCCAGCGCGCCCAAGCGCATGCTCTAACCCAGGTCATTAATCTCGTTATGCTCAACGCAGGTGTAGGAAAGTCCAATTCACGGCAACCCAATACCGCATCGCTATGCTCCTTCCGCGTTCGTCGTAATGTGAATCCGAGGTGTCGCAATCTTGATCATCGTGCACTAGGCACAAGCTCATCTTGATGCTTTCGCAGCGTAATAGTAAGTCGCTGCACCAGTACCAAGAACAAGAGCGGAAGCACTGAAGCTTTTGTGTTAGCAATGGCGTCTCTCAATACTGTCATTGTGTGACGGAATTCGTACGAGGCAAGAGCGCCACAAGCCACATACTCAAGGATTCAGGGAGAAAAGGAAACGGTGTTCGCTCACCTAGCTCGCTTCCGATCGCCAAAACAAGCAGTCATGAGGTGACCGACGGGCCCAAACATGACTCGGAAGAAATGCTGAAGAAAGTTCTCGTTGTGATGATTCGGTCGCTGTGCAAGTGCAGGCTTCGCTGCCTCGACAATCTTGTCTTTGATACTGACACCATCTACCACTGCGCTTGTCGCATCTTCTGATGTCTCTGAAGAGTCTTCAACTAGTACTCTGCGCTGCCGGAGGTCAGAATCCGGACCAGCTACAGGGTGCGCACCTGAGGCGGTAGCCTTGGGCTCAGACGTAACTTGATCCATGGCAGGTTTCTCGGTGTTGATAGATGTGGTGATGGCATCTCGCAGAGCATCGGAAGCCCGAGAGACGTCTTTTGCACCATCATGCTTATCCACACTTTCCGCTTCGCTGGACTCGTGGGTATGATTACTCGACTCGTCGTGTTTGGTGTCGACAGCGTACCCAAGTTGCTTGCTCTCATCAGGCAGTGGGGTTGCGTATGGGTCACGCACGAATCTGGCGGGCGGACTGGACATGCGGGTAGTATTGTGACTGATGTACACGGGCGATGGCATACTGTCTAAATCATGGTGGTCCTCCTCTTCGTCGCTGAATTCGTCTTCAGGTACAGAAGCTAGCGAGGTGTACGATTTGACAGGTACAAGATCGACAGAGGAGCACGCTTGAGATAGAACAGATGGCTGGGGAGAATGTGGCCGCTCGTGCATGGATTCATCTTCGGGAAGATGCATGCCAATTGTCGCTACACGTTCCAAGATTGATTGACGGCTAGTGGGAAATCGTTCCAACGACGGATCGTTCAGGTCATGATCTTCCGCATCTGACTGTGGTAGCCTGTGGGGAAGATTGCTTCCTGTTCGCCCTCTAAAGAAGTCGTGTCGGCCAGCTCCGCCGAACAGTTCTCTCGCGTTGTCCGTCTCGTAACCAAAAGTCGGTTGCTTGTCCAGAGAAAAGGGGGTATCGTCCTCTGAAAAGACAGACCCAGTGCTACTGACAGCAGATGCTTCGCGTTCATGGGGGAGGAGAGGTGCATCGCCCTCTTCATTCTCAGCGTAGTCATCCTCGTCGTCCTCGTAGGCCCCGTAGTGACATGGCTCCGAGATTCCCGAGTTATCACTCTTAGTAACGATCTCGCTTCCCCTATAATCCGAGAAGCCACTTTCGTGTGATAGCAACGGATACCTGTCGAGCTCGTCCTCGTCATTTTCAGATTCGGTTGGAATTCTGCCCTCATCATGGAAGGCAGTCTCGTGAGGAAGGAGAGGAGCTCCACCGAAATCATCGTCATCGTCATCGTCGTTGTCAGTTCCATGGGAAAAATGCGGACCGTCGCTCAGCCCCGCTCCGCCATTCTCGAAGCCCGTCTCGTGGCTAAGTAAGGGCGCTAGATGCAACTCGTCACTGTCGTCAGGCTCCGAAGGTGTATCTATGGCCTCTCCGGCACTAGTCTGGTCTGTCGATGATGGCGCAGACTCATCGTCGATGATTATAGCGGGAGCGATTTGAGGATCATGATCCGCTTGGAAAGACTCATGGCGAAACAATGGAGCAGCTTCGCCATCATCAGACTCTGGCTCCGTATGGGACTCGGGCACGATATTGAGCTGGTCTGGCAAGGTATCCGCGGCTCTCATGTCATGCGCAGCCTTTTGGGCGGTCGTAGCGCCGGCGCCAAAGTCATCTCCATATGCAGGCCGACGGTCAGTCTTGTCGACTACCAGAAGAGGAATCTCGGGTGTTTTCGGAGCTGCTGTCTCGACCGGGGAGTCTACCTTGGTTCCCTCAAGGCCAGGTTCTGAGTCGGCAGCGCGTTTAGCAACATGTTCAGGCAGATGGGCGTAGTGGGTTTGATCGTAAGCTAGCTGCTCCTGGTTTATTGTACTGTCTTTGCGGTCCTCGGGCATCTTTGAGGGATTCCCGGGGGAAGTCTCTAGGGCGGCTGTGTTGGTGGTAGCTTCGGACGCTGGGCGCAGGGAGGTGCTCTCGCTGGCAGGCCTGACGTGGACAAGGTTGTTGCGAATGCCCTGGTCGACGGCAGCTGCGGAGAGTCAGCGGGACAGTCGACGAGGACGTAGAAGGACATACCGGTTTCTTTCGACTCGTCCAGCACCCAATGGTCCTCGCCGACGCGGATCTTGTACTGGTGGCTGCCTTCAGCGACGCCAGTGAACTCTCTGCTGAAGATGAGGTCGCCCGACGCCGTCTTGTCGTGCAGGGGCTGCATCTGCACCAGCGTCCAGTCGTTCAGGGAGGTGGTGACATAGACGGGCGGCTGCACGCCCGGCTGCGAGAAGGTGATGGTCGCGCGGGCGGCCATGGTGCCGTCGAGGGTCGGGTTGGGCAACGGCGGGGGTGGAGAGGGTGGAGGGAGCAGGGTGGGGTATGCAGGATGGCTCGCGTGCCTGGCAAGCCGCGGCGGGTCGTGGGCGAGGGGAGCGTCTACGGGCAGAGGAATATGGTCAGTGGTTGAGGATGGCGGTATGCTAGCAGGCCGCAGAGGCCGGGGAGACTGGTGAGAGGTGTAGGCGGGCATGCAACGGGGCGGGAGAGGCGTAGGCGGGCATGCAACGGGGCGGGAGAGGAACAGGTGTGGTACAGAGGAGGGGAGCATGCCAGCTTACAGCGCAGTGACGCCAAATGTCGTGCCAGCGACCCGAGGCAGGCAGGCAGGCAGGCAGGCAGGCAAGTGTCGAGGCAGGCGGGCAAGCGTTGAGGCCGCCTCAGGGCAGGAGCGGCTCGCCTGGTGGGTTGCGGCTTCCCTGCTCCGTTGGGCAACACGCGCAGGCGTCGTGGCTGCGGCGGATGCCTCTGCTCTCCGCACGCCCGCCTGTTGGAGCCTCGATGCTTTTCGCGCGGGCGTGCGGTGCTGGCAGAGTGACGTGAATGCAACGTCCAACACCCGTCAGCGCTAGCCCGCCCGTAACCGAAACCAGGCTGCCTCCGCGGCGATCCTCGACCTCATGCTCCGAGTTTCTTCATCGCCCGCCATCTGATCGTCGGTCTGCCCAACACCCGAGCAGCGCAAGCAGTGACTAGGCCCTTGTGAAAACCCCCCTGAGACGTCCAAGAAGACGTCTATGCCATCGTCACCAGCCACACCGGGATAGCCCGTCGGCCTGGTGCACGCGCGCGGCCAATCACCGTGTACCTCAGAAACACTCGAACCATTCGTTCAGCCTTCCGCCCACGCAACCCGAGGCCATGTTCTCCCACAAACCTCCGATACCATTGTGCCGGGATCGTGGCTCCAAACAAGGTTTCGAGATGCGCGCTGCGACAGGGCTTGCCGCACCATGACCACGCGACAACCCACAGTGCCGATGCCGACAAGAGGCATGCACAGGCCGCGTGGCTCTTTGTGCACCGTTTGATGTGCTTCTGGAAGGCAATCTTAGTTTCAACCAGCGCCGCCTCAATAATGCCGTGCCGAGTCTTGCAACGTGCCCATCGCCCTGTCGCACTTTGGGTGTCGTAACTCGTCCACGATGTATTAGATGTGTGTAGGTCCCGTCTGCCAGCCTCTAGTCTAGCCATCATCCTTCACTTTGCTTTTCGCTTCCTCTTCTCCAGTCGGGCGTTTGGAAACCTTGCGCCGTCGTAGCATCAACTCTCGTAGACCCATGTCAAACCTTCGGACATCGTATAGCTCAACCAGGTACCGAGCTCGCAATGGGGCACATCGTATACGTCGCGAACGGGCGTGACCAAGGACCCGTCATAGGCCGAGTCAGTATGGCCATGTATACCGTCGCTGTGGCGTTTGTGGCTCTTCGGCAAGCACCCATCTTCGCCACGAGCAAATGTCGTATTGCTAACAAAATGTAGATGCTTCACGCGCGGATACGTTGTCAAGAAATTCGGCCTAGACGATCTCTTCATCGCCATCGCCGTTACCCTCGGAGCCGCACAGACAGTCACCATCATATTACAAATCGAGCATGGCCAGGGACGACATGCATCAGAGCTTCACGTGGAGCAATTCGACGAGATGCTCATGGTATGTTCAACACACCTTGTGACACTCGACTTAGTACTGACAGTGGACTAGTACCAATGGATCAATATGCTCATCTACTTTGTCGCAAATTGGTATGCTGCAACATCGCTCTCGACATCAGCTTCCAAGATTAACTTTATTGCAGGGCTGTCAAGATGAGCATCCTATCTCTGTACTACCGAATCGGCTATGGAAAACAGGGCCTGCCATGGATCGTGCAGTCACCTGCTGTATGGACAGCGGCCGGCTTTATGACTGCCTTTAGTTTCTCCGTCTTCCTTGTGAGTATCATGCCCGTCTGTCTGTACGAGATGCACAACTGACAACGTCCGAAGGCTCAATTGTTCATCTGCACACCAGTATCACGTGTCTGGGATATCGAAGCCCAACCCGATGGATGCATTAATGCTGCCATGTTCATGGTCATTTCGGGTGCCATCAATGTCGTCACTGATATTGTCTTGTTGATCTTCCCGTTGCCTTTGATATGGGTGATCAAATTCAACAAGAGACAAAGGAGTAAGTCGACGTCTTTATGTCTCTAAGAACGCTCATTGTTGACCGTCCCTTCAGCGGCTCTAGCAGTCATTCTCTCTATCGGCGTCATCCCGGTCATAGCCAGCACCATGCGCCTTTGCGAGATTGTCATGTCGGACAGTCCCATCAGACCAGGAAGTACATGGCAAGAAGTCGATTTCAGCTGGTACGCCTTCGCCTAGCCCGTTCTCTTTACTAGTAGCATTTTCTGACAAATGAACCGCAGGGGCTGGTCTTGGGTTCCAGTATGGTCCCAAATCGAGGTTGACATTGGCATTCTGGCCGCCTCTCTTCCCTCACTGTCCCCTTTACTCAAACATGTTTTCCACTGTCCCGCTCGAGCCACCACACCTTCCGAGGTACCCACTCTACCAGGATACCGCGGGAGTTGGGGAGAAAAGAACCTGGTCAGCATGGACGACGAAGACGATATCGAGAAATCGCCATGGGACTTTGCATTACCCGAAGAGAAGAATGGCGCATTCGATTTCGATGTGGAGAGGAGATTGACCGTTACGGAGATTGAAATGGGAAAGGCTATGGATATGGGGAATAGTTACTTCGATGATACCGCGTCGGAGGTCGAGGAGAGAGAATCGGTAGGTAGACCGAGTATAGGGGTCGCAAGGACGGCGGATGTTCATGTTCTGTCTCGAACCGGGGTGCCGAGGCTAATAGAGTATAAGAAATTATGACATTACGTTACAATGTTTGCCCTGTGGCCCATAGCGCACTATCTGTTGGTTAGCTGGCATGTACCTTATGTACGTACCGATGCTTGCTTGCAACTGTTTGTAGCAAGCATACTTGCCTTTATAGGCAGTTCTCATCTCATGTTAGAGTAAATCATCAATTCATCTCATATCTACTCACATCCAAGACTATCTGGAATGGTTCAGGTATGGGACCTTCATTTCTTTGGTCTCGTGGTGCATCATGTTAGTGTAGTCATCAGGTGGTATACAGGGTGTTAGTAAAAGTCTTCTACCGTCAAAGGGCTTCCGACGCTTCACCAGCGTCCGAAGCTATCGAACGCGGAGCTGAATTGAGTAGCTGGGTCGCGTCAGTCACAATCCTCATCATCACACCGTATGCGTGCGTTCACTTACCGTACCCACTCGTGACAGCGCATTCGCTCGCCTCAGCTTTCTCCATCGCCTTGGGCAGCCACTCCCTAATCTTCTCTTCCCTGTTGTGGTGACTCGGGTGCGTGCTCAGTATCTGCGGCGGCCCCGCCCCACCAGCCTTCTCCATGCGCGTCCAGAACTGCATTGCAGCTTCTGGTCGGTAGCAGCCCTGCGCCATCATCAAGAGACCAATGTAATCGGCTTCAGCTTCGTGCTTGCGGGAGGCGGGCATGGAGAGGAAGAGGTCGAGGAGCATTTTGCCCGAGTAAAAGGAGACATCGAAGAGAGATAGGGCGAGAACACCGAGGAGGATCAGAGGCGCTTGAGACATGCGTTCACTGTTCTTTGGTCAGTGCATGCTTCATCGGTCCGAGATAAGAGTACCAACGCAGTGTGATGCGCAACCACGTGCGCAATCTCATGTCCCAGCACGGCTGCAATGCCATCCTCATCCTTGCACAGAGGCAGGATCCCCGTAAACACAAAGACCTTGCCCCCCGGCGCTACAAACGCGTTCTGTTCCGGAGACTCGATGACGGTGACCTCCCACTGCAAGTCTTTCAACCCTTCGCCCTCGGCATACGGCAACAAACGCTCCAAAACCCTCTTCACCTGCTTCACCCGCGAATCGCTATCCGGTAGTATCCTGCCTTGGTACTCTTGCCGCACTTGCTCTACGGATGACCGTCCCAGCGCTTCTTCGATGCCAGGCGAGATGATGTTGAAGCGGCGGCGACCAGAGACGGGCACTTCTTCGAGATTGTACAGGTAGACGCCGCCAGTGCCCACGCTGATCAGACCGACGTCACGGTAAAACGTTGGGCGGGCAGCCCAGCGAAATAGGAGACCGGAGAGGCCACCTGAGGGAGAGTTGAACCGTTTGTATTGCTGGCCACTGCGACCGAGTTGCTGGTAGGCACGGGATTGTGGAAGGCTACGGACATGCTGGAATGAGGGTTGAGACGTGCGAGGTAGAGCGCGAATGGGTACGAATCGCGCTCGTATCCGGTACATGGCGGCGTTGATGCGGTGTTTGGGTGAGGTTTGGGCGAGGTTTGGCGATGAGATGGGGAAGGTGACGTGCATACCTATGAACTCCGCGGGAATGCCAAGACAGCCACAATTCGCTCCAAGGTCGTCAGCATTGGTCATGTTCGACTTGCGTGACGACCGCCTATCGGCCCAACAGACGGACAGGAACTCCAGTTCACATAGCGCAGTGTAGGGATCTATTTAAGGAGGTACAAAGCCGTTTCACCTACTTCTCCATAGGCTCACAGGCGTCATCTTCCATCGCGTATCGACAGGCTTGGAACATGGAAAAGTCGTAGCTCAATACGTTGGGCTAATACCGGCGATCCGCAACGTTCCCGTCGTTTACTCGCTCAGTGTTTCCAAATTCATTTCGGGATGCAACTTAAATGATACTCCTAGCTTCCGTCCAGATTGAAGTGGCCTTAACAAACAGATCGGACCTCGGAAACATCGAATGATGCGGCTACAACACGGTCACTTTACAAGAGGAGAGCTAGAGGAACAAGACTTTGAAGGTGGCAACACGTCGTATATATTGTCGCAATACTGTCGCTGCTGACAGCTTTTCGCATTGCACTGTAGTGGTGGTACTTGCTCCTTCGGCTCCATCTTGCTCAAACTATACGTAGGCATACTCTACGTGAACTTCAAGGACGCAGGCATCGGGCTTGTAGGGGACAGGCTCGGGGAAGGGAGAAACCATTGCCGGAGAGGTTGAGCAAGGCGTCTCAGCAGCAGAAGACTCAGCCTTAGTAGGTGTAGCAGACGCAGTGGCCACGGCAGACGAGGTAGGAACGACGGCAGAAGACTGGGTGACGGCCGCACTGGTAGCGGAAGAGGCGGCAGCAGAGGATGACGAGCTGGTGGCACCGCACGACGCCAGAGGTGCGACGCTGTCGATCTTGGAGGCGACCCAGGAAGAAGCATCGTCGGTGTAGAGCTCAAAGTAGTTCAAGTGGTCGGCTACAATGTTTCCGCCGGCGCAGACTGGGTCGCCGGCAGCACAGTAGGAGCGAAGGACGGGTGCGTAGCGATTGAGGCGAGCGAGATCCTCCGGCTTACGCCCGTTAGACTGCTTGTCGGCACCGTCAAGCACATTGTAGGGCTGGTTGGCGGTATGCATCACGTCTCCCCAGAGGAGAGCCGCGGCGACTGAAACATGTTAGGAAGGACATTGCCGTAGTATCGTCGAAGTCGCTTACCCGCTTTGCCTGCAGCAGAGTTGTTGTCTAGGCCGGTCGAGACGAACGTGCATCCACCCTATATCGCAGTACGTAGTTAGCACATGCCTCACGGGTGCCCGGTTCTCACATGATGCTTACCGGTCCTCCAAACACATCTCCGGCCACGTGAGCTCCCTCAGAGTACCCATTCACCACAATGTGCGAGCAAGGGCACTTCTCGTTGAAGGCGGTGATCTGAGAGATACCATTGCGAGCGCCCTCAGCAACTTGGTTACAGTAGTCTCCACCAAGGGTTACATCAAACTGGATGTCAATGTAGTCGCAGCTCTTGCCCTGAGCAGTCAACTTGCCGCAGGTGGCCTCGACGAAGGGGAAAGTGCGACCGTCATGGTATGGGGCGTCGTTGCCACGAGCCATGAATATGACCACATCGGCACAAGTTGCGTCGAGCTTCGGGGGCACGGTTTGCGCAGCAGCGAGGGCGGAGAAGGCGCCCAGGGCGATGGTGTTGCGGATACTGAACGACATGATTAAGGATTATGTTTGTATAGTAATGTATAGCGATTAGAGAGTGTGGAGGTGGAGACCGCAGGTAGGGCTGGAGCTGCAAAAAGAACGTGATGGGCCTTTTAGGGGTACCTGGGGTATCACATTGCAGCAAGAGGGGACAGCTTTAATACATGCAGTATACGAACACGTTAAATTTGATCGTTCACCTGGGCGTCAGCATCGTTTACGGTGGAGACGTCTATACGAGCCTGTTGTGGTTCCATCCCTTTTGCCCTGCATAGGTGCCCGAACAATCGTTGCGGTTGCTTGCATCCTCGAGCCACAATCTCGTTAGAGGATTACTAGAAGAAGAAGCTACCAACAGCTGTGTTCTGTTGGCGTTAGTCCTGCCGGTAGCCCAGCCATAAAGGGATAGAACAGCATCAGTGCCACCGGGTATTCTGATATCTCGGCAACCCCTACAAAAAGCTTGGTACTTGAGAGTTGGATAACACGGCAGTACGACAAGATGTGTTCGTACATCGGCATCCCGTTGTTCTGCACATGGTGGGTCTCGATGAACGCGTTGCTTCTCAGCTAAAAGATGTTCATGTCACAGCAGCCGTGGTGACATAGCGACGTATCAAAATAAAAAGCGCCTCGCGATTAACGACGGCGCACAATCCTTTTGACTATGGCGACTGAGCCTATGTAGACGCTGTTCACGACTCGCGTCTGTACCTACCTTACAGTTCTCCGTCGTAATAGCACTCCCATGGCAATTGGGGTTTCTTCCAATCATGCTAGTCGAGGAGTAGAACTTTCAAATATTGCCCAGCTAGGTCTTTCCAGGGATCTTGCACCTCATCCCACGGCTTCCAGTGATCAACGCGCCAATAGGATTGCGATCCTTGAATAATCCAGGGCAACTGATCCCGCTGGAAGATAGCATCCGTTGCCGAGCCTGGAGATGGAATTTCTTAAGTTTGAGCATCTCGAGACTACTGTTGAGGCATCCATCAGAAATGGTAGTAGAGTGCTCTGGTCAGACACAGAGCGGAAGCGACTTGCAAGACCACGGCCCTCGCGAAGGGTTTATTTCCAATCACGTCAACGTACAGTCGAGACTCACAGACTTTTTCGTCCCCTTCGTGTTTGAACAAAATCTGTCGTTTTTACTGCCTCTAGAACGACCTAGTTTTCTCTTTCCAAAACGCTCTCCACGCAGGGTCGCACTGAGACTTTTTCAGTGTTTCGTCGTCGCGTTGATAGTACCGTCCCCCAAAGGCTGTCTCAGGTGCGAGTTCCAGCCCAATGCGATGAGTGAAGGGAGTGGCGTACTAGTATCTATCAATCACACACCGAAAGAACTCGGAATATATCACCAGTTCAGCTAGCATCTAAAGCTTGACTAGATTTAGGAAGAAAGCGAGATATTTTAACATCCGCGAGCACGACTCTTGATAGCTGTTTTTAACTAACCTTTGGACCGGCGAGTCCTCGTTTTTCTTCGAGCCGTTATGAGTGAACCCTAATGGTCGCGAAGACGCACCCAATCTACTATCAGCCGCAGTTCTACTTTGTAGAAAAAGAGTAGCCTGCATACTTAAGTGTTAAGATTAAGTAGTAGTAGTAGCACCTAGGTAGTACCTAGTAGAGCCATACGACAAGGTTCTGATTATCGTAAACTTGTTGCGTCACTCCGGCATCATCGATCTCTCCGGTGATATTCTCTTTAGCAAGACTTGACTCGCTGTAGCGGGCATCGTGGCTGCTTCTTTACTGTACTGATATCAGACGGACCTCGGAAGCTGGAAGGCGCGCGCACATGATTGGCTGGGAGAGGCTGTGGGGTAACTCCGCCAAGTCTACCACTTCGCTGCGAACATCACCCTATTGCCACGAGGCTTTGTCCTAAGTAAGATGCGCAAACAATCATTCTAAAAGCCAAACCCAGAACCCATTGCGCGTACTGCGTTGTCTGAGCTACGTAGCTAGGCATTCAATGCGCGAGGCTGGCTTCCGAGCGTTGCTTCAAGCGCAGTGGCAGAGCGTGCCGTATCCGACGTACTCGCCTCGCCTGGCCCGCCGGCAATGACCGCTGCGGCGGGCATCCCGCCACCGATCCCCTCCTATTACCTCATAAATTCGGAAAACTGAGCTTGTAAAATTCGCCAAACTCGATCTCCCGCAAGATGTGACTCAGCAAAGTATGGGTCTGGGGAAGCAGAATCCTGGGGTCGACTGACCTTGCGGTCAAACATCATTTTTGCCGTGCAACAACATGGCCGCCATTGGACCGGATCCACCAACTGAAGAGTTCAGCCAGATCGAAGAGGAGGATATTGCGCCAACCAAGCAAGAAGTATCTTCAACCTTTGATGTCACGAGAGTCGCATCTACCGAGCCGCCTCCCAATGGCGGATGGGTAGCATGGTCACAAGTGCTAGGTGGGCATATCATCACCTTCTTCACCTGGGGCTTCATCACATCATTTGGTATGTTCCAAGCGCACTATACCTCCATTGGACTGTCGACCGCGTCCAATATCTCATGGATCGGTGCACTCACCGTCTTCTTCCTGCTGTCCATCCCTCTTTGGTCTGGCGCCGCGTCAGACACCGGTCATTTCAAGCTTGTTCTGCGCGTAGGCATTGGACTATGGTTGGTCGGCATCTTCATGACAAGTATCTGCAAGGAGTACTGGCAGTTCGTGCTTGCGCAGGGGTTTTGCATCGGTTTCGCAAATGGATGCATGTTCGTGCCCATGGTATCCGTGATCTCGACATATTTCGATGCGACAAAGCGGAGTTTTGCAATTAGTATCACGTTATGCGGGTCGGGCACTGGTGGGCTAGTTATTCCGATCATGCTCAACAGGTTGATTGATCGCATCGGGTTTGGATGGGCGGTGAGGACGTTGGGCTTCATGGCGCTGGTCATGCTATTGATTGCTGAGCGGCTGCTAAAGAAGCGGCTTCCACCAAAGGTTGCGGTCAAGATGCTCGAACCGAGTGAGCTCAAGGACCCGGTCTTTGATCTTTTCGTAAGTGGTCTGATTCGACGAACCCGGGACGTCTTTGCTAACGTACACAGATTCTCGGCTCGGTCTTTTGCTTCGCAGGTCTTTGGTTCGCTTTCTTCTATGTAAGTACATACCGCAATCTTCTTCAACAAATAGCTGACCTTACCCAGATCAATGCTTTCGCTCGAACAACGTTGGGTATGACGTTGGAAGAATCGATACCGCTCCTCTTGGTGCTAAACGGCATCGGCATTCCGGGACGTCTGTTACCCGCGTACGTTGCTGGCCGCTATTGCCGGCCATTGACCATCAGCCTGATCGTCAGTTTCGTCACTGCTCTTCTACTATATTGTTGGATTGCGATCACTTCGACAGCAGGAATGTATGCCTTTGCGGCGCTTTACGGCTTGTTTGCTGCAGGCTTGCAAGCCATGTTCCCTGCAACACTCGCCGATCTTACCCTGGACAACAAGAAAATCGGAACAAGAATGGGCATGGGGTTTGCCTTGTCTAGTTTTGGTTGCCTTATCGGAGGTCCTGGTGGAGGTGCGTTGGTTGAGGTTGGCAACGGATCCTATCTGTATGGACAGGTGCTTGCTGGCTCATGCGGTGTATTGGGCTTCATGTGTTTCTTGGTAGCGGCATTGATACATAAGAGGCAGGCAAAGCTGTTCGATGGCGTCTAAAGAGGTGTTGTGGCGACTCATGTCCTCAAGGCTTTCGGCCGATGTCGTGAAGCGTTGCATCACATTCATGCAAAATGGGAGCCAAGATCTCGCCGCCCTGTCATTGCCTTATTTCCTCGCAAGGACCGCGAAAGCCAGAACGAAGAAGCTTAGATCGAAGGAGGTAGCCATTCATAGCATTGGGTCGTGTTTCTCATGCATGTTTTGTACACTACCTACGTTCGCCCGTTGTTGGCCTTTCCGCCAGACCGTGGAACGCGTTTGAATTATATATCTACGTGTTTATTCGTTTTCATAACACTTTGAATATCACCTAAAACACGCCCGGAATAGGTGGCCCCCAGATCTTGAGCGCCTGTGGCCCAGCAGGAACGTGCGATACCTCCGTCTCAGCATTGACCAAATCGCCATCCGCATAGTGCTCCTTGTAACGCTGTTAGTATCAGGCCAATCAAATTATGACAAGTGTTGCCTACCAATATGAACTTGCTGGTATCAAACCAGTAGTCAAAGACTTGACTTCCGAGGACATGCTGTTCCCGGTTAGCAGTTCGTCCACAACCATGGAGTTGATGTAACCAACTCTTCCCACACCCCAACAACTCTCATATCCTTTCGACTCAAGATAGTCATGGCCCAAATGCTCGACGTCGAAGTCATGGGTCTCAAACGCAGAATGCGCAACAGTAGGTTCGTAGTCCGGTTTGACCCGCTTAAAGAAGAAGGCATGGTGATCTGTGTACTCCAAACCACGATCGATATGGAAGAAGCATGTGATGGGCTTATCGTCTTTGTAAACGATATCCGATGGAGCGAGAGCGAGAGTCTTGGTGTACCAGTCATACATCTGTTGATACGCGCCATCTGGATATGTCACACCGTAGTGACCCCAGCGATGAACGGGAGCTGGGCCGAGCTCAAAGCGCTGGAATTTGCCCTTTCGTGGCTTTTCGTCCTCGTAATTGACGACCAGCTTCTTCAGAGCTGGCGGTTCGGCCTCACTCTTTTGTTGACCATGAATGAGATAGACATGGTGTCCTACAGGGTCGGTGAGCTTAACATAATTCCCTCCTCCTGGAGCGTCGAGAGGTGCAATAGAAGTAGCTCCATCTATCTGACTTGCGCGTTCCAGCTCTCCTCTACTCTCCACTTCATATGCTGCTCCTTCGAAACTGCTCTTGCCGTCGGCTTGACGTGCGATGTATACAAAGGGCTCCACGCCATACCCTTTGAAGAAGATCTGGTTTTGGGGATCTTCTCGCGCGATGGACAGTCCGAAGTCGAGGAGAAATTGACGCGCCTTGGTTAGGTCGGCATGGTAGTAGATGACGAACGCCGTTGCCTTGAGACGGATCCTCATGTCGTTGTCAGGTATCGGCATGTCGTATGATTCAAAACAAAAGTGTAATAATCTATGCGCAAGCGTCGTTGGTTGGGCGGATGATATACAGCGCTGCAATTCGATGTATGTTGATCTACGCTACTAACCTCGAGCTGTCAGCTCAAGCACGTGGAGGCTATGTAGCTCGCCTTCCGCGACCGCTTTACATCAGTTGTGGAACCGAGGTACCGGTACAGCGTCAACAGTCAACGGTGTCAGGTTCCAGGGAGCTAGTACGCTGGGGTTCGTAAAGACCAACTGGGTTAGCAATAGTTGTGGTTCTGACGTAGGCGGGTAAGGTGGTGTGCGCACATTGATACCACCTTATCCTGGGAATTCTATCTGCGCTAGTAGCTAGCGTTTGATCAAGACCGTTCAACTGAAGCCGGGAATTAGTTTGTCAGACTTCTAAATTTGCATGCAACACTGCAAGTGCATGTTTGAAGGAAGGGTGATTTGCATAGCGCGCAAAGTGTCGCAGGTGTGATTTACGCGCTGTGAACCCGAAGTAAATTGATGCATTCTGCCCTGCTTATAATATATTTGAGCACATGTATACACGGTCACTGGAAGAACTTAATTTATTCGTAGTATCCTGGCGCTAAGTTGTACTGAAAGAGTACAGCACGATCGTGTCCGAAGATGAGTCGCGCATTAGTCAACTTCTGCAAAGAGTGTATCATCTGGTTGGATCTCGACCAAGATGCGTGGTCCCTGGTAAACCAACCCTGGGTGGCAAGAGACTCGTAGTTCTCTTTGACAACGTATTGGTCAGTGGTAAAAACCCACGTCCCGCTGGTTTTGAGGTTCACCTGGAGGATTGAGAGGCCCGGGGTATGACCGGGGATGTGGCGGATGATCAACCCAGTGTTTAGCTCGAATCCGTCGCCGCGGAACGGTTCCAGTTAAGATCGAATTGAAGGTAGGTAGGCAGATAGACACCTGCATAGAGTTTTGAGTCAGCCTTGCCGACCCTGTAATTCATAATGTCTCATAAGACACATTATGACTACGAGTGGGGTGCGTGTCTCTGTGACAATGACTTACCAAGATCTGTTTTTGTCGCAACGCTGTAAAATGCGTTCTTCAGTTCCTGCTCATGTGTATAGATAGGGACGTCCGTCCCCGAAAATACTCTAATCCTCCAGCATGATCAAGATGAAGATGGCCCATGATGACGGCCTTAACGTCTTTGATGTCATTGCCAGTTTTCCGAATGGCAACATCCAAGTCATGATCCTCGCAATAGTTCTCCCGAGCAAAGATGTCGTTGAGCTGTGGTCCCCAAACGTCTGGATAATCTTTGCCAGGACCAGTCTCGAAGAGCACGAGTCCTTCAGTAGGATGAGAGACCAAAGCACACATCATTACCATTGACCTTCGAGCATATTGTTGCGGGTTCAACTTGCTTGCAGTAGAAGTATTCGCCTACATAGCCGAGTCAATCTGCTATTTTCTGATACCAGCGCCAGCGCTGTTGTGCTGAATGGATTGAGACGTACCCCGGTGATCATGAAAGCCTCATCAGCTACCACGTCTCCTACATGAAGAGGCCAAAGCTTCGTTCCCTGAAAGCACGATGAGTACAACGCGTCGTTCTGGAAAGCGAGTGCTTGCATCAGGTGCCAGACTCCCAGGAATATTCATCATCCCAGACCGTTTCCGCGTGAACGGTCGTGTATTGACGCAATGAAGTCTGGCAAGTAGACTACGTGAAGAACTTAGCAGAGCCTGTGAAACCACGTGAACAGACTTCGCTGCTTGCTATTATATAGACATACACCATCTGAAAAGCAGCCACCTGTGCATCTGGATTCTGACTGGCTATGCGCGTTGTGGTACGCGTTTACCCCGCTTCAAAAGCAGCCCAAGTAGCCCACATAGTCAAGCTGCGTATTGTCCGCGGATGTATTCCGAAAAACAAGACCGCAACTTATCGCTGACAAATTCAAATTGATTCGGCTTCAGTCTCTGTAGTTTGGTACAGCGGATAAGGTGGTATGCCTTGGCGGGTTCCTGCGTCGGAAAGCGGATACGCTGCCTTCCAACTACTGATGTTCATGCGCGTTTCCGAGAACCACACTGCATATGCTGATGGAGGAGTGAGAGTTGGTGAACTCCGACAACACATAGGAGCTGCCTTTGCCTTGAGAGCTGTGCGACCTGCTAGCTCCAACTCTTCTTCCCTATTCCGCGATTAGCTGTTCACGATGTCTTCAGAACCAGTTGCGTGGGATAGATTTGTTCGTTACATTGCGCAAGGGGCTGATCAGGATATTCGTTATGGCGACCCCATCGTTTCAGGCTCAGACGTGGATTTGATTGCTCAGATTGCAGAGGAAGGAAAACTCGAAGTAAAGATGTTGCATGGAAACGATCCGCTGAGTGCGACACCAACAGGCGAGATCGACAAAGTGGCGAGGCTGCTGGGACCGCTCGAGCCAGCTCATGTCCCAATCATCCGTTGCATTGGATTGAATTACAAAACACACAGTATGTATGGGATTAGAACACTAGTGGGAGAAGCACCCGATCTAACAGATTGCAAGTTCTCGAGACCGGACGGCCGCTTCCAACGTGTCCAACGGTCTTTACTAAGCCAGGGCCAGCCGTTGCGGGTCACGGCGAGGACGTCCCAATTCCTTGTTTCGCACAGGAGCAATGCGATTACGAGGGTGAACTGGTCGTTGTCATCGGCAAAGACGCAAAGAACATAGTGGAAGCCGATGCCTTGGACTATGTGGCTGGATATACTGCAGGTAACGATGTCTCCGCGCGCGACTGGCAAAGAGAAGCTGGGAAAGCAGGGCCTGTTCCGCAGTGGTCCTTCAGCAAGTCATTCGACAAGTACGCGCCGCTGGGACCGTGTATCGTAGCCACTCACGTCCTAGGAGAAGCCAACAAACAGTCGCTGAGGACGATGGTCAATGGGGAAATCAGACAGGAAGGCAATACGTCAGATCTGTGCTTTGGCGTCCGACGACTTGTCGCATTTTGCAGTCAGGGCCAGACTCTTCAGCGAGGCTCGTTGATCATGACCGGGACGCCAGGTGGAGTCGCACTGTTCATGAAGCCGCAAGCCTTTCTCGAAGATGGGGACAGGGTCGAGGTGGAGATTGGAGGAATTGGCCGAATGTCGAATCGCATGTCGTTTGATGCATGATGAGAAAGTAGACGGCACGTCCCGTTGAATCCATGTCCGTAGAGGTGGATGGCGGTAATCGGCACCATGTGTCCATAGCAATTCAAGTCGTGATCTTGAGTCCTGGGAAGCGCGTGCACGCAGATCGAGGCGAGAACATCAGCTAGCTCGACCCCGCAGCCCTCGCCCGCCGGTCGCGTTAGCGTGCCAAGGGCAGTCCGACGGCTCGAGTGCTGAGCCGACAGTCAATGCCAACATGCATAACATGCCCAGGTGCCTTCGCCGCGCCATGGAGAAGCCGTTGGGGCTCTCCACGTCTTTCATCTCATCCTCACATCATGTACCCATGCACCAAATGCGAAAGGACCTATCGTACGCAAAACTCCTTGACGCGTCATCAACACAGCCACCAAAAGACCTGCAAGCACCGCTGTTCAACCTGTGGCGTCGTCTTCCATCGCAGGGATCTTTTGTCTCGACACTCGAAGCTTCACCAGCCTTCGTCTCTCAACGACACAGTTGAACCGCCATCTGCCCAGATTGGCAGTGCCACTGCCGCATCGGGAAGGCAGCGATGTCATACCGCGTGTCTCCGATGTAGAGAGTTGAGGACGAAATGTGATGGACAGCGTCCGTGCTATACATGTCTGAACACCAACTCTTCCTGTCGATACTCCAACCGTTCCAATAGGCTGAGCCAGGTTCTTCCGCATGTCGCGACACCGGCCACCGATGCACCTCCACACGAGTCCAACCAACATGACGACCAGCCAGACGATGTGGGCTGCTTGTCGTACGAGGGATCATGCTTGCCTATCCAGAGCGCCGAGCATCCGAGAGAACATGATCTCCATCCAGGTACCCATCATATACGCCCCAGCTCCCTGGACAGACAGTCAATCTACGATCCGTACAACGATTGCTTGTTAGCGGGCATACCTATTCGTCCCGAACACTCCACATCCTCCGTCGCAACCGGTGAGACGTCCGATATAGGAACCATGTCTTGGCCGTGGCTACACGAAAACCTCTTTCTACCTGCCGACCCCCACTCATTGGCCAACACGATGAGCTCTGTGCAATTCCCATATTCCCAAGACGAAACGCTTGCCGGACTTGACTTGGAATCCTTCACCAATCTTGGCTCGCTGTCAACGCAGAGTCATGTTGGCCAACCGGACGTGGAGATGCTCTTAGGGCAGACTTCTGCGTCAGACGGATCGAGCAGCACATCACATCACCAAGCCTCAAAGAATATCTTCGCCACGGGCACGTTGGAAGATACGTGTAAGTCATCGTTCGATAGCGTGATGTGGAGCATTTTTACTGATACGAAAATAGGCAGTCTGGATCAAAGTGCGTCGATCACATCCAGAGACAATCAAAACCTAGTTATTGAGAATCTAGTCGGCCTCGCTTCCTCACCCGCGTGGGGTAATCAGTCAGAAAAGGACCATGCAAACTCCTGGGCCCTCGCTTCTGCCAAAGTTGCACTCGCATTTGGGCTCACTGATTACCAAGAGTGCTCGGGTTCGTCAGCACTCTACGACTTCTGCGCCAAGTATGTAGAACATTTCGGACCGCTATGGCCCCTGTTCAGCTTGCAAACCTTGGACCTGGACGCTCTTCATCCAATCCTTTTTCTCGTTCTTACTTCGATCGGATCGATGTATTGCGGCTCCAACGCGAGCAATTATGGGGCCATGATGCATACCACCATCCGGAGCACTCTTACGATGGTATGGGAGCTTGAAAACGAAGAGCTCGGTCTTCTCTGGCTGGCACAAGCGCGACTGCTGACTCAGGTAGCTGCGCTGTATTTCGGACAGCCAAAGGCTTTCACCTACGCCCACCATCTCGGCGCCTTGCTTGTCGCTCAAGCTCGGAGGATGGATCTCTTCTCAGCCGCATATTTTGACAAAGCTATGCAAAGGCTACAACGCATGAAAGACATTGCTTCAGATGAGGAGCGTCTGGAAATGTGGTTGCAACTGGAGACACGTCGACGACTAGCATTCGGTATATTCCGCGGCGACAGCTACACTAGTGTGTTGCTACACAGCAAACCTCTAATCTCAATGGAGGAGATCGACCTTCAGCTGCCAATGTGCGACGCTATATGGCGAAGCAAGAAGATGTCCCCTAGCTTGTGCCTGCAGATGATAGAGCATGACCAAACGCCTGGTAGAGAACTATGGGCTTCTGATATCTATCGTATCGCCATGGATAAGAACGAGCCGCTTCCACCTCTGGATCCTGCAGGACAGGAGCTTCTCATGTTCGGACTGCAATACTCTATTTGGCGCTTTTCCAAGGACCACAATATGTTCACCCGTTTGTCCGGAGGTCTTGAAGGCTCTAGTAGCGATGACTTATCATCTGTTTCTTCTGACAGTCCCTGCGAATCCATTTCCAGCAGGAGCCCTGGTTCGGAAAGGCTCAGCACAAGACGTCTATCAAAAAGTGCTACCAAGTCTTCAGAGACACACTGTTTGGATAGTACGGTACGCCGGATGGAGGATTTACGGCAGCAGCACCGACGTTTACTTTCTGCTCTTGAGAAATGGGAGCAAAGCCTTCCTCTAGTCAAGACATTCGTGAGAACCAATCTCGACCGTAGCTGTTTGATGAGTGGTCTAATACTCTTTCACTTGGGGCACCTTCGCCTACATGTCCCACTCGAAGACCTCCATCAAATTCAGTATCGACTCGCCGATAATCTTACTATCGAAGATCGTCTCGTTAATAAGGCGCGCAAATGGGCCAACTCACGACAAGGTCGGATTGCGGCTGAGCGGGCCTACAGTATCTGGAACATTATAGACCGAGAGTCAAAGCTGGAGAAAGAAAAGAGGGTAAACTTCAACCTATTGGCTTTCATAGGTTTACACCACAGCACAGTAGCTGTATGGGCATACACAGGAGCGCGTAACGACAAGATCAATAGGAACTCTGTAGAGTCTTCAATCGTACTGGAAGGGTGCGGGGAAACCACGGCTATTGATCCGCAGAGAATTGGCACGTTGTCGTCGTTCGTGGATTTATATGGCCGCATAAGCCCTGCGGGCTGGTCGTCGTTTGCGAAAGCAGCAGGCACGCTATCAAAGCAGCACTTTCCCGTCACTAAAGGATGTTGATTGAGACGAAGTGGTATGCGATTGCATTGAGGGGCTATCAGTAGCGCGCATCACACAAGCACGTTCAAACATCAGAGTTCGTGCTTCGACTGGGTTATGTAGAAGTATCGGTTATTATTGTACAACTTCCAAGGTCACAACTAGTCCCACCGAGCCACGTGACGAAGTATCACGCCTCCAATCGTCTGAACTTCAACCAACAAGAGCCCGTCTTCGATCCAGCTGCAAAGACGTCCGCCAGAACCAGGTTGTCTTCTTCCATGCCGGGGGGCATTGTTGCTTTGAACTTGCGAAAGATCAAACCTAGCATGTACTTGAGTTCTGTCAAAGCCAGATTCGAGCCCGGACAGGCACGAGAACCATGGCCGAACGGAATCCAGTTCAGTTTCATACGTTCGTCAGCGCCGATCCAGCGCTCAGGTTTCCAAAGCTGCGGCTCTGGATAAACCTCTTCTAGCTGTCCCTGGTTGAGCGCTGCAGTCGATGCGATCACGCCTCTCGGGACTTGCTTTCCAGCGATTACAAGATCCTTCCCCAAATGTCTTTCGAGTGGCCCTGGGATCATAGGGTACATCCGCATGGTCTCCCGAATAACACCGTCAAGAAATTCGAGATTCATGGTGCGCTTGATATCGAAGCTTTCCAAGTCGGGCAAGGCTTCAATGAGTTCCGCACGAAGTCGCTCCTGGGCCTCGGGATGGCGAGTCAGAAGCCAGCAAGCAAACGCGGCGGTATGCGAAGTAGTCGAAGAACCCGCTGCGAGCATCTCGACCATGTATGCGGGAATGTCTTCCGGAGGAACGGCAGATGCGTTTACTTTGTTCATAGACTGCAGCATCGAGAGAACATCCTTTTGTCGGCCAGCAGCGTTCTCACTAGTCTCCCAGCGGTTCAAAGCTTCTTTTGCTGTGACATCCATATCATGGCAATCTTTCCTCAATGTCTTCCACTTCTCATTGCCGAACCATCTGACGTAGAAATCTGCTCCAGGGATGAAGCTCTTCATCGCGTTCCAAGTGCTAAACGCGTGAAACCGTCGAAGAAAAGCTGGTGCGTCGTTCTCCTTGTAGTTGCGCAGCAGTCTGTGTTCTTCGGCCCAGAGTACATCGGTCACAATGTCCAGCGCAAGTAAGCGGAAGACGACGACTCCGTCAACGGCTTCTTCGTTCTCATCCTTACGATGGAGCAACTGGATGAAATCCTCGACGTGCGACTGGATGTTCTCCACCAAAGCCGCGAGGTTTTTGTTCTGGAAGCATTGGATCAAATTGTTGCGTGATGGGGCTGCAGACGGGTAGTCCACGAAACCGAGAGTGGACACGACGCCTTTCCAGCTTCCCATCGAGGAGTAGAATGAGGTCTTGAGTGCAGATTTGTCATATATCGTTTTCATTGCATTTTCGTCCACAGTGTGAACTTGATCCGTTGCGATGACGACAATGGGTCCATACTGATCAAGAAGCTTCGTAACGTAGTCCGACCGTCTACGCTTGTACGTGGCATATTTTAGTGGCAACTTGGAGACCCGCGCGTACCAGGGGCCTGGTATATGTCTAACTGGAGACATCAAGAAAGGGTACAAGATCTACAATTCGTTGTTCTGTCAGTTCCGTTTGGGATTCTGATAGCAAGAAGATGGGTGTGGCTCACGAGAGTGTTCAACAGATGCAGGGAGACAGCAATCAGCCCCCATCGAAGCATTAGCAGTAGTCCGACGGGAGTCTCTGCTACTGCAGCAGCTATTGCCGTCATAATGAATTGCGCCAGATGATACCGAAGTTCTTTGCGGCGAAAGTATTTTCACGCGATTTTGATGACCAAAAACGCGTTGTACAGGATGATTCTTCTACGAAGACCTTTGGCGAGGACTTGATGTCGCGCAGGTCTTCTTAATGCGACACCCAAATCCTGCTCAATTTCTGACACCCGGAGAGAGCTGCCACAAAAGCCGTCCGGCATTAGTGTGACGTCATGGACTTCTGTAACACTTGCACCCTAGCTCACAGCATGGGCCGCAGCCCTACCTAGGTAGCTCAATTTTAGCCAGGAGACAACCTTCTTTTTCCAACATTTACATTTTCCCCCATCATCCTTCGGAATACAGTGGCTCTGTACAAAGGTCGACTTCCGGTTCTACCCCGCAGCCACTTTTCTACGCCCAGAATTACCTCATTGCTGTGGAGTACACTGCGGAGAATCGCGTACATGCTCCGGATAAAGTGGTATGTAATCCACCAACAGCAGATCGAACATAGCGATCTCCGAAAAGATTGAATGGCTGCGACTAATCAGACTGCGTCCTTCAGCGGTGTCTGATGAAGCCGCATCTGAAAGCCGAAATTGATGCACTTATGGTCCTTTGCACGTGATGCAAGCGGAACACATACCACTTAGTAGGCCAAGAGTCTACACAGGTCGTGGACATGCCACGACAAACCATTGGAATAATTGATTAGCCTCGACTAGACTCCGCGTATGTCTTCAAGATGCTTAGCCGTCAACAGCATGATGTGCTTTTTGTGGTGAACATATCTACTGTATTCAGCATCTAATCAGATTTGTACAACGAACCGCTCCTGTCTATCGAAGCATGGAATATTCTGTAGTTATCGTTGGTGCGGGCCCCTCTGGCGCCACCACTGCATTGCTGCTGGCTCAACAAGGCGTGAAGTCACTTTCAATATCGAGACACAGCGGCACGGCAAATACCCCTCGAGCGCACATCTTCAACCAAAGAGCAATGGAAGTTTTGAGGGACACGGGTATCGAGGAGAAATTGGGCACGATAGCAAGCACTGCAGAATGTATGTTCGCTGCGTCGGGAGTACCAGCTACCTGTATCCCAAATCTCGAGCATGTACTAATCGAGTGCAGGTATGCAGCATACCTCGTGGCTGAACACACTAGCTGGCGAAGAGTATGGTCGCGTTTGGGCTTGGGGTAACCGACCATCCCAAAAAGGCGACTATGAGCGAGCGAGTCCTTGCGCCATGTCGGATCTGCCTCAAAGCTACCTCGAGCCAGTTCTGATCGAAGAAGCCACGAGGCACGGTGCCGAGTTCCGATTTTACACTGAATTCGTGCGTTTTGAGAAGATAGCTGACGTAATCGTTACGACTATGCGAAACAGATCGACCGGAGAGGAGTACAACATAACATCCAGCTATCTAATCGGAGCAGATGGCGCCCGGAGCGCTGTGTTGCAGGCTCTCAAGATACCAGTACTTGGCCGCCAGCTCAACACTGCCTTCAACATCCATATCAAAGCCGACCTATCTAAGTACATTCAGCATCGACCAGGAAGCCTCAACTGGGTACTGAATCCCGTTGCGCCAGAGTGGTCGGCTGTGGGTAATTTTCGCATGGTCAGGCCTTGGACGGAGTGGGTGGTGTCGATGCACCCAGCGACGAAGGACAAGAACAGCTCTCAGCCAACCGAGGACGCCATTCTGAAGCGGCTGTACCAGATGATTGGCGACGACTCGATTGATATCGAAATATTGTCCTCGTTTTCTTGGACAATCAATGATCAAGTTGCTGAGAGTTGGCAAAGCGGCAGGGTGCTGTGTATCGGCGACGCGACACATAGGCATCCCCCTATAAACGGACTCGGCAGCAACACGTGCATATCAGACGCTTTCAACATCTCCTGGAAGTTGGCTTATGTTATCAAAGGCTTAGCTTCACCATCTCTCCTTGATACCCTTACGGTCGAGCGCAAGCCTGTAGGCGACAGCATCGTCCGCCGCGCGAACGATGGAATGGAGGCGCATCGAACACTTTGGGCACTTATTGGCCTGGATAATTCGTCCAGGAAGAAGGCCACCGATCTGCTCAAGTCCGACTCGACAGAAGGAGAGAAGATGCGCGATCAGTTTCGAGAGGCACTGGAAGCTACCGAGGATGAAGTGCAAGCACTGGGCATCCAAATGAACCAGGTCTACCTGAACACATCTGCAGTGGTGATTGAAAGTGGGGATATTGCCCCGGAATTCAACCATATAAACGCTTTGAGAGAGATTAAGACCAGCACCTATCCCGGGTATCACCTTCCACATGTCTGGCTAGCAGCCAATGGGCAAGCAAAAAGACTCTCAAGTCTGGATCTCTGTGGACGAGGGTCTTTCACATTACTCACAGGCGTCGGCGGCGATGCTTGGCTACATGCAGCGAAGGAGGTTTCGGACATGAGTGGTGTATTCGTTCGCGCCTATAAGATCGGCTTTGGAGGCGACTACATGGACGCATACCGGGAGTGGTATCAAGTGAGAGGTGTCGGGGAGAGAGGGGTTGTGTTGGTAAGGCCTGACCACTTCGTTGGCTGGCGCTGCGTGGATTTAGTGGCGAACCCAACCGCGAAGCTTTCGGAAGTGTTGCAGCAGATTATGGGCAGGGCATAGTATAGACTTTGCTTGAATATCTTGTTACCAGTCCCAGATCTCACAAATGAATGTGACAATTCGATCACAGTGCAATCTCATGTGAGTGAGCACAATATAACCCTTGGAATTCGGCCTCAGTAGTCAAATACTGGAGTTGCCTGGACTGATGGCATAACTTAGCCTCCTTACTTATCTTCAAGGAGGATTTGTCTATTCATGACCGTAGTACTGCTGGCTGTAGGCTAGCGTCCCGATTACGGGTCATCAGCGCAATCGACCTGATGGTAGAGTTCATACCAGCTGCTGGCGGCATTTTCCTTCCGTCCACTAGAAGGAGCGACATAGCTATGTGTGTTGTGACCTGTGTCTGCCGCCAATCTCTTGATTACGAGTGCTAGGTCTGTATGGCATCTTGTTTGCACGCTTCCCCGCAACGTCACTACATCTTACGCCTGGAAGGCGAAATACCACTTTACCCATGCCACACGGGTGTACCAAGCCGTACTTTGTTTCATTGAACACCCTTACCAAGATGCTGGTGTCGCCAATGGCATCGTTGCTGACCTCCTTACCCCAGACTGCAAGGAGTTTCGGCAGCGCCAATGCCACTTGGCATCCGCGTTTGCGTAGAGGCGGGTTACAATCTTGGCAGATGGCGCGCTCAAAGTACAGTTCGTGCGCATTGCGATAGATATATGGAAGACATCGTTGACTGAAGGGCGCAGTCCCATTCCTGATAATTCGCTATCGGCAGAGCATCTCCTCCGCTCATCCTTCCCAGCAACTGCAACTCCATACCCATACCCTTTGGAAACAGGTCCTCATTCTCCTGTACGCCAAAGAAGATGTCTAAAGTCGCACTAGTTACAGGTGGCAATGGAATTACAGGCTCAGCCATCATCGAGCACCTCGTGAAGAATACGACCTCTGCCGAGTGGAGGAAGATTGTCGTCACGTCGCGGTCGCCCTTCAAGACCACCGTTCACGATGACCGTATAATGTTTTTAGCCCTCGATCTTACCGATAATCCCGATGCCTTGATCAAAAAGATGCGCTCAGCATGCCAAGATGTTACTCATGCATACTTCTCTTCGTATGTACACAAAGACGACTTTGCGGAACTCAACCACGCCAACGAAAAGCTCTTCGCCAACTTCCTGGACGCTCTACTAGTCGTGGCTCCCAGTCTAGAGAACTGTACGCTTCAGACTGGAGGAAAACACTACAATGTTCACGTCAGTCCCGTGCCATCTCCAGCTCGGGAGGAAGAGCCCAGAAGGGAAAGTCCGCTTGGCAACTTCTACTTCGCCCAAGAAGACTACCTAACGACACGCCAAACTGGCCAGAATTGGACTTGGAACGTCATCCGGCCAGAAGCCATTATCGGCCACACGTCCAAGCCAAACGGCATGAATTCAGCTTTGACATATGCCTTGTACTTTCTCGTTTGCAAAGAGATGGGCGTTGAGGCGCGTATGCCGACGAACCAGCTGTATTGGGAAGGATACGACGACCTTTCCGACTCTAGACTTATTGCCGACCTGACCGTATGGGCCTCCACACATCCACACGCTGGGAATCAGGCCTTCAATGTCGTCAACGGTGACTATTTTTCGTGGAGATACATGTGGCCACGCATCGCCGCCTACGCAGGGGCCCGCGCAACAAGTGAGCAGATCTTTGAAAAGCCTCGTCCATCAGAAGGAGAGACGCAACTAGATCTCAGCTTGGCTGAGTGGGCTGTGGACAAGCAAGAGGTCTGGGAGCGCATCTGTGAAAAGAACGGTTGTCCTGAAGCGAAGGCGACTTGGGCATCTGGTACGTGGGCTTTCCAGGATTGGGTGTTTCAGCGTACGTGGTCGGCAACGTTGAGCGTTAACAAAGCGAGGAGATTTGGGTGGACCGGCCATATCGACTCGTATCAGTCGTTGACTGGTGCGTTCGATAAATTTGTTCACCTGAAGCAGATACCAGCGTTACAGCATAGTAGTAGTTTGTAAGATCAATGGCCAGGTCCTGTTGCCATGTCTTGATCACTTTCGGTGGTTCTCCATTGTTTGGCCATGAAATGCTAGTTAGAATGATTCGTGTCGCTGCTCGAGAGTCCTCTGACCTGTAGTACGTCGACCGACGATACGCTGGAATTACTAGTGTTGCATGCCGATGAGGCTCCACCATTGACACACAAGCCACCACATGTGTGGGTAATGTGTCTTTGCGCGTTGGTCGCAGTTCCTTCCTAAATACGAAATAAGTGGAGAGGTTTCGCAAAGCCTTGCCAGATGGAGAGGCGACCACGTGCTGTAGGATCCTCCAGGATGAAAGCGCGTGTCGCAATGGCGGACCATATAACATCGCGGTCTTACTCTGCAGCTTATGTTGAGACAGATGCTGTACGCTTCCCACAGTCATCGATGACATGTGGCATGACTATCGACGCATGTACTAAAATTTCCGTCAATAGGTGACCAGTCGCAGACATCACGACGGCTTCCCAACTTCATTTGCCGTGGTTTCCTCCCTCCGCCCTCGACCGATATCGCCATACGCCAGAACATCAAGCAATCGACTAAGTTGTCGATTTCTAGAGTCCCGTCATGATTTCGTCTCCTTTATTGCGTTGGACGGTCCGCCGCTTCCAACCTTGGAAGGTTCGCTTAGAGCGAATGAAGCCGTGCACCGGACTGCACCGCATCGCGGGGTCGCCCCGGGATAGCGTTCGGCTCGTGTTTTGGATTTAGGACTATCGCGAGTTTTAGGCACACGCGAGGAATGCATAGTCCATACTTTGTTGGAAGAGAAGTTGTTCCATTCCAGTAAAGACGCGCGCCTGCTGGGCCGAGGAAGCGCCCGGAAAGCAACGAGCTCTTCGAACCCCTCATCACTTTCCGTCACTTTGGCACGAGCATGCCAGGGGAAGCACATGCGGGAAGGGCTGCAAAGCTTGGAAGCCAGCCGGTGATAGCGCTGACACCGCCACTACTGATTGGCCAACACCGTTGAATACGGGGTGCCTCTTGGCCATCGCCTCTAGCGGCCGCGTCTGCGGGCGGTGCGTGGTGTGCGCCCTTCACTGTCCTCGCCCCTAGCAGCCCAGTCCATACCGGAAAGACAGGAGACGGAACTACACATCAGCCATCTTGTGCCATATCTCATCGCATCCTCCCAGGTCTCAACAGTGGCGGTCCCACTGGTAGTCTCACAATGCCAAAGCGATCGGCTGGCTGCTTCGAGTGCAGGAAAAGAAAGGTTCGATGCGACGAGACCAAACCAGAGTGCAATACCTGCGTGAGGCGCGGAACAAAATGCCCTGGCTATCGGCCAGCACAGGCTTTTATTCTCCACAACTTCAATGCACACGGAGAAAAGCCATCCCTGATCAAGGAGGATGAGAATCGCTACAAGTACGCCAGTCAAGCTTCGTCAAGCTCACAAAACGACGCAACTTTCTCAAGCAAGGCCATCGTACGCAGAGAAGATGCGCAAACGGAGCCTGAGGATGCGCCTCTGCCCAAGCAGGTCAGCGCAGTTGCCGCCGACAGGATACAGCATCTGGGAACCTTCATTGCCCTCTATTTGCCCAGAGCTGAGGGTCCGGCGTTGCCGCCCCCTTCAGCCCTGATGCTTGGCCTACCTACTATGCCCGCGAACAGCCCGGTACTCATGGCTGCAATCGATGCTCTCTCTGCAGCGCAACTGGCGGTGAACAACAGAAATCATCCGCTCATCCATCGCTCCAGGTCGCTATATGGCACAGCCCTGAGTCAGATGTTGCGCGCAATACAAGATCCAGTGACAGCACTCAAAGACGAAACACTGCTATCAACGTATATGCTCACGCTTTACGAGGTACAAGCGATCTCATCCAATGCTCTTGCTATCAGGTCTAACCGCTCGCATAGGTTTTCGTAGGTGTTACACAAGGTCATGGCTTTTTCTACCATGTCCAGGGACTTCTACATCTTCTTAAGCAGCGTGGGCCAGCTTCGTTCGAGAGTCGGTTGAGCATGCAAATTTTCCACGCCATACGGTACAACTCGGTATGAGGAATCGTGTTGTCGTATGCTGTACAGCCTCGCTAATGCCTGCTAGCTGAGTATCGGCTACCACATGCGAAAGGCCTCAATGCTAGACAGCACGGAATGGTTAGCAGTGACTGCCAAAGCGGCAAAAGTGGATCCGTACGTGGCTCTGAACGACATCTGCATACACATCCCACGACTCCTGGAGCGCACGGACAAGGCCACCAGACCAGAATGTCCAAAGGAGGAGATTGATTCTCTCATTGAGGATTCGCAACAAGTCGCTAGCCGTGCTTTTGAGTGGCTCTCAACCTTTGAAAGACACGGTCCGCGATACGACACGGTAGACGTTGCCTTCATGGATGGCTTCCTGGATATTTGCGCAGACCGCGTATTCGATCCCGTCTTTTACTTCCACTACTTTGGGGCCGGCATTTGCTACCTTATCTACTGGATGAGCATGTTGATCTTGCAAGGCAACACATTCAAGTTGCTCCGGCAGCATCGACAACTCGATATGAAGCAATTGTACATGTGGGACCGCCAGCTCAGCAGCTATGCAGATTCGATATGTCGAAGCGTGCCGTACAATTGTCGGCCCGTCACTGGTTACACTGCAAAATTCGGATCGTTGACACCGCTTATGGTTGCGAGAAAATACTACGAGATGAAGGGAGCACAGACCGAAGCAGGATGGTGCGCAAAAGTTTACATGGGCGCGAGAGTACCGGAGCTCTACCAAGCGCCCATCGCATTAGAACCTTTCGAGAATGTCAAGAAGACCGTGCAGGGCAACCCGCGGTATATTTGAAGGGTTCCGTGTAGACTATGACGAAATAAATAACGGCATCGCAGTTTTCTTCCTGTTACACTTGACAGAACTCTCCTTAATGACTCCGTTTGCAAGGCGTAGCTACTCTAACATGCGCATGTTACACTAAGTCTACAGCGTGGATCGTTTCGACGGAAGCTTGGGTGGTGCCACCACTTCTCCATTGGCGAGTACCTCAAGATGCGCCAACTCATAAGTATCGTCATGTTCTCATCATAGTTTGCAGGTTAGGGGTGGGCAAACTACCTGTAGTCACTCAGAGGTCATCAACTATGACTTTCGTGTTCCTTCATATCACGCGACGCAGTGAAGACATCTTACACTCATACGGCGACTCATATCTGCTTGTAGAAGCTGCCTTCGATTTTCTCCGCCGTCTCACTCAGAGTAAGTTTTGTCTACATTTGCTTATCATGATGCACAGAAACCCATGTACAACAATTAGCACCCGCTAAAGCGTCTACCCCCAAAGATAGCAATGACTTGTTACTTTTTGGAAGATAGTCTACCTAAGGGTCAACGGCAGATATAATGCACGCTACAGTCATATAGAAGCCGTTTGCCATCAAGTTCAAGCATGCAAGTCAAGGGAGCACAACGGCAAAGAGTGATTCAGTTGGACAAAGCGACTGCGAAGACTGAATTGGCCTATGGTTTACACGAAATGACATATGCTGTAGATATACATCTCCGGATATTCAAATGTCACACCTGTTCCTGTGCGATGCACGGTTTGAGTACTTTCCATTTGTAACATTGACTCAACATCTATGCAGTTGGTCGTATGCTAACCTAGGCCTGTACCTCCGTAACCAACTTGCCCGTGTTGCCTCCCTGGAAAAGCATCATCCAAGTTTTGGGCACATCCTCAAACTTAGTCTTAACCACTGTCTCCGTTTCGGGTCCAACCTTGAGCTTACCCTCCTTGACTCCCTTGATCAACTCCTGGATATACTGACCAGCCTTGCCCGACTCAATAGCATCGATAACAATGAAGCCTCTGACCTCAATGCGATTGCTGATAATCTCGAACCAGTTCTTGACGCCGCTGTCGCCCATGGAGTTGTACGTTGCGACGGCGCCGCACGCAGCGATGCGTCCGTGGCGCTTCATACGACCCAGCATGAGCGACAAGATGTCACCGCCAACATTGTCAAAGTAGACTTCTACGTAACCCTCCGTGGCTTTCTTAAGGTCAGCCTCGAAAGACGCGGCTTTGTAGTCGACGCAAACATCTGCGCCCAGACTCTCGACCCAGCGGCACTTCTTCTCACCACCGGCAATGCCGATGACGCGTTTACATCCAAGAACGTGCTTGGCGAGTTGCACAACCATGGAGCCGGTAGCTCCCGCAGCTCCGGAAACGACGACCGTGTCGGAGGAAGAGGCGCGCGCGATGTCGATGAGGCCGTAGTACGCGGTCAGGCCTGTTCCGCCGAGTGCACCGATGAAGTGCGTGGGGCGGATGCCGGCGCTCTCGTCGGCTTGGATGGGGCGAACGGCTTTGTTGGATACGACGGCATATTCTGTCCAGCCGAAGTCGCCCATGACGAGTTGACCCTTGGGCAGGCTATCGGTGCTGGATTCGACAATCTCGGCAATGGCGAAGGAACGCATTACTCCACCTTGCTTCACCGGCTCAACGTAGAGGCGCTCAGGGTCCATGTCTTTCTGGATCCTGTAGACACAAGTCAGTCGTGTTCTACGGGATTTTTTTGTGTGGTCAAACTCACCATCCTCTTTGTGCGGGGTCATTGGAGAAGTAGAGTACTTTGATGAGGACTTGATCAGCGGTTGGGCTTGGGAGGTCAATGGTTTGGAGCGAAAAGGTCGCGTCGTTGCCCTCAATGACGGGGTCGTTGAGTGGTGGGTTGGCAAGAACCCACTGGCGAGTTTGTTGGCCCGGCATCTTTCTGTATGTTATGAAATAGTGTTCTGTATGCAATTGGGTAGGTGATGTGGTAGTTTGCTGTCGAAAATGGAGATGATTGAAGAGAGCATGTACAGCGAGTACGAGATGCGGTCACCCTTTTAAGTACAACAGGAGCTAAACAGTCTCGAAGCTGCGGTGGGGTCTACTAGATCTTCCACGTTGATCCTGGACAACTTAAGCCCAGACGTAAGAGCATGTAAGGACTTGCTAGCTCTACTTAGTACTTGGCATAGAGTCGATTCGAGCTAATGTAGAGATGTTCACGGTGAACCTCGGCTTCTGGTGGTATCCAGTTTTCGCCCACTCTGGCGCGTAACGTGTCCATTGCGTGTAACAGTAGTCTTTCCGCTTTTCGTCCGACATGTTTTAGATGAAGAATTACTGAATCGGAATAGTGATTGAGAAACGCATGCTTAGTGACGCGCTGTTCTGGTCATTGAAGGGATAGCGGGGTAGCTTCAAGTTCCCAGCAGCAAGTACGCATGTAGCAGGGGGGGTATCGATACATGACTCGCATATGGTGTATCGTCTTAGATGGCATTGCGATACAGATCTGTCTGTGTTTTTTTGTCTAGAGAAGCATCGTAGGCTGCTTTCTACCACTTGCCACCCTTGCCCTTCTTCTTGTTTTTCCCCTTCTCAGCGCCACCCTTCTTCTCCTGAGCGGCTGGTGTTCCCTTGTCGTCTGCCACGACTCCACCCTGGGTAAGGCCTTCCATTCTCTTCTTTCCTTTCTTGCCCTTTGGACGGTAGTAGCTCCTATCACGCATAGGGAGCCATCTTTCGGGGTCCATCTTCTTACCCTTGACATAGTCCTTTGGCATTCTCGACTTGCGCAACCTCTTCGCTCTGACCGGCGCCTCCTTGGCTGGTGCAAGGCTACGTTTCCGGGATTCTGTTCCAAAATTGACCGACGTGAGGCTACCGAGTGGGACGCCTGCATTTTCAAGTTCAACGGCATCCACGTCGGATACCAGTCGGTTGGCTTCTGGTAGATAAGACAAAAGATCCGCAGGTATTGACGATGGATCTGTGATACTGTATGCGGCTACGAGACCAGCGATAGACGCTCGATCTTCGTTATCCTGGTTGTACAAGCCCTTGAAGATCTCTCCTGCAGATCTAACGTTATCTGGATTATGAGTATCAAGGAGGGCGGTACCGGCAGCGACCATGAGAGACTTTGATGGGGCCTCTGTTTTCGACTTGTGAGGCTTCCGCCAGTATTCGGCTGCTTTTGCTAGCTCGTTCTTTGACGCGCCGGGCCGGCCTTGTTGTGCGTACAGGGAGACGAGTGCGGCAATCAGCCCTGGTGCGAACCGTACGTCGAGATCGGACGCTGAGGCACTCTGTTCCAAACGCTTGAAAAAGGATTCTAGGAGATGTGTTGCCGCAGCGTAGTTGTTGGTGATGACGTATAAGTGTGTTATAGTTAGTATTAGACCCACATCGGTCGGTCTCTTTTCCAGCAATGGTACTATTTCCCTCAGCGCAGCCTTCTCGGTGTCTGCGTTCCTGGCGTGGGCTGCTGCGTTGAGCACCGCCGCCATATTGATGGCAGGGGACAGGGACGGAGCAGGCGATGCAGAGATGACTTTCTCGGTGGACGATGCGACGCCAGCGACCTTTTGCGATAGCAGGGCCATGACATATTCGTCTTGTCGCAGGATGTTGGACTGGTAGGAGAAGTGCTGGTCGGTGACGGGGGGCTGCGGCGATGCGTGGAACAGACGATGTGAAAGGTACGGGTTCGAGTGCTGCTTCGAGGCGGCGATGGTGTTGACCTGGGCGATGTAGCGGGTTGAGAGCTCCTTGATGCTGCTGTTGTCAGTGTTGGTTCTGAGCCGGGCATGATCGTCTTACTCAGCGAAGGGGATCTTGGTGGCCAGCTCCTCTGCTTCATCCGTCTTGCCCAATTGCGTGAGCACATAGACCTGCTGCACGGTAATTGGCAGCAACTCGGCCTTCTTCTCTTCCTCGCTGAGGTCCGAGAGAGCATTGCACAGGTCCTTGGCGCGCTTCAGACACACTTGGGCCTGGCCAAATTCATTGCGAGAGATGCTGCCGCATGCTGCGTTGAAGGCAGTCTCGAAGACGTCGAGGTCCTCACGTGTGGGCTGCTTCTTCTGGGCAAGCTCGCCTTGGCCTGTCCACTCGAGCTGTGCATCGACGGCGCCCGCATTGATGCGGATATCGTACTCTTCGGTTTGCACGTTCTGGTCGGCGAGGTCCCGGTAGATCTTGGTGGCGTGCGCGAAGTTCTCCGAGCGGTATGCCTGGCGTGTCTATGTCAGCGATGTCTGCGGCCCCGCTGCCGTCGAGTACATACGGCCTGGGCAAGCATGTGCTTCATCCCCCGGCCGGCGTCTGGCCCTGCCGCTGCGGCTACCTGGGCAGCCCTGGCTGCATTGCCAGTCTTGTAGAGGGCGTATGCGTACTCGAACCGCGCCTTCTCCTGCAGCTCGTGTGCACCCTCAAACACTTGCAATGAATCCGCGTAGCGGTCCAGATGGAGCAGCGCTACTGCTTTGGTGTGCTGCGCATCCAAATCACCCTTGGACCTGCCCAGGGCTGCATTGGCGGCCGTGAGCACTTCGTCGTGGTCGGCGATGGTGGCTTGCGCAAGCAGCGACGAGAGGGATTTGGTTGATGCGGCCATGGTCGATTCGCGCTTTATCCTCGGTCCATCGGGCAGCGGCGCAGATGTTGAAGCGACAGCGATGGGCGCTGGTGTGCTCGCGGGGGGTCTGGTCTGCGGAGGCCTTAGTGAAGGTACGCGGGGATCTGAGGTGGCATGGTGCAAGCTCGCCTAGGACACGACCCTTGCAAGTTCCACTGCCTTGGTATTCTAAGGCTGTATGTACTCAATGGCCACACCAACCAACACCGCCTCGTCGCATGCTTGGAGCTATTTCGATGGCTCGGCTCCTTGCGCAAAAGTGTCAAGTCATCTCATTTGGTACATGCAATCTAAATAAACGCTTTCCATGTTTCCAGCGGTGAACATAGCCCAGTGTATGCGAAAACGCCATTGAAAAGACACGCCATCCGACAATGCTTTCAGAGACCACCCTGGATAAACAAACGCCATCGCTATGTGATCAATCAGTTTACATCCTCGAATTCATCCTCTTCGCTTTCATCGCCGCCGTTGGATGCGGCTGGGGTTGCTGCTGCTGGTGTGGCAGCGGCGGAAGGAGTTGGAGCGGCGGACGCTTCCAGCTTGACACGCTTCGCTTCCGGTAGAGCACTGGGCGTGCCCACATCGACATCTTCAAACTCGTCCTCATCGTCGTCGTCGTCGTCGTCGTCGTCGTCGTCCTCCTGCTCCTTCCTGCGGCGCTCGGCTTCGATCTGGGCGAAGACTGCATCAAGGTTCTGATTGGTGCCCATTGTATCCCCTGCCTCCGTCTTGATACTGGCATTTTCGATCCCGTCCGCCTCTTGCTTCACAGTGGTCGTATTCCCTGCCGCATCTTTGATGACAGTTGATTTTGTATGCCAAGTGGGAAGCTGGTTCTGCATGGATATTTTCTCTTGACGAGCCCGGTCTGCCGCTCGCTGCTTCTCGTTTTGCTCTGCGCTCGAGCCTATCTGCACATTGATCTTCTCTGGGCCTGTGTCAATGCCTTTGACGGCGGTTGGGCGTGAGGCCGTCGTCTCGATAACCTCGACCTGCGTACCAGGGTCGACATTCCTATCTCGAGGAAGCTCGATCCTTTCGCTGATAATGTCTGGCGGTTCCAACGCTGGAAGGTTGCCCATGTCCTGAATTTTTGACATCATCTCAATCAGCGGGCCAAACAGCTTATTGAACTTGGCTGGGGTGTCGTCGACGTCGTCCGCTTGAATATCTTGGTCGATCTCGTCTAATCGGAATCCGCATCTCGCGCAGATGAAGCCGCTGTCGTCTGGCCCAGGGTTCGTATCGGGGTGATCAAGCGCCTGCATGGTCGTGTATGTGGATTTGCATCTCAGGCATTTGAACTCGGGTTTCTCGGTAGTGGGTTTCGCGTCTCTCTTGATGCCCTCATCAATCTTGTGAATCTTGTACTTGACAGAGTCGACGGCGCGGCGCCAGTCAATGTAAAAGAACTCTCTGCTTGATGCCTTGTTTGCACCCTGGCGCAGGACATGCTGAGTGTAGGATGAACACAGCCCTGCCTCCCGAAGCTTACCCGCAACCTTGCTGACATGTTTCGAGTTCTTGCCTGCGTCGAGGATAATGGTCATGTCGGCCACGGGCAGCGCGCCGTGATAGCAGAGCGCGTCCATAATGACGATGTGCTCAGTCTCGTAGAACATACGGACGACTGTCCTGAGCAACTGCTTCACGGCTTGTACGGGATCCCCTCCGCTCTTCTCCACGGGGTCCTTCATTGCTGCGCCCATGATTGCGGTGGTGCAGGCACGGAATCGGGTTCAGCTCGGATGACGGCCGGAAAGATGCGCGGGGGACGGACGGCTTTATTCCCATGCGCCAGCCCAAGTTGCAGACGGGACACTCGGTTTGGAACGGTCTTATGTGGATCGGGAAGGGCGCATCGTTCTCTAGCTTGTGCGATGTGCGTGCGCCGGGGGGGCTGACGAGACAGTGGGTGGTTGAGTCGAAGGGAAGGTGAAATGTTGTAAGAGTCCAGGCAGGCACGCGCGATTGAACTACCTAGGTACGCATGCGGCAGTAAGCGGTGACGCAGGCGGTGAGGCGTGCGTGCCGAGTCCACCCAAATTTAGTGCCAATCACTTCGCTGAAACTTCCACACCAACTTACCTATGACCCGCAGCTTGCTCTACCGGACAAAGCTGCTCACTCGTCTTCAGCGGCCATGTCGGACAACGAAGGACCCCGCCGCGACCATGATTCGTCGAGCCGCGACCAACGCGACAAGAAGCGCAAATGGGCCGACAAAGACCGCAGAAATGCTTCGCGGGGAGGTGGTGGACGGCACCAGCATGGAAGCCGTCCGAATAAGAAAAGAAATATGGGGCGTAAGGAACATCAGTGAGCCGTTGCCCATCTGCTCCGCGCCCGTCTCTAACTAAGCAAGCTCTACCCAACTAGACCGACGGGACCGCAATGCCGAACAACAAGCCAAGTATAAGGAGCAAGAGGAAAAGGGCGAGGACCGGCCCGCCCTGCCTGCGGCGTTCCCTGCAGAGGAAGTCGAGGCAGAAGAGCGCAGGCCGAAGCGCAAAGTTGCAGTTATGATCGGCTACTCAGGTACTGGCTACAAGGGCATGCAGATCGACTACAAGCAAAAGACCATTGAAGGAGACCTCTTCAACGCTTTTGTCGCCGCTGGCGCCATATCCAAGGCAAACGCATCCGACCCCAAGAAATCCTCCCTCGTTCGTTGCGCGCGTACCGACAAGGGTGTCCATGCAGCAGGCAACATTGTGTCGTTGAAGTTGATCATCGAAGAGGAAGATATCGTGGACAAGATCAACAGCCATCTCCCTGAGCAGATCAGGGTGTGGGGCATCCAGCGAACCATTGGCTCCTTCAGCTGTTACCAGGCGTGCGACTCACGGTGGTACGAATACTTGATCCCGACCCACTCGTTCCTCCCGCCGCATCCTTCGAGCTACCTAGGGAAAAAATTGGAGGAGTTTGCGGAGGCGGAGAACGATGTGGAGGGATACCGTGAGCGACAGGTTGAGGTAGCCGACTTCTGGCCCGAGACGGAAGAGAAGCACATCAAGCCCATTCTGGACTCGCTAGACGATTCGATACGATCCCTCGTACAAGAAGCGCTTTACAACGTTGAAGCGATCGATGCACCGCCTGGACAAGATCGTATAGTCGATGCATCGATTGATCATCAGACCAAGCAAGAGAAGCCTACGGACGTCGAAGCGGCGGAGCAAACTGCAAAGCCAGACGAAGGTGGGCTCGACACAAGCGAAAACCCACCAGACGAGGTCAAGCAAGTCATCGACACGATACAACAAAATGAACCCAGCATCACTCTCGACAGCTCCACTGACGGTTCTCGTCCCCTTCCTGAAGGCGTAGTCAACCAACCGGTCCTCGAGGAAGCCATCAAAACTCTGAAGAAGGCATACCTGGACGTCAAGAAAGCATATCGCATATCTCCCGAGCGACAAGCGCGTGTACAAGCCGCACTTGACAAGTACCTTGGAACCCACCGCTACCACAACTACACCGTGCACAAGAAGTACAATGACAAGTCCGCCCAGCGCTACATCAAGAGCTTCAAAGTCGCACCCAAGCCCATCATTATCAACGATACAGAATGGTTGAGCTTAAAGGTACACGGCCAGAGCTTCATGATGCACCAGATCCGCAAAATGGTTGGCATGGCCGCCCTGACAGTACGATGCGGTACCGATCCTGAAATCATGGACAAGAGTTTCGGTAACGAAGTTGTCCGGATACCCAAGGCCCCCGGCCTGGGCTTATTACTCGAGAGGCCGGTGTTCGACTCGTACAACGCAAAGTCTGCTAAGCAACACGGACGCGAGACGATTGACTTTGACAAGTACAACGACAAGATTGAAGACTTCAAGGAGAAGGAGATTTACCAGCGCATCTTCCGCGAAGAGGCAGAAGGCAACCAGTGAGTTCCTTTCTGGATTTCACGACACCGGACATGAACGCTAACAAGCTCTAGATTCAACACCTTCTTCACACACCTGGATAATTACAAGGACCCACAGTTCCTTTACCTGACCTCTGGTGGTATCGAAGCCACCAAGAGGAAGCGCGAAGACAAATCCACGCAACAAAAATACGAGGAGGATTCGGAGGATGAGAACGCGAGTGGTGGGGAGGGTTGAGCTACAGCGTGATTGCTAGAAGGCTATTAAGCTCCATGGCCATGGGCAAGGTTGGGAGTCGCTTTCGACCCCCTTCTTATGCATAACATGCGCGTCATGAAGAATTTCCCCAATGACATTGTGAGAAGAACACAAGATTTCACACATGCAGAGATTGCATACCCGTGGTACAAGTCTGTGAAGATTACTGTATCATATCCGTGCAATTCAGTCTGAACTCGATTGGCGGGACAACGCGAGCGAAGCATGACGCCGAAACGCCTCGCTTGATCATCACACATCCTTCGATTAGAAGGCCTCATAAACCCTTGCCGTCGAGATATTCCTGCACCCTCTCCAAAAGCTCAGCCTTCTTACCCCCAGTACTCTGACCCCTTGCGCCAAGCCACTGCTTCAGTACGGCTACCGTTTGCTTGCTAATCTTTCCACCATTATTCAGGTCGGCCATTTGCTGGTCAGTCATTGCTTCTTCCTCGTCTCCACTTTCGACTTTGACTTTTGACTCTTTTTTTACCCTTTTGGGCACTGGCTTGTCGTCACTGTCTGCGCCGCCGCCAGGGCGTTTCTTGGCCGTGGGTTTAGCGCGGTGGGCAAGTGCAGACTTATGTTGCTGCTCGTATGCTGCTTGAAATTCTCTGCCGTAGTCTTCAATGTACTCGCCACAGCGCTTGTCGATTTGTTTGTAGCGAGGAATCGTTTTGTCATCAGGCTGGAGTGGGAGTTCTTCTTCCAGGGCTAGCGCTTGTAAGATGCGGTAGAACCATTGCAGGTCTGGATTGGGATACTTGGATGGGTCGTAGACACCTTTGGGTAGTTGCAATTGCTCAATGATGAGGCGCATCTTGTCTGTCAGCGCATCCGTGGTTTTGAGGGGCTGCTCTGGTGGCGTTGGGAATTGGCGGATGTCGTCCGCGAAAGGCAGGGGTACGAGCCAAAGGCCCGGTGGTGTCAACTGGTCGCCTTCCTCATTGAGCCTCTCTTCACCGGGTATAAGAGCGGCAAGTGTAGGTGCAGCGTTGCGACGTGGAATGAACCATACCAAGCCCATCTTTTGGGACTTGAGTAGCTTTTGCTGTAAAGCCGAGAAGACACGAGTGGAGCCAATGTAGTCTGCGTCGGAAGGGTAGATGAATGTTGATTTGTTCGTGTTGACCCATAATGGGACGCTGGAGAGAGGCTTGAAGCCAATGATTCGGATCACAGGCTCCCCAAAACATTGTTTTATCTGTGTGATCTCTTCGGGCGTAAAGGTGATTGCATCGCCGCCAAACTTGTACGCCTTGCGCATCTCCGTCTTCTCCATGGCCCGCGCCGAATCGCCTGCCAGTTGTTGTGTTGACGAAGTCGCTATCTGTGGCTTTTCACCTCCAACCCAAACGTAGCACGACTTGACATGTTCCTGGCGCTTGATGAGAATATATCCTTTCACCCCGATGCGAAGATCAGGACCGAGCTCCATGGGCAGCGAGAACAGAGCGCGACGGGGTGTGGCTTTGGAATTGATGGAGGATATGAGCTGCTTGAGGAGCGAAATGCCTTCGCCGCTCTTCGCAACTTTGGTGGTCGACGGTAAAGTAACGGGGGCTTCGGGATCGGATGGTGATGTGGGATATACAAGATCATCGAAGAAGCGCGATCGGTCAAAGGTATGATCTGGCTGTGAGATGGGAAACAGATCAATGGTGCAGCCGAGGTCATACAAATCACGTGCTCGGGTGACTGCCGTGTCCTTGTCTGCCTTGACTTTGATCGGATAGTCGTTGTCCGTCACCACGAACAGGCGTCTTGACGAGAAGTTGGGCGCCTTTGTAGTGAAGATCTGGTTTGCACAGAACAGTACCGTTGCTATGCTGGCACCGTCCCTGGCAGGCTTCAATATCTCTTCGGCCTCGTCTTCGTTCTCGACCATATCTCTGAGCCTCTTGACGTCCTGAGCGGACGGGACGTCAAGGTCTGCAAGGAGGTAGCAGTTTTGAAACGTGTTGTCACCGTCCTTCAAGTCCGTCTTCTCGGTACCGAAAAGCAGTATGCCCATCATGTCGTTTGGGTTCGAGATGATGCGCTGCTGCATCAGCTGGTAGGCGCATTTCAATGCAGCAGACGTGGGGGAGTCGCGCTCGGCTTTCTTGTCTTCCGACTTGGGCGGTGGCTCAAGCATGGTAGGACTGACGTCGATTGCGAAGAGAACGGCGTCTTTGATAGTCTTGTAGCTCTACATGCTGTCAGTGACGCTTGCCAATGCCAAAGCTGGAACGGGAGCGTACAGAGTCGTCAATCTCCTCCTCTTCGTCTTCTTCTTCACGTGGTCGATTGTCCTGTGGAGCCGCCATGATGCCCGTCGCGTTCAGCTCGAGTGAGGTTTACTTGCAATATTGTCGAATTACAGCTCAGCTGGGCGATGGCACCGGTGGCATTGAAGGCCGTCAAGCACAGGCCGGTGCAACGCGGGACAGTAGCCTAGGCAGCAGAGCGGAACGCGCGCACTAGCTCCAACACGTCGGCACGTGTCTGCGAGGCTGCTGTGGGGCAAACCCTAGCGTCCGATCGCCAGCCACGATCGTCATCAACGGCCAACAAGACTGCTGCCATTGGCCAGAGCTTTCTCCGACTTGCTCTTCCGAGCATTATTCACGCTGTTGTTCTGGCCTCGGCATCTTCTCTTCGACACATCACTGCGGGAAGACGCCCTCTTTCTCGTCACACACCTCGCAATGGCTCTCCGCGTATCCTGTTCCCGCGCTGCAAAGCGTGCGACGTCCACCACACCCGCCACATCCATCATCTCGTCGTACAGTGCACAATGGAGGAGAGGCAACGCGACAGTCGCCCCTACGCAGATGACGCCCGGATCAAAGGGGCCGACTGCCATGGTCTTCATGAACATGGGCGGACCGTCAACAACGGATGAAGTGCATGGCTTCCTGAGCATGTTGTTTGTACGTAATCGGTCCCAGCGCATCATCGATTCTCAGCTTACGGAGTGTAGGCCGACAAGGACTTGATTCCCCTCGGACCCCTCCAAAACTATATTGGCCCCTACATTGCGCGGAGACGAACACCAAAAATTCAGAAGCAGTATGCAGAGATCGGTGGCGGATCGCCCATCAGGAAATGGTCGGAATATCAAGCCGCGGAGATGTGCAAGATCCTCGACAAGACCTCACCTGAGACTGCTCCCCACAAGCCCTACGTCGCGTTCCGCTACGCAAATCCCCTCACCGAAGATACCTACAAGCAATTGCTAGCAGACGGCTTTGGAGGAGGAAAGGGCGGCCGTGCCGTAGCCTTCACACAGTACCCCCAATACTCCTGCTCGACCACCGGCTCCTCTCTCAACGAGCTCTGGAAATGGAGGACAAGACTGGAAGGCAAGCGTGCAAACGGAGAGACTGGTCAAGAGGTGGAGCCCGAAGGCGCCATCAAGTGGAGTGTGATTGACCGCTGGCCGGCGCACCCAGGTCTGGTTGAAGCCTTTGCCCAACACATCGAGAAGAAGCTGGCCGAGTACCCAGTCGAGAGACGAGACGGCGTTGTCATTCTCTTCTCCGCACACAGTCTCCCCATGACCGTTGTCAACCGCGGCGACCCATACCCGTCTGAAGTGGCAGCGACCGTATACGCCGTTATGCAACGCCTCCAGATGAAGTACAGATATCGTCTCGTGTGGCAGTCACAGGTCGGCCCTCAACCTTGGCTCGGAGCACAAACCTCCGACACTGTCAAGGAGTACATGAAGAAGGGCCACACAGACATGCTCCTCGTACCCATTGCCTTCACCAGCGACCATATCGAGACACTATACGAACTCGACAAGGAAGTCATTGGCGAGGATGCAGAAGGCCACGAGGGTGTCAAACGTGTCGACAGCTTGAACGACAGTCCCGTCTTCATCGAAGCGCTCGCGAACATCGCCAAGGCACATTTGCAGAGCGGGCAGGCTTGCAGCCCACAGATGATTCTCAGGTGTCCAAAGTGCACAAGCGAGAGGTGCTTGGCACAAAAGGAGTTCTTCGCTGGTCAGACACAACACATTGACCCTCCCACAGCATAGACCGTGTCTTGGTTGTTGGAGTTTGATATGTATAGATATATAGCCAACGAAGATGTACTATTACTCCCGCTATGCCAGATATTATGCAAACTGCATCTTCAGCACGTGAAGTATTGTTCTCGTCACCACTGCATTCTCTGCGGGGATCCGGCGCACGGAGGCGCTAGTAGCATCTTTGGACAAAAGCGAATGATCTATCCTTTTTCAAAACTCACATCTCGAAGTCAACGTCACTCTACGTGCACCCCACAGAGCAAAACTGAGTGGGATTCTAAGAAATGTCATTCAATGCAAGACCGCGCTCCCTAGCTGTTACACGCATGTAGAAGCCTCTAAATCCTAGAATTACAGATCCCTCTCATCACCTAACCGTGTCTCCAATCATGACCCCGTGAAAAGCCGAAGAGCTTTATGCTGTCCTGGCAACAGGCTTCTTCTCACCACCCATGTCGTGTTCAGTGTAGTAGAAGTTCTCTTCTGGGATGCGTCCCCTCAGGAACTCAGGCTCGGAACCACGGACGTAGATGTCCTCGTACAGTACCTTGCCAGTAGCCTCGGGGACAGCCATCTTCTCCGCAATGGCAACCTCCTCGTCGACCTCAGAACGTGCTTGCTTGTCAATCGACTTGAGCTCCTCCTCAGAAGTGACGCCCCAGTCGAGGAGCTTCTGCTTGAGGCCGGCAATGGGGTCATTGGTACTGCGCATGCGCTGGATCTCCTCACGAGTCTTTGGTTGTTCGTCAGTACATGCTTTGTGATGTTGTAAAGCGGTGTGACTTACTCGGTATGTGGTTCCAGGGTCAGACATGGAGTGTCCTCCGTAACGGTAGGTGACGTATTCGTAGACAAGGGGACCCTTGCCTGCGGCGGCATACTCCTTTCCGTACTTGACAGCGGCCTTGACGGCGAGGACATCCATACCGTTGATCTTCAGACCAGGGATGTACTGTCCACGCTTGTAGTAGTCGGTGAGGGCAGATGAGCGGTTAGCGGCGGTTCCCATACCGTACTTGTTGTCTGCGGGGTGTTAGTAAATCCGGCGCATGTCCACGTGGTGTTTGTACGCACTCTCGCAGCCAAAGATGATGGGCAAGTTCCAGAGCTTGGCCATGTTGAATGCCTCAAAGACCTGGCCCTGGTTGGAAGCACCGTCTCCGTACAGAGCCAGGGTGACGTTCTTCTTGTTCTCGTACTGGCAGGCAAAGGCAATACCAGCGCCGACGGGGACCTGGGCACCGACGATACCGTTACCACCGTAGAAGCCGGGGGCAAACATGTGCATAGAGCCACCCTTTCCGTACGCGATGCCCTCCCTCCTGCCGAGGAGTTCGCCGATGATGGACTTGACAGATGCGCCGCGCATCAGAGCGAAGCCGTGGCAGCGGTAGGCGGTGATGAGATGGTCGGCGCGCTCGATGGCGTGTTCGATACCGACGGCGACGGCTTCTTGGCCGGTGGACAGATGGCAGAAACCCCGAATCTTCTTCTCCTTGTAGAGCCTGTCGGCGGCCATTTCCATGCGTCTGTTGCCTGTTAGACGCTGATCGTGTTCGCATCCCGGCATGACGGGTGTTCCTACCGTACGGCGACCATGTCGTAGTACATCTTTTTGAGCTCCTTCTTGGTGACGTTCATTGTGTACGGCGGCGGGTCGAGCTCGTACGTCTCAAAGGCCTCGTCGGAGAGGCGGATCTCGAACGGCTTGTCGTCCTCCTGCACACAGTCAACGGTCCATTGCTTGCTCCACAGCCACACGGCTGGCTGCCTGCGTGTCCTCTTACCGATGGCACATTGGCCGGGTCCGTGTGCGATGAGGCCGCATCCGTCGTCACGAACCTGAAGGCGGGTCGCGCCGCTGGGGCCACGGCATTGCGGCGGAAGGGCGACGCAATGCTCCGCCTGATTGTCCTGGACAGCATTGTGAGGTGTGGGGGAAGCAGCCGAGGGGGAGGCGTGGGTATGCCGTGAGGTTCAGAGGGTGTTGATTCGAAAAGTTGCTCAGCTCCCGCCAGCTCGGGGATCCGCTTTGGCGCTAAGCCGTTACCGTCCGCCAACGCCAATCTCAGCACATCCCGATTCTCTCCGACTCAACACCTCCCAACGCATCGCAACTTCCATCACCTGCACCTTTCCATCGTTACTGCGCTATCAAATACCATGCGTATGCATAAGCTGCATACAACCGGCCGCAAATGCAGGACGTGATGTCACCCTCTCAAAAGCACGGAAATAAGACTGTCTCGGCATCCCTGCCTATGAGATCTCGCAATCACTCCAACCTGAGCATATAACTAAGCCATGTAGCTAACCTTATACAGGACAATTGGTCGCTAGGCGCCGAAACACACAAGTCCGCAAGAGCGCGTAACAACCCTCGAACCTTGCCAGTTCCTGGCGCTTGATGATACCCAGGTAGCGCGCGATTGACTCGAGACATGTACAGAACCAATGAGGGACTTCGATTTCGATTGTGATGTCCTGTTCTTAGACTTCGGCTGATCCGTCGCTCATAACAGCATGAGTACGATGCAGCCCACCCTGACAAGGGGCGCATACGCGCTATCGCAAAGGAATAAATAAACCTAGTTGACGTTGATGTAGTCTCAAACATTCAGGAAGTTCAATCATCGGCATTAACTACATCATTGAAGAATAGCTATGTCAGCGTGCACACAAAAGCCATGATAGCCCCAAGCCTACGAGAAGCATCATCTACTTCCTACCTTACTTCTTTCAAACACGAGCCACTTAACTACAGGAGGGGCGCAATCAGGCTACTCCAAATCCTCCCGCACCTTTCGATCGATGGACACATACAATGTGAGATCTGGCATGACAGTGTCAAAGCGAGCTACACCTGCCTCTCCTACGTCTGGGGACCAGACAAGATACAGCGGCAGATTCTAATCAATGGCAAAATTGTTTCGGTACGAGAGAATCTTTACAACTTCATGCGCGTTGCGCAGTCGAAATACGCAAACCTGGCACGAACCTTTTGGATCGACGCTCTGTGTATCGACCAAGATTCAATTCACGAAAAAAACCACCAAGTCGCCCAGATGGGCTCCATTTACGCGAACTCCGTCGAAGTAATCTCCTGGCTCGGATTCAATCAGAGTATCGGTCGCGCGTTTGCGTTTGCCTTGGAGTTGAGCAAGGAATCTCGACACGAGATACGAGACTCTCGTGCCAAACAAAGCGCCAAATGGTTCGAACGCAACAAGCAGACCAATGGCCAGCTCAAGAAAGACTGGCTGGCGGTTGTAGAAGACCAATATTGGACTCGCTCATGGATTACGCAAGAGATATTGCTCGCGCAGAATCTTAATTTACTCGTCAACGATCTTGAAGTCACGCCCATGCAGATTGCTGGGTGTGCCCTCGGGCGGCTTAACTACATCAACAACTTGGAGGGAGATGCCAGCATTGATAACAAGAACTTGAGCCCCAAAACTCGCGTCTTCAAGCACTACATGTACTCCATATGTATTCAAACCCCAAGACCCTACGAAAGAAAACTCGTCAACTACTTCAATCGCCTACCAGGTCGGCAAAGTTACCATTTCCACGACAGAGTCTATTCACTTCTCCCGCTTGCCACAGATGCATCGAGCATCAAGGTCGACTATGGTATTTCGCGGTCAGAACTTTTGCATCAGGTTATAAGCCTCTACAAAACAAAGATGTGCATATGTACATGGTTCTACATGGCAGATATGCTGGACTGTTACCATATCCCCGACTCAAAAAGCCGTGACGATGGATCAGGCGCAACCCCAGTATTCAGATTGCCTATGAAACCAGTCCACGCAGACTTTGTTATGGGTGAGAATGCGAAGGATTGGTATAGTGCGTGTTCAGAGTGCACAAGAAAACTTTCTTCTTTCGATGCGAAACAGCAAACAACATTTTGTATCGAGCCTCTGTGCCACAATGTCCAACGCGGTCGCTGGTATGCTCATAACATCCAAGGCGGTCACTTATACGTTTACAAAACCAAAGTCGGAAATTACGAGATCAAAAGAGAGGGTGATACCACTGCCTACGAAGTAGTAAACTTCCAACCCGGGACCCCCAATTCCCCCAGCACTGATATCGAACTTGGATGGGGAAGTTCGCCAGAGTTGTACGATGTCTTTCTCACTGGTGATGTCTTAATGAAGCTGTTCATGTACCCCGAGCAGAAGCTCAGAAAGGCAGTGCCGTTGAGTGTTTGCATCAGGGCACAGGGCGATGCGGCCAATATGGAGCTTTGTTAGGTAAATTTGTGGATATGACGCACATGTCACTGGGTGAGCGCCACCATGCATCGTAAGGGACGTATAGAATGTATTGCGAGTTTCGTGTGTCTTGCTTGTAAACGACGGTGCCAAAGTGACTGCACATGCTGTTTTCCTGTGCTTTTGTCGTTGTACCGAGCCACAGCACACCATGTGGTGAGCATGGAAAAAAATAGTAAACTATTTTGTGACTCATATTGCTTTTACCAATCCAGCCGAAGCGATCTGACCCGGTACTCCACGACCCGACTGTTGGCTTTGTCACAATTTTCTTGTGCTCAGTTGGGATTCCTCTGCTCTCATGCCCTTGGGCGTTTGGAAGCAGCAGGGAGGCGACAAACAGAAGGTACATTGCTGATGCTGAAATCACATTAGTCACAACAACGACGTTGTGACGTGTGGAGATTCACGAGATCACTCCAGATTACCAAAGGAGTTGTACCGTATGTTGCGTATAGAAAACGTAATAGAAAGGTTGTTCTGAGGCGCTTGGCACTATTGAGACCTGACAGAGAATGTATGAGAATCCTGAGTGTACGTGATCCAACGTTGTTGCTGCAATGGAGTTAGGAAGATAGTACAAGATAGTGAGCATAAGATACTTGCCTTTGCAATGGAATAGCCAAGCCTCAAGACTCTCTCCATTCGGTTCTTGACCGTGCTTGCTAACTCCAGATATCGCTCCTCCTCATCATGCTCCCTTTCGAACCAGGTCTTGGGAAAGTAGCCGTCCGCCCAGATCAAGCCTCGCACGAGGTAATCTTCTGGCAGAGGCAGCTCGTCGCCTCTCTCGCCGTCTGCAGGAAACACATTCGAAGCTAACAAAGCATCAATGCTTGGTGTTTGCGCTTGCGACTGACTTTTCATTTGGTTCTCAGTCTTGACTAACGCATTCAGGAAAGCAACCAGTTCAGCCCAAGGAGCGTCTGCAATGAGATCAGAAACGTATTGACTGAAAGCAAAGATAGAAAGGAAAGCGAGCATGACGTGTACGTGAGGAAGCACGTTCTTGTCGCCAATGCGGCGGAGAACAAGGGCAAAGGTCTCGTTCGTGATGATCTTGGCGTTGCTGAACGATTCACGCTTTGCCCAGCCCTCTTTGAGAGCTTTCGCGATCGCGTTTCCGTCCATCGATGGCTTCATGGGATTCTGTTGGTCAGCCGGGGAGGCACTGCGGATCTTATCTTCGATCGCACTTTGAGGAGACTCCTGCGCTTTTTGGTAAATCGGATTGAGGAAAGCTTGGCGAAGAAGGTTGGCGCTTATCCCATATTCAAACCAGCCGGCAATATTGGTAACCGCGATGTATACACCCTGCTCCTTCCATTTTGCTGTCACACGACCAATGTGGTTGTCCAGGTTTCCGATGAATTCCGCCTTCGCGTCCATGAACTCGGTTGTATGCTGATGCTTCTGCCCCTGAGCCGTGTCCACACAAGACTCCTCGAATTGCAGCCCGTGTGCTTTGATGAAGTTGGTGTCGATCGCTAAGGCATGTGTGAGAGCTGCGCCTGCACGACCAAGAATAGGATCCAGTAGAGTCAAGATTGACTCTCGCGCGCTCTGGAATGGTTTGACGCAGGTCAGAGACCTAGAGTAGTAGTACATTTGCTGGAGAGCATTTGGTCGTGCCAAGATAGCGAGGTGGTGATATAGACGACCCACAGTAGGATTCTTATCGGCAGCCTTGGTGTACCAAGAGCGCGCGACGCCTGCCCAAGTCTCACGGTCCCGGACATCTTCGTCCTCAATCGCCATCCGATATCGGCCAAGGTCTCCGAGGCACTCGATCCATGTATCCTCGAAAGCTGGAACGGTTTCGTACAACAAAGCCATCATCTGATACGCCAAATAGATGAATGCCAGCATATAATCTATACTGTCAGGAAGACGCCGCCGAAGTAACTCCAAGAAGGAATGGATACCATGTTTCCACATGCGTGCAGGCATCGAGTATTTGGCGGCAAGACGTCGGAGAGCCGGCGATGCAGAGGGATGCTGACTAGCTAAGAAAAAGTCATGATGCTCATGTAATAGCGTCCGGTGAAGAGCGATCAAAGCTTGCCAATGATCCGACGCAAGTTTGGTATCACCATCTTGCGCAGCTGCGGCTTGTGCGCGATCCACATGTATACACTTGGTCTCCACCATGGTTAATCCTGCGTAAATAGATTTCACTTCCGACGCAAGTTGCTCTTGCGAGATGGGTCGACTATCAGGCTGCAATAGTAAACCAGGGTATCGGGGATCATAGCGTTGAAGTTCTATAAGACCTGGTTGGCGTTGAGATTGTTGGGGCTTAGGAGTAGTTCGTTGCTGTGTATGAGCAGGGGACTGAGTTTGCGGTGATTGTAAGTGACTGCTCTTCGTAGCTTCGGCTGACCACTCGCTGGAGGGCTCAGGTGTCGTCTGGTATGGAGACGAGGTAGACTTGGCGTTTTGTTTAGGATCAAAAAGGCGTGCATCCTGTGGTCTCGACCGTGTCCTTTCCGAAACAACAGTTTGTGGAATTTGCCTAGAGAACTCGGGACCAGCCACTTCCACGTGAGACGGACCCTTCCCTCTGGGGCTGGTGAACTCATGTTCTGCCGGTCGTTTCCTTCCAGAGGGCGGTGAGTTCTGCCTAGAAGCCTTTCCCGAATCTATAGTAAGAGCCGCGATATCAGGCGCTGACCGGTCTCCAACAGTTGCGGCTGCCGAGTGATCAGATCTGCTAACCATATTAAACGCTGATCTAGCAAATGCCTGTACAGCAGCTTGGCCTGTACTCACTTGAATTTCAGGCTTAGCTGTCGAAACTTCTCTCTTGCCTGTCGCGGAGACAAGCCTTCAAACTCGTCGCGATGGTCTATCTTGCCGTGGTCATACAGCTGGTCGGCACTCGGAAAGACGCGTCCCTCATGACCGGGGTAAGGGCACGCGTGGGCCCTGATGATTGGACTCTGAGTTTTCAGCGCCTGCGCGAATTTGGTCTGGACGAGTTCACCGGTGTCCATAATGCGGCTGAATGTCTCAGGTGTAGGATTCGCGTTCGTATTCCGATCTCCGTATTTGGCGTGGGGAGCGATGTGATCTGATTGGATGAAGTTTTGGAGCGCACATACCCACTCGTGCGCGCACACCCAGCCTCAGCGTGGACTGTATCCTGATGACCTGGACTACGCAGTCTCCAATAAGATCCGGCAAGCTTGTACACTGTCGCATACGCGTCCGATGCTCTGCGCTCAAGTTCAAGGGGTCGGACTGCGTACGTTGACGAGGTAGTGCGAGGCCTCCGGTTTGGCTAGATGCGACGTCCGGGACGACAGGGACAGCAACCTCGCGTACAACAGAACGCAGAAATAGAAGAAAGGAGCTGTTTGACGTAAGATCTCCAACTCGAAGACTGAGATTGAATCTTGGGAGTGTCCCCCAGGGTGGGCATTAACACAATATAAGATGCGGCTCTGCTGTGGTTCGCCTACTAGGCAACAAGGCAAAAGAAGGCAAACGTCCCTGGGCACCGGACATGATTTCCTGCACGCCACCGTTATACCTGCCTCAAAGGGCGTCGTCGACTTTGGTATCAACACGTCGCCTACTTGTAAGAAACCTCCTGCTCGGTTTGGTGGGCGGTCGTTGCCTACTTATGCTCGTTCCGTCTGCGGCTCTGCTGCTTGCTTTCGCCATCACCATGATGGGGGCCACATGAGCCCCACATTCTCGTCTGCTCCATCGAGGTTAGCGTTCCACATTATGAAAGCAACCCGGAACGGCATGCCCATGCATACACCGTCCATCCAATGAATACCTAGACACTGTCGCTTATCATCAAAAGTTCATCCATCGAATGCCGTAGGTGCCAGCGCTCCTCACATACGGCAAGGCAAGTCTTGCAACGTAGACCATAGTGTTTTCCAACTCTGCCTCACACCGGTTAACTACATGTTCCGGCGTATCTACGTGCATGTACCGTGTAGTCCTCCATCTCGTGGAAGGCAATACCTGCGAGGCTCGCAGAGACCATACATGCGGCTGAAGCCCATGCGTTGGTCGGGTGGCTTTATTCCTCTGTGCGAATACAGCTTGCTTATTTCAGCTCATCGTCGAGAGTTCCCCTAGCCACAACACAGCCGCGAAGTCAATACTGACGCGTCTGCGACATCCTCACGCTTCAAATCTGAAGCCAACTATCCCCGCAAAAGACCTTGCGACAGTCATCGTAAGCCGAAGCCAGATAACGTACACGAAGACTGATTTGCTCAGATTTTACGAAGCGGGATGGAATTTTCGAGGCCTACGTCCTTGGTCCCACCAGAATGCAGGGTGTTGCCTTGTACATAGCAGATCTGCCGACGAACAGGGAGTGTCATCTGTTTGCCTGCGCAAGGTGTCACATGTACGCCGTGTATGTTGTATCAGTACTAATTTCCGACAGTCCGCTTGGACGACGACTCGATCATCGTGGGCGCTACAAACGCTTGCACGGGACGATACTGCTTCCACAACCGATGCGTGGCCATTATGTGCCGGGTCCCCGATTACCTACGTGGTATTAGCTTGGATACCAATGAACGGTGGCCACGCTTTCGGTATTGGCCCGAAGGCACACAGCGCTCATTGCGCCCTCTCACGAAACACGAGGCACGAGGCATTGCCGGCAAGCGCTTAGAGAAGGCTGCTAACACGCGTCCTAATCTTCATATTCCCAAAGACCGGTGCGCCTCAATGCATGCCCTTTTGGTCGAAAGATACAATGCCATTACGTCCTTTTCGTCACCTGTATTCACCAGGGCCCAAACAAATCAAGACATGCGATTGGTCAAGTAACCAATCCCATTATCACCAACAACAATATCTTTGCCTTGGGTCTTCGCCAGCTGGTGCGGCAGAACAACAAGTCCTTCCTGGTCCGGTCAGGCATCGCTCAGGGAATAATCCAATTGTAGGTAGACGCGAATTTCACAGCGACCATTATTGAAGTCGTTTCGTAATACCAAGAAGCACTGCGCACACGACTCTCAACCAATCAAGCGCACTATCATTGTGCTATGAGCTGTTGATCTAGGTGTATGCAATCGGGCAAACCGTGATAGCGACCTGAAACACTCATATCCTCTCCCCATACGCATGTTGGCTGACCGTACCTAGGTCAAATAGAGCACGAACCAGCATGGTCATCATCTCGCAACGGGAAACCAATTACGGTCAGGGAGTTTTGATCACAAGCCATCATCACCAAGTCAGCTCCGGCATTGCCGCTGGCTGTCGTAAACTAAGCGGTATGTGCTACACCAGATCAGGCGTAGTTGCTCCTGCGCTGTCGTCTGAACATGGCCGTTACAGAAAGCATGGCGTTTTCTCTGGACTAAATCATGTCGTGTATCGACACGCGAAGCGTCTTGAAGGGACTACTCAGCATAGCGTGCTATACACTAAAGATCTGCTGATTGTGGGGTGCAAGACTACCCTCGAATGAGGACTGAATAGGCATCTCGATGGCCGCTCAATCTGCGCATAGTCAGCATGCGAAAGAAAAGCCCATATGTGCAACCAGTTGAAAATCATGGTGTTGCACACAGTCTGTTGCCTGACAAGCACAATGCCTTCTGGGCTTCGTTTCAATAAGTGTATACGCGCATTCATTATAGCTTTCAAAGGGAGTGGTACGGTTTGATGAGGGGAAATTGCACGAGCAGGCCGATCACAGGGATGTTTCATCGTTTCTGGTGTTCAATTATGCGCCCTGATCACCCCGGATTACTGGAACCTTTTCTCGTGCACGCAACACCGAGTCTAGCAACTACATATGATTAAATTTGACGCGTTTCTACGCTACGTGTGCCATCTCTGTACGTACTAATCGATGATGAACTAGGTGAACAGCTATGCAGCTGGAATCCACAGGAGAAGTCCCAGCCACGGCCGTTTCAACATAGCAGAGGCGTGTTATGTGATAGTGATGGAGCGGCTACATTGCTCCCAGCGTAGGGCAACAGTCATACAGAGCCCAGAGAACTGGGCCATCCTGGGACATGGTACGCAAGGCGGGGTAATCTGCCTACGGCAGTCCCGCGGCCCAACAACCCTCATACCCATACCGCTTATATCTGTGTTTACCGGAGCCTACCAAGTAGCAACCCATATCATGACATAATTTGTGAGCCATTGAGGCCTCTTGTTCATTGAAAGACTATTTTTCAGCCGTCGACTGCGATGCATGAGATGACGAAATGGGCAGTCCAAGTGTATCAAGAGTCTATCAAAGGCCAATGAGCAGTTCTAGAAGGGCAACTGGAACAAGGCTGACCCAGAAATGAGTCGAAGACGCGAAGAGGGCTGAATCAGGGCCACGTTCTCACACCTGTGTATTCCTCAAGCAATAGCCCTTGCGACGCCGTTTCTCATAGAGTAACCCGGGAACATCAATCCACTTAAATTTGCCAATCCCATTTGAGTGTCCAAGAATACTGTGAAGACATGTCAAAGACAGTATACGGGGTTAGAAGCCGATGCCTACTAATTACGAGTGCGGATCGATTACCTAGGTACCTCAAAGACTACAGCCCCACCCCGCGATGGAGCCTTGTTCTCACAAGGTCCAGAGGTCGCATATGTCGTTGTTTCTGTTGCTCGCTGGAAGGCTCCCAATCAGTTCGCAATACTTACGGACTATATTATGTGCCTGCGGGCCGATACACCTTGCATTCTGTGCCCTGCATGTCAGCCCTCAAGCCCAGTGAAGGACAGAGTGTAGATGCCCTACCATAACCTGCTCCTACCGGCTTGTAGCGCACTACATTGGTCGGCTGCACCCGATGCTAGTCCGCGATGTGCAGTATGCCGTACCCTACCTTGATTCAAGAAGCAGGTAATCGAAAGATGGTACAGTCACAAAGTAAGCTTGGTTTGATCACACGCAACCTCGCACGACCTCAGGCGCGGACTTCTTGATGGATAGAATAGCGTATCGCTGATCAATGAACCCGAGGCGCGAGGGAGTGGGCCGCTTGGAATCGACTTTGGGGCAACATCGTGTATAAAGATGTTGATAAGACGTCGCAGTTCCTCTGGTCTATATTAGCTCTCCGGATACAGTCTGATGACGGACCCCACGGTAGTGCACACCTAGGCAGCCCCAACCTGCAATATCACCTGGATCTCCAACCTCTGAAGGTTGCTTCTGACTGATTTACCAGGAAATACCCATGGACTAAATTAAAACGAGAAGGCGACGTCGTCGCGATTGCGAAACCAGCGGTTTTCGACACAAGTTGTAAGCACTAGCGTTGGGGGCTAGAACGAGTGGTGTATACATGGCAAGGCTGAAGGACTTCGGTGTCTGTAAAGTGCGCACCTATCTAGGTAGCCAAGCCATAACCTCAACTCAGAACTCGCCTCACTATGCAGATGCAGTGGTTCGCATTGAGGCAAGCCAGGTCATCATCACATATGTCCCGAGGTCGCCTTGTGATAAGACCCTCATCCCGCATGAACTATGGATGACCTTCATGTCGTCATCCAAGATGGATCTGAGCTGCCGAGATATTTCACCCGCTGACTTTGACCGGGATGAAGCAAGTCAGTGTTGCCTTCGGTTACGCACGGTCTTTCGGAGCAAACCCCGAAACGCGGAAAGAAGCATATAAAAGGCGGCGCGAGCATGGCTACAGACGGCTGAAGAACATATCAGGCCCACTGTTCGCCGGAAAGATCACCGATCAGTTGCAGGCAACAATGCCCAACCGAGTGACATCTGACTGATGCTTACCGGGCTGAAGGCTGAGACCAGACTGGTATGCAGTGTTAAAGGTGAGTGATAACGACGGACGACACTACAGTCCTTATTTCGACGCCTCCATGCGCAGGAAGGGACTTACCAGGCATGTGGTGTTCACCGGAAGGCACTTAGGTACCTGAGAAAGGGGCCGGAACAGGCCTAAAGTTCAGACACTTCGACGTGAAACTGGAGCTAACCTTGGAAGCTTTCTCAGACGACCTCGGGGTTAAGACTTTTGTGCTATAACCCTCAGAGAACAGTAGGCCCCCTATGGCTTCTGACGAAGTTGACACGCGATGGTTTTACAGGAAGTAAGCTCCACGTCGCTTGAGTTTCTGCATATTCAGGACCTCTTGCTGCGACCGATGCTACCAGAGCATCACAGTTGTCTTGAGGTCTGTCACGCATCGCCAAATTCCATCTCTGGTCTCTTGTCGCTTGAAACGTTGGTTGCGATTGGAGTCTTGCAGGGTCTTTGGCAGAAAGTACCTAGGTCCAAGAACTCACTAGCCGAAGGCCAAAACTTATCAGTGAATTAGGAGATGCATATAAGAGGAATGTTGGAACGGACGTATTGGTGTACAGCCTGGAAACTCGAGCACATGGCGTGATATTGGTTCGTGGAGAGTCGCACAGCGCAGCAATGCCGCGGAAACGGTGGTGCGATTCCAATGACATCATCGGCGTGCGACAAATGGACCCCAGGAGGCGAACTTTCAAGTTCGGGCTTTTAAACTCCACGGAAAAGAGCTTTGGACGTTACAAAGGCGCCTGCACATGGCGCATATATCCTGTACACCATATTGACACTCGGAGCTTGTGAGACGACATCGCGGCGCCAAAGTACTTCCCCGCCGGTCTGCAGGGTTCTCCGTGGGCGATGCGACCAGCGTGGAGGGCACCATCGACAACCACAAAAGCCATCGCAAGCCATGTCATTATCAGAACTCACCGAGCAGCAACGAGCGACTATCGGCGACCGCGCGCGAGTATGGGAAGTCCGACGCTTCTGCCAGGTGCTGCCATCTGTCGTTAAATACGTGCGTGGTTCGGACGCTGGCCTCACGAGCAGGCCATTGGAGCCACACGGCAGATACGTCAAGAATGAACCAGACGGCGCGCTTGCTGCGTTGCTCCGTTGCGTCATCCATCAAACGGGCGCTGATCTGGCCATGGTCAGCTTGCTAGACGACCACACGCAATACTTCATCTCGGGGGCCAGTCGGGCCAACGCAGATGAAGCCAAGGTCACCTTGGGTGAGTGGAATCAACAGCATGGCGGGCATACGTCGTATTCTAGCAGTGTCTAATTGGCACAGAAGACTCAACGCGATGGTACGGATGCGAGTCGGTAACTCATCACGGTGGTCTGTGCGAGCGTACCATCACGCGGCAGAATGAGCCAGGCGGGAGCATGGCACTCTACGAAGAGCTTGATATGGCTGAATTGGAGAGAACCAAACATCTCCCATTTGTTCAGGGTGATATTGCCAAGTTCAGACATTATGCTGGTGTTCCTTTGAACCCCTATGGAGGACCAAACATTGGCACTGTCTTCACGTTCAGCTCAACGCCGTCGCAGGGTGGGCTCTCGGACGCCCACCGCTCGTACTTGTTTGAGACAGCGTCACACATTATTCGTCATCTGGAACAAGCAGTAGAAGCACTGGAGGGTAAGCGTGTGCTCAAGTTCAACCAAGGTGTGGCTTCTCTACTCAAGATGGGTACGAGCGCAGGACTGGCGGCTCAGCCTGCTCACAAGAATCTTTTATCAGGCGGCCATACTGAACATGAAGTTCTGGTGTCAAACCTCTATCCCGCTGCAGCTCTGCAGCTGTACCATCTTTCAGCTACATTGCTCTACGATACTTTCGAATTTGACGGAGTTCGCATCCAAGAGTTGGGCTCCTCAAGCAACAAGAACCCCATCTGGAACGGCTCCAACGTGCTAGCCGAGCATCTCGGACCAAAAGCGCACAGGCCTCAAGAACTAAGCCACAGTCTGACAAGCAGATTGCTTGAATTATTTCCACATGGGGCTGTGTTCCAATTACTCAATGACACTAGCGACATCGTTGTTGCTACGAGCGCAGACGACGTCGCTTTAGTTGAAGATACCCTCATACTCAAGGAGCTTTCGAAAACCTTCCTGCGGGCAGAGCAGATCGTCTTGATGCCACTGTGGGATGCGTTTCACGAACGTAATATCGGTGCGGTCCTCGGGTTCGCCGAGAATCAGTCAAGAGTCTATCTCGGCTCGACGGATCTTGCTTCCATTTCAGCATTCTGCACTACGATAATGACGCAAGTGCGGCGTCTCGAAGCTCAAGCTATAGACAAGATTAAATCAGACTTTCTTGGATCGATCTCCCATGAAATGCGGACACCTCTCCATGGTATACTATCAAGCCTTGAGCTTTTAGCGGACACACCACACAACGCACACCAACGCGACCTCCTGGAGACGGCAAGATACAGCGGCTTGTCATTGCTCGATACTATTGAGCGCGTTCTATATTTCAGCAACATCAGTTCAGGGTCGCAAAGTGCACCTCTACCAAGATCAGACTCATCGAACGATGGGCTTCTCCGTTCGTCAAGTCTTGCACCTCATCATTCGGCAGCTTCCTCGCAAGACGAGGATACCGTAAAGCTGATGGATACTTGCGAGGACATCATTCACAGTGAAGTACACAGGTATCGCGTCAAAAAGGCTGTCCAGCCTGATTCTTCGATGCATGGTAAGTAAACTGGTGGAGGCGTTCTAAGTCCGGCTAGAGCTCATGGAAAAAAGGTCTTGTCTATCATCCCATCATGACTTTCGACACGAATGCCAATCGGTCGTGCCGTCTGGTAGCCGCCGCTAGCTTTCGGGCGATCTTGACAAATCTTATAGTAAGTTGTACAGATACAAAAAGCGCATGCATGAGCCGTACTGACGTAAGGGAGAATAACGCCTTGAAGTTTGGGGAACCGACCAACTGCATTCGAGTTTCACTGGATCTCACAGACGGTACTACCAAAATATCTTGTACAGACGGCGGTAAAGGCATCTCTTCCGGCTTCATCCGCCATTCAATCTTTGACCCATTTTCTCAGGAGGACCCCATTGCAGAAGGTACTGGCCTTGGACTTTCCATTGTCAAGCAAACAATCACTATGCTGAGTGGTGATGTACAGATTGAGTCAAACAAGAAAGAAGGCTCTACATTCACTGTCACACTCCCATCGAGTCAGGCACTTTATGAGGCTCCAGAAGAGGCATCAGAGAGCTCAAATTCGCAGGCTGGTACTGCTGAGCTACACCAGCTTGACATGAGTCTCTTTACACCGACGCGCTGGAGATCAGGAGACTCTTTACGAGACCAGCGCTGTACTGATTTATTGTTGGGCTCACTTGCGAAGAGTCTAAGCCGGTGGTTCCACATTCGGGTCATTCCTTGGGAAAGTGCAAGCAGAGCCTCGCCGTGGCGCTTGCTTGTTGTTTTGGAGGAGGACGAAGACAGTGCACTGCGGGCTTGCGGTGGCGCATCTGACGACTACGAGCGCATTCGTCTCTGCCCTGATGTACAGACCGCTCCCAGTCAGTACTCAACGCCTTTGAAGGGTGTCGCGACAATTGCGGGTGCGGTGACTAGTTCAAAACTCCAGGATGCGCTGGCGCACTTGTATCCTAGCCAAGTCCCCCCCTCTGAGCTTCGCCACAACTCCGACCAGGATTCAGTCGCGAAAAGTTATGATCAGCAACAGCCAGTAGAAGGGAGCCGCAGCCAATTACGCGGAGACGCAACCGACGAATGTCGTGCTGCGCCAACAGCATTGCTATCCCGGTTAGAACTCGAGAGGAGCCCCCAATTAGACGGCGAGGAAAGCGGTGGGCAGCCACTGGCAATGCCAGCCGCCAGCCCAGTGGTCACTCCAGAGATGAACATGGCAGAAAGGTCTCATGGAGCCCAACCCGACCACCGAGAGGTACAAGCGCATACTGAGCAAGCAAAAGACCCGGCAGTCTGTACATCACCAGAGGCAGTTGTGGCAGAGCCTAGGCTGCTGCTGGTAGACGATAATGCTGTAAATCTCAAGGTACTTGCCATGTATGCAAAAAAGTGTAGCAAGGCAGGTGCAACACCTGTCGGCGGTGGCCAAGAGGCCATCGATGCCTTCAGGAACGCCAACGGGTCCAGCGACGACACGGGTCCGCAACCTTTCGATCTCATTTTCCTCGACCTCTCTATGCCCGAGGTCTCGGGCTTCGAGGTTGCGAGGGAGATACGGAAGACGGAAGCGCGGTCAGGGTGTAAGAGGACGTACATATGCGCACTCACCGGGCTGGTGAGCGAGAAAGACCGCAATGCTGCGTATGCTTCGGGTGTAGATAACTACCTTGTTCGACCAACGAGGCTGCAGGACTTGCAGGGCGTCATTGAGATGTGGCGGGATAAATCAAGCGAGAAATGAAAGCTACCGTGCTGCACAGATGATGCAAGACGCAACAAGTGTCCGGCTGTGGCCAACGAAAGGGAGGCGCTAGTTGCGGCGGAGGCTCAGTGCACCCGAGAGGCCGATGCGTGGGATGTGATATTCACTATCGCAACGTCATGACGCGAGCACTCTGTTGTTGGTAAGCTGCCGTCCGCGCTTGCACCCGACGCCGAAGATGATTACAGTCGCTCTCGTTAGCCTGGCCGTCGACTTGTAGCAATGCGCGCGGCCCCCTAGCCCAGACACGACGCTACGCAACCCCGGATCTCGACGCCCACGACGACGCCAGCTCAACCACACACAGCCCTCGCCATGGCCTCCAACACCGACGCCGCCTTCGTCGAGGACACCGACATCGAGCAGCAGCTGAGGGCGCGCGCCCATGGCTCCAAGCCGCCCAAGACACCGGGCGCGACCTCGCCGGGCCCCAACAGCGACGACGAGGACGCGCCGCTGCTGGGTGCCTCGCCGGCTGCCAGCGGACACGAGCAATGGGCTGGCGATGCCGACTTTCGCGGCCTTCCCTGGTGGAAGCGCCCTTCGGTACGCCCATGCAGCCCCTCGCGTCGAGGGCGCATCGACTGACGGCAGCAGATATTCTGGCTCCTGCCTCCCTTCCTGCTCTTCACCATCGCGTTTGGCGGCATCATCGTGCCCAAGATCAACCTGATCATGGACCTCGTCTGCGAGGAATACTACGCGACCCTAGAGACCGACCCCATATCCTCTCCCATGGACCCGGGCCAGGACCGATGCCAGAACGACGCCGTGTCCTCGCGCTCCTCCCTCTTCCTCCTGTACGCCAGCTTGTGCTCCGGCATACTCTCCGCCATCATCAGCCCAAAGATTGGCGCCCTCTCGGATCGGTACGGGCGCAAGAAGTTCATGATAGCCAACACCTGCGGCGCCCTCTTTGGCGAGGTCCTCACAATCCTGGCCGCCAAATTCCCCGACACGGTGCACGTCAACTGGATACTCGTTGGCTACTGCTTGGAGGGCGTATCGGGATCCTTCATCGTCGGCATGGCATGTGCCCACTCGTATGCCTCCGACTGCGTTGCACCACAGAAGCGGAACGTCGCCTTTTCCTACTTCCACGCTTGCTTGTTTGGCGGCATCGCCATCGGACCCGCGCTGGCAGGCTACATCATCAATGCGCGCCAGAAGTACGTTGGCAAGACCGAAGCCGTTTTGCTCATCTTCTACATGGCCCTTGGTGCCCACTTGATCTTCATTGCATTCCTTGCCTTCCTTGTCCCCGAATCGCTCAGCAAAGCACGCCAGGAAGCCGCACGTGAGAAGCGCAGAGAGGAAGTGGAACGACAGGGTCCCGCCGGCGACTTCATCAACCAGCTACGCTCTATCAACCTGTTTGGCCCGCTGAAGATTCTCTGGCCGACTGGACCTGGCACCTCGTCGGCTTTGCGCTGGAACCTGCTTCTGTTGGCCGCTACCGATACCATCATGTTTGGTGTCGCAATGGGTGCCATGAGCGTTGTCCTCGTCTACACGCGCCGCCAATTTGATTGGCATGAGCTAGAAAGCGGCCGCTTCACCACTATCGTGAACAGCTCGCGTGTTTTTGCTCTTCTAGTCATTCTGCCGATTCTGACCCGCATCTTCCGCGGGAAGAACGGGGCTGCCCGCATGCGCAGTTCAGGTTCTGACCTATTTGACCTTTCCATTATCCGTGCAGCCATCTTCTTCGACATGGCTGGCTTCCTCGGATATGCCCTTGTCCGCAAAGGCGAGCTCTTCGCACTCTCTGGCGCTATTGCTGCCATTGGCGGTATCGGTTCGCCCACTCTTGGCGCTGCATTGACCAAACATGTGCCGCAAGATCAGGTCGGTCAACTGCTAGGTGCCACGGGCTTACTTCATGCTGTTGCACGTGTGATGGGGCCCACCATCTTTAACGGTATCTACAGTACCACAGTCGGCGCGTACAGACAGACCGTTTTCGTATGTCTCGCAGCGACTTTCGGGACTGCGTTCCTGTGCAGTTGGTTCATTCGTCCACATGGTGAGTGCTCAACCACACCTACATACCAGGTTGATTCTGACACGTTACAGTATATACAGACGGAGATGACACACGCGTTACACGATCAGATGAACAAGAAGCATAGCTTGCTTCTCTTCATGCTGGCGCTTCAGTCGCACTTCTTTCGGATCCTTAGATTTTCTGGACAGCAATATCCTTTTTTCTCGCACACATATGTACAGACAGCGATGGTGTTTGGATTGGCATTGTGAAACCGCCGGGTTGTTGTTAGGCTGCATATCTGTATACTTTATGTTAACGCAACGTTCAACACTTGTTCTAGCGCATATTGCACCTCGCATCGTGAGACCTTTGCCGACGGCTTGCTATCGACCAAGATGTGTGTTGCTGGTGCCGCCGTTTGAAAGGGTACGTCGAGACTTCTAGTGTGTGCCACTCTGCCGAACTCAGCGCTGATGGGGGCCATCTTCTGAGCTCATCGGCCCAGGGAACAGCCAACACGACTTTGCGAATTTGGAGGCAACAAATCTAGGTGTTGTTTGCGTGAAATATCTGCAGTAGCTGCCTAGGGAGTACAAGACAACGCGGAGAAGCTGTGATGGTCGGCGCTGCAGCAGAACGGGGCTGACTAACGAACCTCGGGCCGTCAGGTACGTCAGCTTCCACGTTGCATCTTCCCGTGCCAATTGGCCATCGCGCGACCACTACAGCGTCTCCCTTTTTGTATTGCACACCTTTCCATCCGCCGCCAGTTCCGGTCTCAGCGGTCGCGATCCCGACTCAATGTCAACAGCATTCCGGTAGCACCATCACTGGACAAGCCCTCGTCAGGGCCCCGCAACCGCCATGTCGAAAGAGAACCGCGCTTTCGATACCCAGAGATTGGGCGCAGGCTACGGCTTCGAGTCGCACCCGAAGCATGCTATTGAAATGCCCCCAACATGGGTGCTTCTCGTAGGCTTGGGCTTTCTGCTATGCGCCATGGGCTTTTGGGTACGGACACAAGCGCCTACATGACAACGTGCACGCGACTAATGACCATGAGTGACAGCTTTATATAGCATTGAACCTCCTCGCGCCCACTCCGCGACTGCCACGGCGTTCCGAGAAACAATACACGACGATACTACCCGACGGTGCACGAAGCGACCCAAAAGAACTTCCGTGCTGGCTGGACAAATGGGCAGCAGAGAAGGAAGCCGCCAAGAAACAAGCCGCGAAGGAGCCGGGAAGTAAAGTCGTCATACCGCCACAGATGCCCATCGAAGAACCGGAGCTCTTCATGAGCGTCGTGGTCCCCGCATACAACGAGGAGGAGCGGCTGGAAGGCATGTTGGAGGAGGCTGTCGACTACCTGGAGAGCCAATACGGTGATGCGCATGCTGGCGGCAAGGGTGAAAAGAGCCAGAGAGGATGGGAGGTACTCGTTGTTAGTGATGGAAGCACTGACGGCACCGTCGACAAAGCGCTGGAGTTTGCAAAGGAGCACCAACTCAGCCAACACCCCAAGTCGAAGCCAGGGCCGTGGTCGAAGAACGGCGACGCCAAGGCCGCGCACTCAACACACATCCCACACGGCAGTATCCGCGTCGTCGCGCTTGAAGAGAACAGAGGCAAAGGCGGCGCAGTCACGCACGGCATGCGACATGTTCGAGGCCAGTACATTGTCTTCGCCGACGCAGATGGCGCGAGTCGATTCTCGGACCTAGGGGCTCTCGTTGAAGGCTGCCAGAGCATCGAGGACAAGCATGGGCGCGGTGTTGCCATCGGCTCTCGAGCTCATCTCGTCGGCAGCGAAGCCGTTGTTCAGCGCTCCAAACTCCGCAACTTCTTGATGCACTCGTTCCACATCCTCCTTCGCATCATGACGCCTCCGGCCACCGCACGCATCAAGGACACGCAGTGCGGCTTCAAGTTGTTCTCACGACCAGCACTTCCCTATATTGTCCCCTACATGCACTCGGAAGGCTGGATCTTCGACGTCGAGATGCTGATGCTGGCCGAGAGCGCTGACATTGCCATGATTGAGGTGGCCATCGGGTGGAAGGAGGTCATGGGTAGTAAGCTAAATGTTGTATGGGATAGTATTGGCATGGCATGGGGTCTTGCGCTGTTGAGAGCTTGTTGGATAGCGGGTATTTACCAGAAGGACTAGGGTTTGTGTATATAGAATCAAGCCGCGTTACCCGCCCGTGACTGCCCTCGCATTCACTATTCTTTGATGTAATGAACTGAACGCACTTTTGTTGAAACTCACATGCTGCATTGTTTCACGTGGCTGGCCCCCACTTGCACTCTCGTTTCTTAGCCACAAAGAACAGCAACACCATATGTTTCCATGACAGACGTTGTGAGACGTAGCTTTCATGAAACCGAACTCCTGTCCGCCGCCGAGGCATTCCAAAGCTGTAATCTCCCCACGTGCCCCATTACTCGGACACTGGGCTAGAGGATCTCGACACGGTGACAATCTCGACAGCCTATCGGAAGACCTGAAGTACTAGTCCATTCGCATAAAGAGTTAGGTATCGTTGCTCGATTGAGCATATGATGCTATTCTGGTCTCTGCTCTTATCACTGTGGCATATTCGTCGCCAAATAGATCTCTACACTATAGAACTGTACAAGGCGACCTCAAAGTGCTAGCACATCCTGCATGCATAGACACCATAAATGTCGTGACGCACCCTTCGCTTACTCGAAACTCGCGACCCAACCATCACCGACTCTCTCCCCTTTCGCATCTACACCACCCCAGAAGACTATGCTGCTGCCCTTCTCCATGACGTCCGATCCAAACAGAGCCCTTGGGCCGGGATGCAGTTTGCCATCTTCCTCTTCCAGTTGTTTCTCCGAAGGGGTCTGTACTACCGCCTCCGCCCACGACAAGTGACCAGTATCAGCCCCCAGCGCAGATCGGATAGCATCTTTGATCTTCGCAGGGTTGATGGCGTTTTTGAGCGTCATTGATGGCTTCGCCTCCAAATCGCTTGCAGGGATCTGGAGAACCCAGGTGTCGCTGAATTGGGTGACTTCGCCTGCGTGCTTTGGATCTTCTGGCTTCGTGTTGGATGCATCAGCAGAAGAGTCGCTCCGTGCGCCTAGGAGATAGACGAGGTAGTTACGGCCCCACCCAGTAGTCACCGGTATCAAGGCGCCGTCATGTCGCGCACGGGGGCCAGGCGCTAGTGGATTGGTAGGAAACGTGAAGGACTCCCATTTCCTCTCTTCACTGGAAGACGAGACGCTGATATGATGGAGCTGGCTACTCATTGGATCGGATCCAGATATCAGCCATAACTGACCATTCGCCAAGGCGGCGTTGGATGTCGCGACTGGCGCTGTTGGAAGTTGCGTCCAGTAGCGCGCAGCGATGTCGAATTGCCACAAATCCGATGCATTGTCCCCAGAGCCATCGACACCACCGAACAACACTACGTGTTGATCATGCGCGAACAGCTTCGCGTTGCGCCGCGGGCCCGGGCCAATGTCTCCAGTGTCGACATCTCCCTTGGAGGGTTGTAGAATATCCCAGCTCTTTCTGTCAGGACTGAACAGCCATACAGACGATTGCTCGTCGATGAGATCGCCAGCGTTATCACTGCCACCGTATATAGCGATGTTGCCGTGGAAAGCACAGGCTGCGTGATTCGATCTCTCCGCTGGCGTGCGGCCATCTTCGCATGTTGACAGAGCAGGAATGATGCTGTAGTCCATCTCCGGTTTACCGGAATGCTCAAGAGTAACGGCATGTACATGGTTGCTCGCAAGAACGTTGTTCGCAGTATCGCCGCCGAAGATATAAGCTTTGTTGCCGAGCACCGTGACTGTGTGATTGGAACGCGCCAAAGAGCGTCTGGAGGTCAGTTTGACCCTATGTAGTAGCAGTGGAGTACATACGCCGAAGAGTCACCTGTTGCTGTGGCTATGCGTTTGAAAGTGACTTTGAGGGGGAGCGTGGGCTTCGAGACGATGTACGCGGCGTAACCTGCTTCTGCCGTGTGTTCTACCACTTCGGCCGCAACGTACGCGCCTGCTGCAACTTCAGCCATGGCTCTGGTGCTGATATGGTCTCGTAATATCTGACAGTGTCCGGCAATTGGGCAATAGACTGAGAAGGCGTCGAGTTTGAGAACTAGTGGCAGACGACAAGGAGGAGGCAGAGAGGGGCGAAGGCTAATGCAGGTACGCGGGTGATGACGTCAGTGGACTCCACAACGACTGCAAGTACGCAGTTGGGACATGTACTCCATGGATCGACATTGGCCTTGTGATATCTAACGCGGCTGTCATTGCCGACTGTATTAGTTGCAAATAATCAGAAGGTGGTCTCATAGTCACAGCGGTGGAGGCGATGAGGTTTTCATCAGGCGCTCCTCCAATGCTGACACGATCTTCTTGCGCATGCACGCCCCGGCTTGCGTGAGGGATAGCGGGAGCCCATGAAGACGTCCGAGCACTACATCCACGTCCCTTCCGGTTATGTTACCGTCAGTTTCTCGATTGTATTGAATGTAGGTTTTGCAATCCGCGCCATAACTCCGCCAATCGCTACTCTTCTTCCTTTGTGTGCCCACGTGAAACCTTGAGACCTGCGCTACACCTCCGCAAATTCCTCGTCAAGACATACTGCGTTATTTCTGTACACGCGCCACCAGTTCGCTGCAATACTTATAAACAACCTGTGCCACTCGGCGAAGCCAACGGTACCACCCTGCATGTTTGAACAAGCTCAAGTGCTGTCTCGGCCAGGTATACATGGATGGTAGCTCCTCCGGTCTCCAAGCACTACCGCCCAGCCAATCCCTTTACGTTCGGCTCATCAGCTACACCAGATTTGCTCCGTACGTTTTCATTGCGGAGTTGGTAGAGATCGCACGATGCGTAATCCTCAGTATCCCGTGTCGACGTCTTTGTATTTATATCCAGGGTTTGTGAAGAAGATCTGCTACTTGAAGCCGCCACCGCATTTCCCTGCGTCCCATCGTTTGTGCTGGGTCTGGAACACGGCCTGAGCGAGAGAGAGCCATGGAGGACCGTCTTTGAGGTTGTGTAGTTTGTTCTCGGCCGCCGACATGGCGGCCATGTCCCAGAAGCCTTGGTCCTCATTGTAAGGCCTTGTCATGAACCACAGCGTTGGAATTCAGCAATACTGAGTCGTGTGTCATGTTTAGGCGGTGAATTTTCTCAAGGTGTATACATGCTTAGATACGAGGAGAGCATTGTAAGAGTAACTATAGGATAGTGGTGTCATTAGAGCCAATGTGCTGTGTCACTCCCTAAAGGCTTCGGCATGACATCCCACCCCACTGACAAACCCTCGATGCGAGCCGAGTGGGTTACCGCTTCTAGCTCCCCGAAATGCGTTTGCCGCAGTTCTAAGTACCGCTTTACATCCTCTGGGCTTTTGAAATCCTTGCGGTCGAACCCGCTTTTGCCATCGTAGCGCCCCAAAGACCGCATAAACCTCATAACACCAGCCAACGATACGATAACCTCATAGGCGCCTCCAGCAGTAGCGCGCTTATACAAAGCGGCCATGATACCAGTTGCTAGAAGATAGCCGGCACCGTGGTCGAATGCTTGGCAAGGTAGTGCGCGCATCGGTTCGCCGGCTCCATGGCGCTCAGCCTCCGCTACATTGATACCGCAACAGCTCTGGACAAGCGAGTCGAACCCGCGATTTAGCGACCATGAATTCCCGGGACCGTATGTACTGAGGCTTGCAACGATCAGGCTTGGATTGGCCTTGGTCAATACTTTTTCAGAGAGACCCTTTGCTGCTAGGCTCCCGGGGCGATAGCTTTGGAGAAAGACGTCAGCTGTGGAGAGCAGATCCAGTAGCTTAGCTCTCTCTTCGGCCTTCGATATATCTAACTGCACCGTGCGCTTGCCTCGCGATAGATCTATATCGAGATCGGGAAGATCGGGTCTGGATGTACGTATGTGTGGTTAGTACACCTTCTTTCCAGGGTTAGCTCGTACATGGATACTACTGACAGATGCGGCGATGTGATCCAGATAACGTCGGCCCCGTGTGCTGCTAACGTCTTCCCAGCGACTGGCGCAGCTATAACTATAGATCCGGGGTAGGTCAGTGTATGCCTTACAAGCTATCGGTACAGCTGCATACCTCTGCTCATCTCGACAACCCGAATGCCTTCTAGGCATTTGTCCATTACCTTCGGGGTTCGCTCTAATGGCATACACAGCTCGGAAGTTGCAAGTTTCGTTATCAGAACTGGGTGGTCTGTAATAGCCTTGGCTTGAGGTAAAGCGTCCCATTGATCAAACGAACGCAGCGCAGCAATCATAGCTCCGGAACGAAAAGCCTCAGCTTCCAGTTCTACCGCCTTCCACTTTGACACCTTTTGTGCCACAACTTTCTTGGATGCGTCAGGTGGAAGTCCTAGAATACGAAGCGCGTTCTGACGATGATTTGAGAATGAATCGTGTATCCTGACGTATCCATCGGCTGCTTGATGAAACCCACCAATAACTCCCCATGGGGGCGATGCGGCTTTTCCATTGAGAGTATAGAGTCGCTCGGATTTGAATTCAACGCATGCATGCTCTGCCGGAACTGTAACGCGGGGCATTGAACATCCATTTCGATGAGACCAAAAGAGGGCTGCAACAAGCGCGGACGCTGCAACGGTTGACTGCGCGAGAACATCAACTCTGAATGAAGATGGTAGGCATTCTCTATCGAAGGGCAGATCTAGCGAGTCGAGAGCTTCCTGTGGCAAGTCTAGCATCTTCCATAGGAGGGCGACAGAGCTAACCGCGTCGGAATTAGTGGGCTCCATGCAGAACAATGACTGAAGATCTCTGGAATTGACTTGATGCATCCAGGATCTAAACGGAAACAAAGTGTGCTAGGTAGAGGGCACTTGGGCAGGTGGTAGAGGTCCAGGCAGGAGGAAGTCAGCGCACCGAACCACTAGGATGACTGGCAATACATCGAGCTAGATAGGACAGATGATCGGAAAGACAGGACGGAGATGGAGTAGACGAGAGATCATGGCTGCATTCATAGCCGACAATTGCCGGGCCCCATTACGTAAGCGAGCCACGAACTGCGACCCTTGACAGACGGCGGTGTTTGTCCAAAAGCTTCTGCCATGCACTGCCATGCAGACGTACAACATCGTTGCATCGCAGTCTTCGTCGCCAGCATGTTTTTATTCACGCTCACTACCTGGCGACTGCCGCCTCACGCGTCGCGCCCACGTGTATGTAGTGAACGGCAGTCCATGTGAATACCTAGGTAGTTGTAACTTAAATTCGAGATAGTAACATATAACGAAGACGATAGATTCACGCTCGTAGATGACTGCGCCCTGAACTTCTCAATTCTGGAGCATCTTTACTATGCGCGGTGAGCAGATTTCATGCCAGATTGGTACTCATACAACTAGATTCTACGTGCATTGATTTGCTTTCTGGTCGTTACATCAACGTGGCTATCTACGCAGCATCTACTAGGTAATGTCTACATTAGAGCGGAACGCGTTCGCGGGCGTTGCAACGAAGCAAGCAGCCGGTATTCCACTCCTACAACATACTTTGCGAAACGATAACGCCAAGGTTCATGGCCCATTTCAGAAGCAAGCGAACATGGAAGTTTGGCTTGACAATGTGATGATGCATGGACACAATAAGAAGATGAAGGACCCTAACACGAACGATGAGTCAACAGAAGATGTTTGGGCTAGCGCTAGGTTACAGCCCATCATAGAGGAAAAGAAGTCAGACGATCTCTAGAATAATGAGATTAGTCAGTGCTAGACACTGTCCAGTGGGAAAGGAGCATGAGATGCTAAAGAAGTAGTGGAGAAGTCAAGCAGTTCGTTCTGTGGTGCTCAAAATCAATAAAAAATGCGTAGATGAAAAGAATATCTCGTCCGGAAATGACGTGGTTCTTGACCAATGGGTATCCTTGAGGTAGGCACTTCACTCTGACGACAAGCGACCTTGACATAATTTCCAAGTATTGAAGCAAACATGACCAGCATTGCTTGTCGATCCTCAGCTTCGGCATGACTCTTTGCGAGGTTACGAGACTGTGAGAAGGCTTGAGTACATGCTAACCAATCCTTAAGGCGTCCACTCGGCGGTGAGAATTGCCTGTCATCCCACCCTGTTTCACCCCACTCGAGCAAGACATCGAGCGGATGACTCCGTCTCTAACCTCTCGCAATCAAGAATTTCTTGGCATGTTTTTGCATGTGCGCTTTGTAGCTAGTTGTAATGAGTGGTATTGGTTGGATTATCCCAACCTTGCATACAATACAGCTAATGAGCGAATGTGAATTCAAACTACTAAGAAAGAGACTTAAGAGCACTTCAAACATTGAGTGGACAAAACTTTTGAACTGCTAACTACCGTTCCCTAATTAAAACGCCATTTCCTTGACTGCAAATGCAGCCAGATTAAACCGACCACCCACAAGTGCAAATACACATACATAGGATGTAAGTACCTATTTAAGCACTCCCCGCAACTTCACCGAACCACTGCCTCAGTGCCCCAGCCAATACGCCCGGTAACTCCCTCACATCCCTCACAACGAGATAGTACCTGAACGGGAACTGCTCCATGTACTTGTATCTCACAATTTTGCCCTCAGGCGTGAACACAGCAGACTGTAAATCCAGGATAGAAGTCTTGGCTTGATCCTTCACTGGCACAGGTGGCTGAGCACCAAGGTTGTCAGATGGCACAGGTGTTGATACCGACGGAGCGGTAGCAGAGCTATCGATGATGATGAAGACGATCATCACACGCTCTTCTTGCGCTTTGCGAACGAGACGTTGGATTTCCGCATGATCGTCGCAGAGACCATCACTGACAATGAGCATTAATTGCCAGAGATCTTCACCCGCTGAACTCGATCCGTTCTGTCGCGCATCCTTGAATAGCTCCAAGCTCTTGTCGACCAGACCACGAACGTTGGTCTTTTTGGCGTCAAAGCCAAATTGCTCAAAGACACGTACACCGGCTTCGGAAGTGAAGGGCTTGTCAAAGTCATGCGCAACATTGACTTCG